AGACTAAAAGCTTTAGGAATCCAAAGTACAACATATAATAAGTACCCTGTATCAAGATTGATGCAAAACAAGTGACATTTGACCTTTTTAGAGAGATTTAGCAAAAGAAACCACTTCTGGGGTCATTTGGGTGGATTTTCCATATCTCTGGCTTCCCTTGCTCGATGTTGATGGTTGACACCTCTTTCTGACCGTTAGAGCCAATAGAATCGAAGGGGGAGTCCCCCACACACACTCATTGTGAAGAGAAAAGGTGGGGACTTCGCGCATGTAATTTTCCATCAGAGTGAACCTATCTCTAGCTTTGACATCTGGAAACGGAAAAGCAGTTTTAATGCTTATGGATTATCAGAAATCATTTCAAAGGGACACAGACACATTAGATTAACCTATGGATTAACTTCAGCAGCGTTTTTATCGTTTTAATGCCATTGAAGACCACTTTGGAGAGACTACAGAGCCAAGGTAAAAATGTTACCATTTTTAGCTACCTAGCGTCACCTGTTTTGATGTCTGTTTTTGCTTATAACGTTGCAAATACGTATAATTCAGTGGTAATGTCGGTGTCAATCGATTCTGTGTCACCTCACGATGTGAAACGATGTGTTGGATGTGGTGAAAAGATAAATAATAAGGTTTTGTGAGTGATTTTCGGTGCAGTAAGGTGTTAGCATTTTTCGCTCGTTGCTAATTCAGAGGCTCAGTGTTAGCATTGTGGGTTTTCTTTAAAAAAAAAAAAAAAAGATCAGTTAGATGAGTTTCTTCCCGTTACATGGATATAAAACATTCATAGTTTTATTAAATGAACATGCCCTCAGACACTGTTTCCTGCAAGATGTTGCGGCAGTTCCCCGGTACCGGGGTCTCTCGGGCTTAACAGGTTAAAACAAATGAATAACGACTCTATATAATAAAACACGGAGGACGGAGATCTCTTTTTCTCCCCCTCTTCTGACAGCCCAGCAGCTGATCAGAGCACGCTCCCCTCTCCTGCAGGGGGGCGTGGTCAGCAGAATCAGACCCGTAGACAGCAAACAGCACATAGAGCGAAATGAGGCATGGCTAAAATGCATGATCTGTTTGGTATTTTGAAAACAGAAACGTATAAATATACCTTATATGGTATGGCCCTACAATATATCATTTAAATATAGCATGATAGGTCCACTTTAAGGTATTTGAATGTAACATTTTAAGACAATGGATTGTCTCACGGGTGAGATGCTTTTTGTGCATTTTTGCTTGCTGTATGTGGATGACGTGATTAATCAAATTAAATTGATCTGCTCTTCTAACTGTCTTTAACTCTCTTTTTCAGAGTCGGCTCCATTCACGGGAAGGGAGATACCAACAATACATGGAAGTAACAGGAGCCCGAGGATTCCCCTATTCTAATCAACTGTGACACTTTCTCCATCTCTCTCCCTCCCATTGATTTTGAACCACACAGCCATGCAAAGTTTAAATGCCAAACAGTTTTCTGAAATGTTTCTATCATTGTGCCTTATAGGTAATCTCAATGTTTCATCTGAATTAGCTGTTGACTCATTGACAGTGATCTTACAGACAAACCGTTACGTTACTGCTATTAAATAATAGAATAGTGTCGCGGAGTGAGAAGTGAAGTTTTATTTGTACCTTGTCTATCTGCAGTGTCGCTGTCCATGCTGGGTGGTGCTGATCGGCATATTTTTTTTAAAAGGTGTGAGCGCACACGTCTTTCAATATAATCTTTGTAGTGGCTTGTTTGGCAAGTATATTGTGCATTATGGTTTGGCTGGTTGTAGTGTTGGCTCTGTTATACATTAACTAAACATGCGTTGAGTAGTTATTAACAGTGTGCGGCGGCAGGTTGATAAACGGGATTAACCCGTGTTGGGAATATTTGGATACGGTCTTTTTCTCTACTGAAATTGAGGTGGTCATAAATCTATGTTTACCATTTAATAAGGAAGTGAAAGATTAATATGCCACTATTTAAAATGTTATTAACCAAATCAACTAATGACGAGTGTTTGAAAAATAAATAAGCTTCACCATCACACACCTGATGTGAGGGTTTACAGCAGAGGTTAAACATAGTCACCCATCAGTGTCTCCAAGTACACAAACAATTCATATAATATTAAATGCTGTATTCATTAATGGTTGTATAATTCTACAAATATTTTTATATTTTAAGTTTTACATTTTTTATAGTAATTGTTCCCTACAGAACATTTTGTGCTGTCATTTTATTGAACGTGTTTGATTGGAAAATGTTAGAAAAAAGTTGTAAAATAACAGTATTCTACCTGTAGAACTTTAGGTTCTGTATTTATCTTTGTGTTTGATCATAAAAATCAAATAAAAAAAAATGTAAAAAGCAGTTTTTCTCTTCAGAACTTTATTTAAGGTATTTGAATGTAACATTTTAAGACAATGGATTGTCTCACGGGTGAGATGCTTTTTGTGCATTTTTGCTTGCTGTATGTGGATGACGTGATTAATCACGTCATCCAATAGTATTTGACAGGAAACCATTGTATGAGCTTCCTCCAGGAAGTACCGGAGCTAGGGAGTACAGTTATGCACGTCTATCACAGTAAATTGCTGGCAACTCTTTTGCATTACTTTCACAGTACACATTGTAAATTGATAGTAAATTGCTGGCAACTCTTTTGCATTACTTTCACAATAGAAATATAAAAGTACAGGCCCTTGTTGTAATGCATGTAAAACAAAATTATGTAATTCCCCAGTAACATACTGTAATATCACAATAATTCCTTAGTCATTGAAGCTGTGAAATTACAGTATAGTTTTACCTTTACAACAATGCATTGTAATATCATGGATGTGAAATTACAATACATTGCTGTGAAGACATTCACAGTGAATTGCTGTGAACCTTACTGTGAAAGTCATGCAAAAAAATTGCCAGGTATTTATTGTGAATTCATGGTGAATATTTTTACAATGTAGGCTACTATATGGTTTAAAACCAATGAAATGTGATATGAAGTTTCGGTTTGGTTAATTATTATTATTATTATTATATATTTCAATTAACTAGTTATTTGAAATAAATGTTTTATATGTTCCGATAGAAATGGTGTTTTCCAACAAACGTGGATTTAAAGAAGTAAGAAACATTTGTGCAGAGAAGATGTTGGGCAGCTTGCAGCAAGAACATAATTACTTTGCTGCCAGATTTCACTTTTTCATAGTGTCAAACAGCTTACCACAAAAAAAGCCACAATTCAAAAACAATTACATGATTAAAAACATTTTAAAAACTCAACTGTCTCTCTTAATGCTTCCGACTCTTTTCGACTTACGAATAAATACTGAATGTTTTCTTAAGTCTTAAAGTGGACCTATCATGCTATATTTAAATTATATATTGTAGGGCCATACCTATATAAGGTATATTTATACGTTTCTGTTTTCAAAATACCAAACAGATCATGCATTTTAGCCATGCCTCATTTCGCTCTATGTGCTGTTTGCTGTCTATGGGTCTGATTCTGCTGACCACGCCCCCCTGCGGGAGAGGTGAGCCGTGCTCTGATCAGCTGCTGGGCTGTCAGAAGAGGGGGAGAAAAAGAGATCTCCGTCCTCCGTGTTTTATTATATAGAGTCGTTATTCATTTGTTTTAAAGCTCAATAAATAACAAAGAAGACCTTTGACCGGCACTTTTCTAATTTTGGCCGGAAGATTTAAACTTTAACGGACATCTTGACCGGCGAAAGAAACTGAAACTGAAACTCTGCCGCACGGTCCCCTCGTTCCTTGGAAGAGGCGGAGAGGTGGGTGTTTGTCATCTGCTGGTGGACTAACCGGAGAGAATTACAGTGCTTGCCTCGACGGGGAGGGATTGCATTGCAGCGGGAGCAAACGCTTGCTTCGGGGAGGGAGAAAAAAAGCCACAGCGGAGAATAAACAGAAGGGTAACCATGGTAACTATGGGCGGGAAGTCTTCTTCGCTGCTTTTGTGGCAGACTACAGCGCCACTTACAGGCCTGGCATATGTACTACAGCATCTCCAGCGCTTTCGAGCGGCAATGGCCGGCCGTGGCCCAACCCCACATTCCCCTGATAGGTGGAGAGTTGGCCCAATAGCCGTAGCGCCACCGTCCTGACGTCAGGACAAGTGTTCAAATCTGGATCAGTTTTTATCAGATCCGTTGCAGCCCCTTTTTTTGAGATTTGGGTATGGAGGAAAATAGAGAGGGTTGTGTTTTCTGACACTTGGTGAGTTCCCTGGAACACCGGGGACACATATTCATGTATAAAAGACGTACAAAAGTGCATTTTGCATGATAGGTCCCCTTTAAGTTAAGCACTGTTTATTAATCTACAGTACACTATACTGAAACAGAGCCCATAACCATATACCTTAATCAGCGAAGGGTTGAAGGCATTATGTGCCTCGTGCTGTGACGGATGCCAGGCCGATAGACACGAGCTCATTGTGGACAGCTCCTGGTGGAGTTTTATCGAATAACACATAAATAAGCGTCAAAGTGAATTTAAATCAAAGTTTGGGAGAAAGGAAGTTAGAGAACGTATGAATACTTTACTGTTAGTGTTATACTGTGTTTTCTTTATTAAAAAATAACTTCAAATCTGAATTGTATTCTCTAGCGTGTAACCTGTTTTTTTCCTTCTGATTTCGTGTTTAAACTTATTTTTATTGTAATATGTTTGTATTTTCAGATGCACACATACTGTATGTTAATATCGTGAAGCACTTTGGTGAAAAGGCTGTTTAAAGGATTATATAAATTAAATAAGGATGAAAGATGAAGATGTATCAATTACATCACAACACATGTCGATTAAAAGCATATAGCTGCATGTGAAAAAAGCTTCAAAGTTCAAATACATTCTCTGATTGGTATTTTTTTTTAAAGAAGACATTACAGTGTCAGTGTCACAAGAGAGTAAGGCTGCTGACTTCACGTTGTAACTCTTGCATAAAAAGGCTAGCCTTCAGAAAAATTTGCGCATAAAGATGGTCCCCGCCAACATCACAGACTCTATCCCAGGAGGAGTTCCTCTATCGATGGACTTCAAAAGTCCTCAGGACTATGTCATCTTTATTTTCCATGTCCTATTTGCAACGGTAACTGTTCTGATAGCCGGATCTGTAGTCATCACCATATTGGCCACCTCGGCGCTCCGCCTCCAGAACAGGTTTATTTTCATGCTGAACACCAGTATTTGTGACACGCTTGTTGGGGTCTCCGTGTATTATCTCGGTCTGTTTGATGTTCGGGAGGTATACCCGTCTAGGAATGGAACTTATAATATTTTACCCTCACTTCTAGGGGTCAATATTGTGACGTTTTTGTTCGCACAGTTTGACCGCTATTTTGCTGTGTGCCACCCATTCATCTATGGTCGCTTTGCTACAAGAGAGTTTGTGATAGGCATTAACATCTACTGCTGGGTTTACAATTGGGTTCACTTGATGGTCAGGAATTTGCTGCCATCTTCCAAAGCATTGCAGATGTACGTAATCAGCATATTACTCATGCAGCTGATCGTGGTCACCAACGTGGCCATGACTATCAAACTGTATGTGGTTGCCAGAGTCCAGGTCGCCAGAGAACCTCCCAGCGCCGAAAAAGAGAGCAAGAAGGAATCATTACGAATCATCATCTTTGTTGTCATAACCTTCTTGGTGTTGTGGTGCCCCGCTTTTGTTAATATAATCATCAGATTTATAGGAGCAGGGGGGCTGACGTTTAGGAACGAGGCCACTCACCTGTTCGCCATCATGGCTCGTTTCAACTCAGTGTGCACTCCGTCCGTGTACATCTGGGGTAGCCCGGCACTGAGGGAAGCCATGGTGAAGACCGTGTGGGGCAGAGTGTGCCCGAGATGCAAAAGGAGGTAACACTGGGGGCAAATGCATATATGCTTATACAGCATGTTCAACAAGTATACGTACGTGATCTTTTCATCTGTTGCTCTTCTAACTGTCTTTAACTCCTTTTTCAGAGTCGGCTCCATTCACGGGAAGGGAGATACCAAAAATACATGGAAGTAACAGGAGCCCGAGGATTCCCCTATTCTAATCAACTGTGACACTTTCTCCATCTCTCTCCCTCCCATTGATTTTGAACCACACAGCCATGCAGTTTAAATGCCAAACAGTTTTCTGAAATGTTTCTATCATTGTGCCTTATAGGTAATCTCAATGTTTCATCTAAATTAGCTATTGACTCATTGAGTGATTTTACGGACACACCGTTACGTTACTGCTATTAAATAATAGAATAGTGTCGCGGAGTGAGAAGTGAAGTTTTATTTGTACCTTGTCTATCTGCAGTGTCGCTGTCCATGCTGGGTGGTGCTGATCGTTTTTTGTTTTTTTTTTTAAAGGTGTGAGCGCACACGTCTTTCAAAATAATCTTTGTAGTGGCTTGTTTGGCACGTATATTGTGCATTAAGGTTTGGCTGGTTGTAGTGTTGGCTCTGTTATACATTAACTAAACATGCGTTGAGTAGTTATTAACAGTGTGCGGCGGCAGGTTGATAAACGGGATTATGTTGGGAATATGTGGATACATCCGATACGGTCTTTTTCTCTACTGAAATTGAGGTGGTCATAATAAATCTATGTTTACCATTTAATAAGGAAGTGAAAGATTAATATGCCACTATTTAAAATGTTATTAACCAAATCAACTAATGACGAGTGTTTGAAAAATAAATAAGCTTCACCATCACACACCTGAGGGTTTACAGCAGAGGTTAAACATAGTCACCCATCAGTGTCTCCAAGTACACAAACAATTCATCTGGACGGCAACAAATTAAGGCTTGTAGCAAAACTGTAAATCTTTAATAATTGATATCTTCTAAGCCATGTATTTAAATTCATAATTTGCTGTATGCCCCTTTTTAACAAAACATAAATGATCAACAAGACTTAAAGATATAATACAATTTTAAATGATAGATCATTTCTACAGCTTAAATGCTAAGTGAAAGACACATGTACAGACCATAATACACTTCTCTGATATGAGTTTAAACTGAAAATACCTAATCAAAAAAAGCTAAAATAAATACAATATTTTTCTTTTTTTTTTTAAATATATAACTGAAAAATAAAACCTAAATGAAAACATTTATCCTCTAAAAAAAATGCTATCTTTAAAAAAGGCAAATTAAAGCACACTACAGCAAAAATAAACAAGACATTTAAATTTGTCTAAACACAAGCAGGAAGACTGAAAGAGTAGCAATGATATTTACTGATAATAAAGAACATAGTTGCAACTCTAATACATTGTAAATCCAGTGGGTTTAATGTTAAAATTCTTTAATCTGTAAACTATCGGCACAAAACTACTGTAAATTGGTTTAATAACTTAATACAATTATATTTGAGGTTTAAGTATACAATGTACTCATTTTACACAAGCTACTTTAATACTGATAAGGGCTATACAATAGTATACAGTGAAATATAATACAGCAGCATGTAAATGTTATTGATTGATAAGGAAGAGCGATTATTTTCCATCCTAAAACATGACCACAAGACAGGAAGAGGCGGCCTGGAGCTCTGCAGCGAGACGCTATTTAAGATGGAAAATGTAGTCCAAGTAAGACAAAGTGACGAATACTGTGCTTCGTTGGGCGTTAAAAACACTGGCCTAAAGATTAATCTATTCGGGGACAAACATATCTTTACATTTGTTTTTAAATAATTGCAAAAAGTCATACTGATCACAGTCATCATTTTCACAAAAGTTCATTTGTCCTATACTCACGTTTTCTATCTTTACTTTGTATACACTTGTTTACCAAAAACAATATAGTGTAAAACATTTGAATACAAATGGCTCTTTTCTGCATCAGGAGTAATACAAGTAGTCAGAGTGCTTCAGGGATGTAAGGACAGAAAATAGATTTTTACTTCAGAAAGACAATACATTATATGAGGCAGCAAAAGATACATTTTGTATAACACAGTTTAAGTTCATGCAAATAAGCAGGAATTTATTTTAAATGTTTCCAGTAAGGTGACATTTCTGGTTTGCTGGTTTTGCATTGTGTAGTAAAGTTCAACATGCCGTGAGGCCTGCTTGTTGTTGACTTTGGCTGTGTGTTTGAGTGTGAGATAATCATGTATAAATACGGTCATTTAAACAGGTTCACCTCTAGTGTGTGTGTGGTTTTGTTTAACAACCACCAAATTATTTCCCTGTGCAACTGTGAGTTGATTCACAACCGATAGGATACGCACCAAATGTTTAGGGAGGGCATGAAGTTGTGAATGTGCGTCATGTTCTACCACAGTGTCCATGGGGGCTGCTTGAGTGGAAACGAGGCCAGAGAGGAAACATTGACAGGAATGGCAATGACAGCCCACGGCATTGCATGTCTCTGAAGAGATCGTCTGATCATCATTCTGAAATAAATGAGAAAGAGGAAACATGTTTGATGTCCGGCAATTTACATTAATGATAACAGATTCCTTTATTGTTAAACTCAAATTAGAGCAAAAATAAGAGTACATAAATGTTTGTGTGTCTGCATCTTTCTTAGATGAACAGGTTGTAGGATATGTACATCCAGAATAACTCTAATAATACCTGGCAAAGATCTCGGTTTGATCTACACATAAAATAGCTTGGAGCTTTAAGTACAATTCTTAAGTCTGATTCCTAAATGTGTCTCACCCATCACTAGGGTTGGGAACCGAAACTCGGTTCCAGATGAGAACCGATAAGAAAATGCCGGGTACCGGGTACCCATACAAAATACACAATTTCGGTTCTGCTTAACGGTTCCTAAACGCGGTAGACCCTGTATTCCACCGGGTCCGTCTGCGCCGCGGGTCCGTCTGCGCCGCGGTGACCTGGTGGAATACAGCCAGGGTAGGGGCGGACTGGCCATCTGTGTGTTCTGGAGAATCACAGAACGGCCGGTCGTCAGCGGGCCGTTGACCGCCGGCTCGGTTCGCTGACGGCCGGCACCGCCCTTATTTTTTTTAAACGGCATCATGTAAGTTGCGCTGACAGGCGACAGAGGTCCACAGTTTCCCCGCAGCGAGGCTCCCCCCGCCCTCCCGTAGACAGTTCACGAGCTCAGTCACTTTAACACCAAAGATGGATCGCGGTAAACGCTCTAAAGTGAGGCTCCACTACACTAAAAAAGAAAAAGACAAAGCACAGTGTAATGCCTGTTAATAGCTTGCCACAGGCATAGCTCAGTTAAAATAAAGCACAGCTATTGTGCAATACATTTGTATTGCATGTATATTTTTATTTGTAAACATGTCAGTTAAAGCTTAAAAGAATAAAGATAGTTTTGTTATCTAAACGTTTGACCTCTTTCTTTTACAATTTTGGAATCGAAACGGGGCATCGATAAGAACCGGAATCGGAATCGATCAATTTCAAACGATACCCATCCCTACCCATCCCTACCCATCCCTACCCATCCCTACCCATCCCTACCCATCCCTACCCATCCCTACCCATCCCTACCCATCACGCCCCAGCAGGAATAGAGCAGGTATGCTGGGTTTAGCCGTGCTTCCATCAGTGATCATGTCCAGGTACTGACTGTCATTGTCCACCGCATTATCAGCAATCAGAACTGCTTTGCCTCCTGCTTCCTCCACATGTCGGGCCTTTTGCACAAAGGAGCAACCTCTGGAGAGCACATAAGAACAGACAAAGAAATGTGAGCAACTATTTGAAAATGTTCCCGCCAACACATCCTGTAAAATGATGTTTGGTCACATATTTATTCAAAACGTCTTAGTCCTATCAGGGCAGCTGGTTGCCCATAGCAATTAGACAATCCCCTAACACTTACAAATAGATGTGTCTGCTAATTATCTTAACACACAAATCATGTTTCTGTGGTCGCCAAGCAGCATCCAATTCGTAAATAACTCAGTGTGGAAATGGGGATGTGCAGTAAGGTCTAAAAGATCTAGCAACCCTTAAATGTCATGGTTTTTCCAGTTAATATTGTTTGTTTGAGACCCAGCAGTTTCCCCATATGCAACTTTTTCAAAAACATGTATGTAAAGACCTAGGTCCAACATACATTTAAAATGTCATCAGCAACCAAACAGGTTCATATCAAAAGTATTTGAATCCATAATCAAGTAACAGTCTTTTTATTTGCCAGTTATTTGAACACGTTGAATTTGCTTAACATTCATCTGGCTCTGAACCCCTCTGCTGACATTATAGGGAACTAATCATTAATATAATTATTATCTCTGACACATGAGGTGACTGGGGATGTGTGTTCAAAACATTGCAAGCTTGAATAAATCATTTAAACCATTTATTTTTGCCAGACTTATTACTGAATATCATTCTTAATGTGATACCAAGTCCATCTGAGACCTGTGTATACCTTCAGACAGCCTCCAAGTGAAGCACACGTTGTTTACTCGCAGTTTGAAAGCAGCGTGGAGAAGTCTTCAGCTGTGGAGAGCTCCGCCCAGGATAACTTGTGATACGACTTCTGTGGCTTGTTCTTGTTGTCAGTCTTATATTTGTATCATATATCGTTATTAATATGATGTCGAGTTGATTTGAGACCCGTTTATACTTTCATACAGTCTGTTAGTGAAACATACAGTCTGTCTGAGTTGTTTACACCCATCTCCAACGCAGCGTGGAGAGCTGTGGTAAACTGTGATCCGCTCCTCAGATTAAACTGTGATACGACTTCTGTGGCTATCAACCAGTGATCATGTTTAATATTAAAGACTACACACATGTATCGATTATCAAAACGGTATTCTGCACTTTGCAGCACTTATCCAGATAAAATGTGACTGTTTACTCGTTTTGCAAAGATAGAAGCAGAAATGTCATTGCTACATGTGCAGGGATATTTAGAATTTTAAATGCTGCTTTATCGTTAATTTTGTTCTCGGCAAACAATATTATGAATCCTCTATTCAAAAATATTATTCAGTGTCCATCGACATGAAAATAACAAAAAAGTTCATGCTGGACTCAATCCCTCGTGCCATGCACGTTACGAGTGTGCCACGGATCAATACGATGTAATCTGTCATCACAGCTTATTTTGTCACATTGACATTGTTAAAAGAGTCAGAACAATTCAACCCGACCATCTTTTATAATGTGAGCGAATGTATGTACACTTTAAGCCATATAATATACATATTATAGTAGGCATTTGCTTTGAAATAGTATATACTGACTGAGCATCATTAAGACCCACCTACCGAGATCAGATATCCTAGTTCATCAGCCTGCGAGCCCACATTATGTTGTGATAAGTGGTCATTTTACGTATTATGTATTCTAGTGCACACATTAAGTTCAAATATGCAAATCAGGCCATGTGTTTCGTTATGTAGTAGCTATAATCACCTGTCATGGAAAGACAACAATAACAAGGAATTAATATTAATATTACCAAGTTACACAGAAATAGATAAAACACATGAGAACAAAGACCACATAGATAAACGCATAAACGATAAGTTAGAAACGAAAACATGTTAACAACAGCGTGAAAAAGTATGAATATGTGTTTCTAGTTCTCAACGTAGCCTATGCGAGTACCCTCGTCATTCGGTGTCGCTGCATAACGAAAGTTAACCAAGTAAACAGTCACATTTTATCTGGATAAGTGCGGCAAAGTGCAGAATACCGTTTTGATAATCGATACATGTGTGTAGTCTTTAATATTAAACATGATCGCTGGTTGATAGCCACAGAAGTCGTATCACAGTTTAATCTGAGGAGCGGATCACAGTTTGCCACAGCTCTCCACGCTGCGTTGGAGATGGGTGTAAACAACTCAGACAGACTGTATGTTTCACTAACAGACTGTATGAAAGTATAAACGGGTCTCAAATCAACTCGACATCATATTAATAACGATATATGATACAAATATAAGACTGACAACAAGAACAAGCCACAGAAGTCGTATCACAAGTTATCCTGGGCGGAGCTCTCCACAGCTGAAGACTTCTCCACGCTGCTTTCAAACTGCGAGTAAACAACGTGTGCTTCACTTGGAGGCTGTCTGAAGGTATACACAGGTCTCAGATGGACTTGGTATCACATTAAGAATGATATTCAGTAATAAGTCTGGCAAAAATAAATGGTTTAAATGATTTATTCAAGCTTGCAATGTTTTGAACACACATCCCCAGTCACCTCATGTGTCTTTTTGTAGTCCTCGCTGTACGCGTCCGGATATCAGCATCGCAACCACAACCTCGCACACTGGTACTGAATGTGCATCAAAGTGTTCCTATCCAACCAAATACACCAAAAGATGAATGTTATGGCGCGTTTCCACTACAGCGCGGAGCACGGTTTAAGAGGGCTGTGACGTCAGCGGCCCGTCTTTGGTTGCGTTTCCACTTGGCCTAGTACCGGCCGGCGGGTCCTAATTCACAGTTTTTCTGGCCTCATAAAATCGTGGGTCTAGGGCCAGAGACAACGAGGCTGAGTCGGGCTGAGTATGCTAAACTAGAGAGAGAATCGCTGGCAAGGGGGCTACAACTACAACAAGATGGACATATTTGACCGTGATTTAATTGTAATACACGTTTCAAAATGATGCCGAAGTAACAACATACTGATACCGGTTAGTAAAAACCATGAATTAATGCTTTGTCAAGTCTGCAGACAGACGGCAGGCGAAAAACCTTTTAAAATGCGTGTTTTCTAAATGGAGATTGGCTAAGCTAACGCAGTATATGCTCCGACCGTCCACACTCACAACAACGGCCTATACAGACATAAATAAAGCAGCGACTGTATTCACCATGACACAGACAGTCTGTGGTTTGTACTTGTTTAACTTTTGTCGAGTTTCTGAACATATATGAGGAGCTGTGAGCTCTGAGTGCTAACAGCTAACGGCTGTGTTGTTTTTCTGGGGTTCTCATTGAAGATGACGTCACGGCTCCGCCTACACTGCGTTACTATAGATACTACCCCAGTTCCTAAACTGTAATGGAAATGCGCCATAAAGTGAGCCAGTCCTAACGAGGCCTAGCCATACCGAGCGAGGCCGTGTAGTGGAAACGCGCCATAAACGACAGAAGAAGCGATCGAAATGTGTATTTCCTGGTTATTCGACAAAGGCCACGCCCCTGATACATCTGCCTACCGTTATAGAATATCACCAGTTGTTCGTCCCACATTTCAGTGTTTCCCCTACCAATGTCTTGGAGGGGCGCTGCGCCCCGCCAACGGAGCCCCGCGGCCCCCCTGAAATTCAAGGTGTTTAAAAAGTATTATTTTTTTTCATTTATATATATATATTTATATATATATTTATATATATATATTTATATATATATATATATATATATATATATATATATATATATCACCAAATTGCAACTAATCTATATCTACTGTCACTTTTCACATTGAACATGTGCTCTTTTATTAAATAAACTAAACGCTTTCATTTTAAGTTGTGAGTTTAGTGTTTTTGACCCTAAGAAACACTGATGCATTAATCAATAACAATAATCCACAGCTCCTCTCTCTGCTCCAGAGGATTTAAAAAACATATATCCCAAAAAAAAAGCATGTCTTCTTATTGCAAAACTGTCCTCACAAGGCTGTGATAGGATAGTCAAGAACAACACCACATCTAAACTTATAACAACTGCTTGGCCATCCACTCAACCCCTTTTCATTTCAGGCCATGTCTTGAAATGTCTTTCCCACAAGTCAACCACTTTGACCCTGCAAGTTTGACCTGCTTATTGCTCAGGGGTAATGATGAAATGATGCCCTTTTGTTTTTCTCTGTACAAGCGTCTTGAGTATTTAGAAAAGTGCCTTATAGATTAATTGTATTATAATTATGATTAAAAGGATTGATGCAAACTTACAATTCCAGTTTACCACATATCCCAAGTGTTCCAGACTCAATGGCTTATACAAGTGAAGCTATTGTTGCTGATGAATGTGCACGTACCCTCTCTCCACCAGGACTACTTGTCCCTGTATGATTTCTCTGTCCTCCAGGTCTGAACAGCCGTCTGCTGGGTCTGCTGGCACCAGGAAAATCTTATCATATGAATACGTCTAGGGACAAAATGAGAGAAAAGGAATGTGATAAGTGATTGGTGAACACCTGCGTCTGAGGCTTGACAACCCTTTGACCTACATGTGAAATTATACAAACAACAACTCACAAAATCTCCTCCAAAGTCTTTGGCAGGTGCTGCACTGAAGATGTACCCTATCTCCTCTGGACTGATGACCCGGAAATAAAGCAGTTCATTGATCCCAAGACCTAGGGTACAAAAAAAAAAAGGACCAACATTAAAGGGGACCTATCATGCAAAATGCACTTTTGTACGTCTTTTATACATGAATATGTGTCCCCGGTGTTCCAGGGAACTCACCAAGTGTCAGAAAACACAACCCTCTCTATTTTCCTCCATACCCAAATCTCTAAAAAAGGGGCTGCAACGGATCTGATAAAAACTGATCCAGATTTGAACACTGTCCTGACGTCAGGACGGTGGCGCTACGGCTATTGGGCCAACTCCACCAATCAGGAGGAGACAGCCACGGCCATTGCCGTTCGAAAGCGCTGGAGACGCTGTAGTACATATGCCAGGCCTGTAGATGGTGCTGTTCTCACTGAATCTGCCCTTGCAAAAACAGAGCTAAAAAATGTCAAATTGAGCAAAATGAGGCATGGCTAAAATGCATGATCTGTTTGGTATTTTGAAAAGAAAAAAGTATAAATATGCCTTATATAGGTATGGTCCTACACTATATTATTCAAATATAGCATGATAGGTCCACTTTAAACAACACGCAGTGACATTATTTTTAGGTTGGATATTCAACGTGCAAATCCATTGGTGTTTTTTAATATGGCCAAGTTTTTGGTTTTGTGAAGAGGTGTGAAGTAACTAAGTACATTTCTTCAAGTACAATTTTGAGATACTTGTACTTTACTTGAGTATTTTATGCTACGTTGTACTTACTTAAAAAGGACTCTAATTAAAGTAAATTCACAATCTACCCTGCGGTATACGAAGTCATTAAAACTATCTGCACCTTTACCAGCTTTGATAAACACTTGAATGTTTCAATAATTATAATCAAATTATATAATATATATTATTCTGAAACGGTCCAATTTGCATAATAAGTACTACTTACTTTTGTATTTTTACTTGAGTAACATTTTGAATGCAGGCCTTTTACTTGTAACAGAGTAGTCCTACATGTACACTTAAGTACAAGATCTGAGTACTTCTCCCAGCTCTGGTTTTGGTCCTAAATTGAAACCCTGTGGTTAAGAGCAAGTGCTAAGATCATATACTGTATGGCTAAGATGTGAGCTAACCGTCCTCTGAGAAAGAAGACGCCACCAGAGAGTCAATGTCTGTCCAATATCCATTATACACTGCCACGGTCAGCGTTAGTTATAATGGCAGACATGTGAATAACTGCATCACCAGTAACATTACGAGGTCAGAGTTGCAGAAGCAGTCACATATGAGATGATAATTCACTGAGAAAATGCAGAAGTACAGACGAAAGCCTTAAAAAGCTTCTGAAACCCTCGAGCTAACATGACAGTTACACCGACACGTTAGCTAAATTAGCGGTTTACTAGCATTACATGCTCCCCCGCCCCTTACTTACCTGAAATGCTATTGAACTGTATGAAAACACTCCAGAGGTATAAAAGGAAAGCCGTCGTCCAAACAACCTTAGCCATGTTCAAGGCATTTGTAGAGATAGTTAACGTTAAATAAAACAGACGTGTAGCTTTATAATTGAGATCGGTGTTTGTCCATACTGTATGCTAGCTGTCGTTCTGTGAATGAACAACAGACCTGCAGGTTAAAGGAACCACTTCCGCGCTTTTTTAATGCGCATGCGTACATCGCAAAGGCGGATCAACCTGCTAGGTGGTCGCGGGGCAAAACCAAACTGTTTGGCCCCTTTAGCTGACCCCCCACCCCTCCTCCTAAATTGTTTTATTTACAACTCTCTGTGCACTGTGTATCCAACATATTTATATTCTAGAGCAGAATATTTACTTTACTTCCAGCCAAGGACACCTTACAAGATAGATAACATAATGTGAACCCGCTCATGGAAAAACAGTATATAATTTTATAATATGGATTATTTAGATTAGATTAGATTCACTTTATTGATCCCAATTTGGGAAATGTTTTCGTCACATCAGCATGTTAACAAAGCATTGCAAATAATGGGAAATGAAAAAGAGAAGAAAATAAACCATAATAAAATAGTAACTTCTCAAAATAAAAGAGAACTATAAAGTAAAATAAATTCATATTGACAGTGAAAGATTCAAATCTGGGCCAATTACACCTAACACAATTTTAATTGAAAAGTATGTTGTATTATTATAACATAGATAAACTTTCAAGCACTTGTGTCCTATTCCAATAGACACAAATGTAATAATCATATTACCATTTACCCAGATTTGCTTTTCAAAAGATTTAGGAAATCTCAGAATTGGTAAGAATGGTTTGCGTTTATATTCACTTATTAGGTTTTCATACAAATGGAATGCAAGATTGAAAAAATATATGATACAAATTGTTCCCCAGTAAAGTAATACATTTACATTTTTAGTTTTCCAGCTGCTAAGACAATACTCTGCACTATAATAATAACCATGAACCCTTAATACAAAGAAGAATTTCATGAAAATGAAATAAAATAAAGACTGAATGAAATTAATGCTCATGAAGGTATAGATTTATTGCACGGCTAGATGTGTTTGCATTATCCCTAAAAACATGTATACAAATATACATCCACATTTACGTTATTTCCAAACAAAGGTGTTTGTACACCAGCATGGCCCCAGTTGCAATGGATGTTATTTATTAAGCATTGTATTTTAAAGTCTTCTTAGCACTTTTTTTCCCTTTTTTTCTTCCTTTTCTGTTCTTGCAGTTTTCCAAGTACTCAGATGGCAACTCTGAGCAGCATATCTTTGCTTTGTTTTTGCATTTGCAGAGTTTATCTTTCCCTGTAATCACCTGCAATGAGTTAATGACAGATTAGGTTCTGATTACAGGAAAAGAAAAAGCAACACTTTTTGTTTTTACAAATCTTACATTAATAAAATGTGTCTGCAAGTTCTGGCTATATATATTAAAAATACTCCCATTAAAATGTTTTAAGAGTTGCTCTTTGGGCATTTGTAATGATCTGCATTACTTTCCCATTGGAGCATGTTATTTTTCTGCATAACGTTGTCATTTACTGCTCAAGCTTCAAGCCAATTATGCTCTGCAGGTATGTCTATGTTTGCTCACCGGGAAATATGTTTGTGCCCTTTATTGAGCTGTCAGCAAGTATATTTATTTTACTTTTTAGCTTTGGGACAACAACATTTTATGTTGGGCTCTCGGCATGTGCTCCGATTTAAGTAAATAAAATCTGGCAAAATGTTCCTCCTGACAATGTTGAACTACAGGATGAATCATTAACATCAGAAATTTGAAACCATAATCTTTGCTAGGTTTCAAATAAATTGTCATGTATATCAAATCTAGCTAGCAGATGCAGCTCTGATACACCTTTGCGTAATTTTGCTGTTTTCTAGTGCTTGTTAGTGCCTATAGGGTCTGTTTTGTTTGCACAAACAAATCCCTGTTGAATGATGATATAGCTATGGGAAAACATTACAAATATCCCTTACAACCACAGACATTTTCTTGAACCTATTTAATGTTTTAATTTCTAATTGAAAAAAACATTAATTGCTCAAATATATAGCTTATTTTTTTACCAACCAAGAAACAGTTGAATACAAATATGGTATAGTTTTTAAAAAGTGTAACTTCTTTACCACTAAACTAATTTGTGTTTTCAAATCAGGCACTAGTGATGATGATAAAATAAGAAATCCATTATAATTGTTACCGGAGTATTGTACTGTAGATATAATATACAAGTGATTAGTAACTATGATTAGGAGCATACACTAGAAACATTCACTGACGGATATTTCTGATACTTTGTCCAGCCTGATGTACATAAAGTACACACATGTGGACTGGTACTGCACTTTTTGCATTTGTACACATGACATGAGCATGCAACACATAAATGAAGAAGGAACATACATGAGGAAGGAAGCACAAAGCTCTTTTAATAGCCGCACAGTCGCAAACCACCAAGATACACAGAAACGCCAACACACTTATACAGAAATGCACAGGGCCAAGGAACAAACTTTGAGAAGGACTGTCTAGAGTGCAACTGGACTGACTCCTCAAGTTATGATTCATGTTGAATGATGTCATATGTAAATTACCTTGTAATTTCAACAAGGATCTTAAAATGGACAAAACTGTTGAGACCAACTTTATAAGATGTCGTCCCACGAAACCATTCAGTCATGTTTTGCTTGCAAATAATATGTCATACAGCTTTAATTCTGTGTTTTTATAAATACATATAGAGTTGTAAAATATTTTTGAATAAATATTAATATATACACAAATTATTAGTTTAAGTACAGTCATAAATAAAAATAAATAATAACAGTGTTTAGTGATCTTCTGTCTTAAAACGTAGGGACGTATTACTGCGCTTCTGGTGAGTGCTGTGTTATCTTTTAGCTATCAGTGTGTGTAATTGCCCCAAAGGGAGACAGCCAGAAACACATAGTGAAAAACAGTAGGTTAGAGGACACAAGGACATTGTGGACATGTAAGAAACAAAGAGAGAGCAGGAGCAGACAGTGTTGTGTTGGAATAATGTCAACAGGTTACATTTTTCCAGGCAGTCCACTGGCTCCAGGCTGAGAGCACCACTGCGTCTCTGGAGCGAACCCTCAGCTTGCTGATCCTCTTCGGTATCAGAACAGAAGAAGAACGTCCAGTCTAAAGTCAGACAGGTCGCACGATGAGAAAAAACAAAAACAACAGAGAGAATAATGACAGACATGAAAAGATCACCAGATGTATGTGTACCTTGCCATCATCTTTTAAAACGTATTCAATTTGGTGCTCCAGGCTGAAGTAGCTGAGCGGAGTGGACCAGTTGGATGGTGCATCGATGGTGACGTTCAGGTCCTCCTTCCCCTCCTGACACCTCACAATGCTGGGACTGTCAGGTTCAACTAGACACAATTACATACACAAATTAGAGAAACAAGGAAAACATGGGTCAACAAGTATCAGTAAGGAATCATTAAAGTATGTATAAAAATGTATACATATTTTGCTGAAATAATTACATTCATTTAAAAAAGGAAAAACTGTTAACAGTTTGCTCGAAGGCTTACATTTGTCTTTTTTGTCTTTTGAACTTTAATTCTTATGTTTTAATTTCAAGTCACAGCTGTTTTTTGCTTACTGATGTCTCTGAGATAAAATCTCTTGGTCTTTCTGAGGACGGAGAGTTCAACGATGGCCTCCACGGTGACCTCCAGCTGGGTGCTTTCCTCAGTGTAGGGTGAGAGCGAGTGGTTCAGCTCAAACTGGAATCTCCCATCCTTCTGATCACTGCTGACCCAATCACACGTCTTCCCACCTTCACTGCTACAGGGCAAACACAGAGTGAAATATCTACCTGAGAGAAGTAATTCTGTTTGTTGGTCTGTCTTTATAAACTTTATGCAAAATGTTCGGCCTCTTTTACTGTAACTTTTTAAATTTTCTTTACCATTCACGGCCCAGTCCAAGGCGCACTGCGGTTTGTCGTTTGTCGATCCAGACACAGCTGAAGTTACAGTCATAAGACTTTGCCCGACAAGAGAGATAATCTATAAAGAGACACAACGCGAGTAACCACAAGTGTAAAGGAACATCTTTGGACTTTGTCACTTCTCATTATTTTGACCACCTAGTCAGATATGACTACAGCTTCAAGATTCGGGCTATTTTGGAATGAAGTGTGCACTATGAGTTCCTCTATTTGAGAGACTCTTGCCATTTAAAGTATATGAACAATAAAAAAGAATGGAAAATGAAACCAGAGCATCTTACCAGACTCCTCAGCCTCCAGCAGCAGATAGGTTGATGATAACATTTCTTCTCCTCTCCAGCAGCTGTATTTTCCCAACATGGGCATATCTACCGCTGACACGGAGAGATTCAGACCGTTCTGCTGGATATTCTCCTCGATGTCGACATCCTCCAGCTGAAATTTCCATGTGACATCTCCTTCGATATTGGTACGGCAGGACAGCGTGACTGGATTTGCATCATTCTTTTTTGCCACCACAACTACACACATAGATGCAGACACACAGTTACACACACAGACAAACACAAAAACACCTTTGTTAGCATGTCAAGATCAACAGATTTGGAACCTCTCCAGATATTTCATAAATGAAAATAAATTAGACTCACAGTGTTCCGGAAAGTGTTTGAGGTCTTGTGCTCCGGTGAGGCTGAGGAACAGAAGCCCACTCATCCACAGAAACAGAGACTTCTGAAGAATTGGGTGACAGCAAAAGGAGGAAATTGTTGAAAATGATCCATTACTTGCATTACAAGAAACATTTGATTTTCCTTTAATATTATTATTTCCCATTTCATCTTCAATTCAGAAACACAAAATGATATGTTCATGTGACATTTCAATTGGCTAAATGAAATGGGTTGTATATCTGTTATAATAATGCAAATTAAATAGCAAAGTGGGATATTTACTATCAATTCCATCATTTGCCATATATAATCATAACAATATTAACTGACCAGATAATAACAATAATTCAAAAGCAGATATATGAAGCATCTGTAGTACCAACAGGTTTTTCTTACCATTTTGATGAAGTTACACTGAAGTGTCGCTGTTAAAAAATCAAGAGATGAATCCTGATGATTGTATGATCCAACTGATCACTGGGCATCATTTTTATATCATCATGTTGTTGTCGTCATCCTCCCCAGCATTGTGTCATCTTGGAGGGGAGAGAGAGAAACGAATCGCTATAGTAAACCGATAAGAGCATTTCCTCTATACTGTTTTGCATGTCAAATTTAAACTGCGAGTTTCGAATGAGGAGGGGATGGAGATAAGGAGTGTGGGTGGTTAGTGGGGTGGGGGATTGCCCTCACAATCACACACACACAACACACACACACACACACACACACACACACACACACACACACACACACACACACACACACACACACACACACACACACACACACACACACACACACACACACACACACACACACACACACACACACACACACACACACACACACACACACACACACACACACACACTTACCTAGTTATCTTCCATTTCTGGGTGTTGGGAAATTTAGTTTGTCATTTTTACAAATATTGATGTCATTTTATGTCGAATGCAAAATAAAATGACTTTTCATAAAGTAACAACAACTTTTTTAATTTTTTTTAAACAAGCTCTTTAAAACTGTCAACTTGGCTTTGGGAGGACATTAATAATTCCATAATTAAAACATAATTATTTTCCTCCCAACAAGATGATCCCATAAAACATGTCCTTAACTTCATTCTGGAGTAATATGCCAGATATAACCGAGCATTACCTGAGCAAAAAAAAAAAAACTTCTTTCAAAGGCCCCCCCTATCCCCCTCCCCCACATGCATGTACGCACGCACAACACAGAGAGAGGGACAGATAAAAGGACATTCCCTGTTATTAGTCATATGGGGCAAACCAATTGTGTTGGGCTAAATGTCAGCTATTTCACATTCAAAAAAGCACTTTTGGTCCTGTGTGCATTCTCACTGATCTGCCGGTCATCTGCTAGTCATGTGTTAAACAGTGTGTGAATTACTTTTATAGTAAAACCATTTTTGCAACTCACGTTTGCTGGAGGTCTGTGTTACTATTTGGTATTATGATTCTTCATTGTCCTGTACAGTTTGTAACTAGGTAATATACTGTGTTTTATAGTATTAAGCACCTACAGCTTGACAGACTGTGACCCCATTGTGATCTAAAATTCTGTGAAACCTGTTTGGTCATCTGAACAGAAAAACATGGTTTCAGGTTTCAGTTCCTTAAAACATCAATAGAATTTTGATGAATTTGCTCAAGTGCAGAATTTAGTGTACTCAAATAACCTGCTTGTCTGTGTTCACAGTATGCTGTCTTTGATCAATTATCATTTTTATTAACAATATATATATATAAATATATATATGATATTGACATCTCTAAAAAGATCCAGCTGTTTGAAATGTTAACAGTTAGGATACATGGTGACACAATCCTCTGTCACAATCAGGGTTTTTGTGTTATTGTGACAATCCCAGTATTTTAAAAGATGATTATTATGAAACTTAACAAGAGAACAGTACTTGATTGGTCCTATGAAACCAACTCAATAACAACATTTGAGGAACTTGAGGAAAATTCAAACAAAAATATCTTAAACAACTTTCACAACCAAAATCCGCTGCATGAATTTCAAAGTCAAGGTATTTACACATTGATCTTTGGATGTTTACAATGCCCTTCTTTTTTAAATGATCTTACATATAAAACACAGAAGATGAAAATGAAGGCAGCAAATGTTACTTTTTCTATGTTCAGTTAGTGTTAGAAATTAAAACTAGTAATGTAGATGTGTAGCATATATACTGTCATTTTAATTTGTTTTAAACGTTATGTTTCAGTGTAGCTGCAAGTTATTTATATCACATAGTTTCAAGTCCTTAAATATATTTTTGAGTCACCAAACTTGTGTTTTCCTCTGAATCAGAAGAGTAAGAAAAAGTCCAGAACAATTAAATGTGTTACTTTCAAAGAATCCCTACTTTCATCTCTTAGTGTACACCATGTGTAGCACAATGTCAGACGCTTAGGTCACTTCAGTCCAGACAGTGGAAAAAACCATCAAGGGTGCCCAAAACACTTCAATAGGTGTCATTATCCACCCTACATAACACCTGTCATACAAACAGTGTGACTTATTTTGTGCCCATGATTCTTGATATCTATTGGAACATTTAAGGTATGAGAACCATGCAGTTTAATTTAGCAGTTTGAACAAATATTTAGCATAAAACATATTTCGCCAGCTGATATTCTGTGGCACCAATAACTGACTGTACCTCATGTGTAATGCCAGAGTTGGTGTGAGTGCTAATAAAAAAAAAACTCTCATATGTAGGAACACTGAAACCTTTAAAAAACATCAACCTAGTATGTTGCTGTTTCAACACAGCAACTACTGTACTTTGCCTAATAGTGTTTAAGGCATCTGCTTTAATTACAGTCCGTCTACACTGGATGTTTGTACTGTTTTTAGCCTTCAGTATCATGCAATAGAAACATTTCCAAATACTAATGCTGCTGTCAAAAGGGACTCCTAATGGGCTTGCATTTCATGATAAAAAGCTAATCTGAAAGTCCCTGTCAAGCTTCTATTGTTTTCCCCCTACAATGTAAGGCTTTGTGATTCAATGCTAAGTTATTACTATATGGTTATACTTCCATACAACATGTTATGCTTTCTCTGCACAGTAAATAATGACTAATAATCCAATGTTCAGTTATAAGTAATGGTTTCCATTATCTAGTCCCCTGAGGAAATGTGAAAACTAGGACCATGAGTTTAAATAAAAACCGCAAAGTTATAATACCTTTCTGTTGTGCTGCGGTGTCGTGTTGTGCTACGGTGTCGTGTGCTGCTTTGCTGAGGAGACCTTTTACCCCGGGGATACCACGGAGAGACCGGAGCGCTTCCACGCTGCTGCTTTCGTCTGTCCTTTGCTGCTGTGAGGAGGAGGATTTTTGCCCCAGGAACATCGCGGATACTGTGTGCTGGTCTGGGAAAATGGCCCCTATCGTGATTCTGCTATGCCTGTTAGCTATTTTGGACAATGAGAAGTTCTCTCGTCATCCTGAGAAGTCGACTGGGTTCAGGTCTGTTCTACCGCCCGCAGTGGACATCCCCTGTAAAGGTTCGGATGTGTTACGCAAACAATTACTGGTTGCCTTGTCACAGACATTCAGTTCGACAAATGTTTGTCTTTCTCACTTGCCTGCTATGATGGTTCTTCAGGACTGCTTCTTGAGCTCTAATCTCACTTTCGCGGAGTTTGCTGGTGACTTTAAAGCAGATGACAATGTATGTGTGTCGGTTAAGAGGAAAAGGTGCTTGTTTTTTTTGCTATTATTACTATCAGGGAATGTACAACTTAACCCTGGACCGCCCAGTAGCAGTAGTAGTCAGATAGCTACTCCTGCTGATTTTATTTCTAGATCTGGGTTGGGATTCATTCACTTAAATGTGCGCAGTCTGTTACCTAAGTTAGATTTTGTCCGCATTTGGGCGAGCTCGACTGATGCTGATTATTTAGCCTTTATTTATACAGGTGTAAAATCTCATTGAGACACAAGGTCTCATTTTCAAGAGAGACCTTGATATCATTGTCTTATCAGAAACGTGGCTAGATAAATCTATTTTGGCCTCTGACATCTACTTAAATGGTTATAGTGTATATCGTACCGACCGTCCTAAAAAAGGTGGTGGCGTTGCCATTTATGTGAAAAATAAGTTTTGTGTAACCAAGATGGTTTACAAATCTATTAGTAAACAACTCGAATTTTTAGCCTTAAATATCGAAGTAGCAAAGGGTCAACAGGTCATGGTGGTGGGCTGCTACAGACCCCCCTCAGCTGTCAAGGACTCTTTATCTTCATTGGCAAAACTTTTATCTCAACTTGACTACAAGGAAATAGTGCTGCTTGGTGATTTTAATTGGGACTGGTTAACTTCTGTGTCAGAGGATTTTAAAAACCTTTGTATCTCTCTGAATGTTACTCAGAGTATAGACAGTCCTACTCGCCCTAACATTAAGTCCCCAAATAAATCCTCCTTAATTGATCTCATTTTAACTAATGTTCCCCATAAATACTCATCTGTGGGAGTATTTACAAATGATGTGAGTGACCACTGTGTTGTAGCCACAATTAGGGACACAAAAGTCAGAGTAAGAGAGACAAACAACATTTTGTGGAGCAGGGTTTTGTACATGATCTGTTTGATTTTGATTGGGGTAAAATCGATCTGTGTGCTGATGTAGAAACTGCATGGTCTTATTTTTATCTTGGTTTTATGGAAATTATAGATAGACATGCACCCCTGCGGACATTTAGAGTAAAGGGACGAGACAATCCTTGGTTTTCTGCTGAACTTTCTAGTCTCCTACATGAGAGAAACAAGGCCTGGGCAAAGGCTAGGAAATCTGGCTCAGAGGTAGAATGGCTGCGTTTTAGGCAGCTAAGGAATAGCTTCACATCACAAATAAAAAGTGCTAAGTCTAAGTATTATCTGTCAGTTACCACAGAAAACCTGAATAATCCTGGAACATTTTGGAAAGCCATAAAATCGATATCCACCGGTGATATCCGTAATGAGCTACCTCTGTGCATTACCACAGCATCTGGCTCTATATCGGACAGGGCCACCATGTTAAATTGTTTTAATGAGCATTTTGTGTCCTGTGGCTCTCCGTTTGATTCTGTCACTAACTCTGCTTCTGTGAACACCAGTCTGTGACTCTGAAAAACGTGTTTTGGAAAACCCTTTTAGTTTTACTCCTTTTACTGTTGATGTTGTTCGTGAAGCTTTAACCAAGTTAGATCCTAAGAAACCGGCCGGCCCGGACAACGTGGAACCTTTCTTTTTAAAGATAGCTGCAGATTTTATTGCTCTACCTCTCACTTCTCTTTTTAACCTCTCCCTCAGCACAAACACAATTCCAAAATTGTGGAAGTCAGCGTATGTCCTGCCTCTACTAAAAGGAGGGGAGGCCACTTTATTAAATAATTATAGACCCATCTCTAAATTATCAGTTCTGGCTAAGGTTCTTGAACGCCTAGTGAGTGAACAGGTAAAGGTGTTTTTATGTACAAATGACATCCTGTCTAAACATCAGTCAGGCTTCAGAAAGCAACATAGCACCATCACTGCCACAATGAAAGTGGTGAATGATGTGGCGAGTATTTTAGATAAAAAGCAGAGTTGTGCAGCTCTATTTAGTGACCTGTCCAAAGCGTTTGATACCGTCGATCATCGCATCTTAAAGCAGAGGCTACTCAGTATTGGCATATCCTGCCATGCAGTGGGGTGGTTTGTGAACTACCTCTCTGAAAGGTCCCAATGTGTTCAGTTTGATGGGCTGTCTTCTGAGTGGTTAAACATTACTAATGGTGTTCCTCAAGGTTCTGTTTTAGGTCCACTTTTATTCTCCATCTACATCAATAGTTTAGGTGAAAATGTCAATGGAGCAACCTTACATTTTTATGCGGATGATACCGTTATGTACTGTGCAGGTCCCTCCATTAAGGAGGCTGTTGTTGAATTGCAAGCTGTTTTTAACATTATTCAGACTCAGCTCTCTGAACTAAAGCTTCTTTTAAATGTTGATAAAACCAAGGTAATGCTCTTTTCAAAAGCTAAAAAGACACCAGAGCCTGTTTTAGATATTGTAACTATGCAAGGAATAAAACTTGAAGTGGTTGCCTGTTACAAATACCTTGGTATCTGGCTTGATGACTGTCTCACTTTTAAACGTCATGTCAATAACCTGCTTAAAAAACTGAGGGGTAGGCTAGGTTTCTTCTACAGGAACAAGTCCTGTTTCTCGCTCGAGGCCAGGAAAAGGCTAGTCACTGTGACCTTTTTACCTGTGCTGGACTATGGTGATTTGATTTATATGAATGCACCTGCCAATTGCCTGGTCAAGTTAGATGCTGCGTATCACAGTGCACTGAGATTTGTGACAAACTGTAAAGCATTAACCCATCACTGTACCCTGTATGCAAGGGCTGGTTTGCCTTCGCTAACTGTACGGAGGCTCAGTCACTGGTACATTTTTATATACAAAGCCATGTTAGGGAAACTTCCATCCTACATCTGCTCCCTGATCTCACGGCGAATTGTAAGTGGCTACTGCCTGAGATCGCATGCTGTGGTTTTATTAAATGTGCCAACTGCTAGGACTGTCTTAGGGAAGATAGCATTTAGATGCGCAGCTCCACTGTCCTGGAGTAGTCTGCAATTGAAATGGAAACTGAGCAATCTGGTGCCACTAAATGTTTTAAAAGCTCGGTTGGATGCTACTCAATCGGAAGCTGTTGGTACCTGTTCATGTGGATAGTTATGTAAATTGTAATTCCTGTAATGTATGATGTCCTTTTTGTTGTTCCGTTTATGTTTTTAATGTTTCATGTGGAACCTACTGGAGCAGGTCTCCCTTGAAAAAGAGATCAGTGATCTCAATGGGATACACCTGGATAAATAAAGGTTTGAAATGAAAATGAAATGAAATGTTTAAATGTCCTTTTTATTACATTATCACCATGCAGGAAAGGCAGCACGTGAAAGAGAAAGGTTTACACATTCCACTGAATTAAATTATTTAATATGTACTGCAAAACAAGGCAAACACAAAAGTAACAGATGCCACAAAGTGAGTTTTACTTGTTTAAGCCCAATTGTCATGGTTACATTTAAAAAGCTACTTTTGTTTGTAGCCACAGAGCAGTTACAGATCAATAATTACAAAATGTCGCTTTGTCAAAGTACGGTGAGTCCCAAGGGGCATAGAAATGTGTGCTGGTGTTTTTTAGTTTGCCTCGTCCTTTGAAGCCTCGTCAAAGTTTTCAACAAGATCTAAAAACAGAAACAGAGGGAGAAGAGTGGAGAGGACAGAAAACAGTGAGCCGTAAAAGGTAAGAAAATGTCTCAAGGATCATAAGATTTAATATACAAATGAAACTAAATTACTAAATGTTACCATATGTATCAGCGCCATACATTCCATTTGTGATAATCTGTTTTTTCATTTCACACCAAGATACATTTAGACACAACTTAAAAGATTTAAAAAAACACATACTTGACGTGACAAAAAGGCAAACGTCTAAGTCAGCCTGTTCTTGACTGTAAGTGTTACGCCAATTGAATGCTATATTACATGAATAAAACAAAAATAATAACAATGTTTGTTTAAAAACAGGATGTGTAAATGTGCTTACCTGGAACATCATCATCCTCATCCTCTTCAGCAGCAACCATGGGGGCCATATCCTCTCCAGCTATGAGGGGGATGAAGTACAGCAAATCATTGATAGACAGCACAAAGAGAGTTCTGGTACATGCACACAGATCAGGAAAGAGTGTGAAGGGTACCTGGTCTGGGCAGGTTCTCTGCTAATCTCCTGAGGCTGGTGAGGCTGTCGGCTCCCAGCTGGTTCAGGATTCCTGGGAGCATCTCTGTGAGCTGCTTGTTCTCAGCGTGCCCTGTGATGGTGAAGGTGTTGGCCGCCAGTGAGGCCTGCACCTTTGGGTTGTTGAAGTGGATCACTGTCCCCTGGTTTGTGAACATGTTCACCTACAGAGGAACAAACAAGCAACAGAGAGTTTATGGTCAGTGTCAAAGAGGATGATGAACAGATTAAATCATCTTAACATGTACTTTCCTTGTTATTTTTTTTCATTGCTTCAGGATTAAATCAAATCAGTTAAAAGGTGGAGTCAGTACTTCTGGAGAACGATTGTTGATGTTTGAACACCCACACAAATACTCCCCTTCAGATACCATGCCTCTCTCCCCACTGCCTTTCTATGTACTTGGTTCAAATCCTCTTTGTTTGTTTCCAATTGACAGAGCCAGAGGCTGTGTATGCAACCCAGATTTGTATTTGTACATGCACACGAAGCAACTGAACAGCTAACGGAGATATGTGCTGAATTTGAGAAAAAGTGTATTGTATTAGACCTGCTGACTGCTTCTTTAAAAGAGAATTCCTTTGGTAATAATCACATTTCATTTTTTTTTAAATGTGGCATTCTATATGCTATTTGTAATACTTAATTGTATTACTTAAGAGTACCCTGTCCTAAGAGCATCATCGTCATGAAGAGGACACGTTTACTTACTTATTGTTAAGAATTTCAGAAATAATTTGCAGTACCTCTTCAATGCCAGAGATGTTGTTGACTCCCAGTTTTTTGAGGGAGAACTGCAGCTTCTTGTCATCTGCTGTTGCTGTTCTGTGCACCACCTTCTTCTTTCTGCGTGCTGACCCCTAGAGAGCACAACAATGAGCATGAATATAATATACCAATAATCCAATGTCAAAACATTTTCTTCAAGTCAATTGCCAGAATGAATTCCAACTCACCTTGCCGCCTATGCGGACCTGCGCCTGCAGTTTGGCGAGCTTCTCCTGGTTCATTATAAACTCCTTCATCTGACACAAGGAACACAATTGTATATATTTCAAATGTAATATTTGTTCACAAATAGAAAACACTTTCACCAAACACAGAGCTGGGAGACAAGAAAGCACCAATAGTAGCAGGAATAAAATAAGACAAAGCATATACATCAGTTCTCTTTAATTAAAACATGTTATAGGGTCAGTAAAACCATTAAAAAAAGGTTGTCAGAATTATTGAGATCATCATGGAAATCAGTCGATGGATCACTCAAGAAATCATCATTCAACATTTTACAATGTTCAAATTCTATTTTATAACAAGCAGTCTTTAGGCAAGACCACACAGACATGTGAAACATGGGATACCTACACTTATCATCATTACTTATTGTGTTTTCTATTGAGTCATTCCCATCATCACACATAGTAAAAATTGGATTTTGATATGAGAATCCCTAATAAAGAAATATGCAAAAAGTAGGCACCTAATGTATGACCTCAACAGTTCAATAAATACATTAGGTTTGCAATAACAATTAAGTGCCAAACCTAAAACCTAAAACTCCCCCAAATCCCCCCGTAGTCAGCTGCCAGAAGCCCAAAAATAGCTGCACACTTTTTAGTCTCGACTCAAGTTCTGCATGAATTAGACAGAGGTGGGCAGCTGAAGTGTGTGGCTAAGTTAGGTCTGCAACGTTCTGCTGGCTCGCTTTATAAGCTTAATTAAAGTATGCTTGGTTTTTCAGCCACTTAGTCTGGGCAACTTGTTTTTCAACCGGGGCTCTCAGAAAGTATGACAACTGAACTGTCGGTTTGTTAGCTCGCCAAGCTAAACAGCTAGCTCGGGCCTCTTTAAACTGACACTAACGCCCACGTATAATGAACATTTGTCCGCCACAGCGCATAGAGTGAGACAAGGGACTGTTCCTCTACAATGCCTAATATATATGGGGCTCAGACAGCTTATACAATACGTCAGTGAGGTAAACTAACCTGGGAGTGTGTAAACACGCGGGTCACACAGTCGATAGAAGCTCGGAGAAAGGAGTGAGTACCGGAAGTGGCGTTCTGAGATGCATAACTTAGCGGATGTGCCCAACATTTTTTTCAACTAATAAATTAATGTGACTTAAAACATTAAAGTGTATTTTTTTCTAAATAATAATATGTATCTGGTCACATTTGAGGCAGCAAAGAGCATGTCCAATTATTTACCTATTTCTGAAATGTACATAAAGAAGTGAGCTCTTGAAACTTCTGATAAGATAAGGGTTATTATTACATTAGGAAATATACAAAAACATACTTTAACACTACTGTTTAATTCAGTTTGTTTAATACTAGGTTGGTATGGTGCCATTTAAAATAGGAAAAAAAAGAATAACGTTTTCCTTCCAGTGAACAATAAAGATATGCCATTGATAACGGAAGTCGTCACGTTGTAATCATGGCGTCCTCCAGCGCACGAGAGGCAACGTGATAGCTCCTTAAAATGATCAACTTTTGGTTTACTTGGAAAACCAACATAAGTATCATCTAATTTCAACACATCATAGTTAAAAGGTAAGTTTGCACTCTTACACCTTTTCGTTCAATTCTGAGAATCATCAGAAAGCAGTTTAGTAGAAAATGCTAGGCGGCTAAAGCGCATTGTGCTAACCCTGCTGTGGTGAACACGTTGGCTCTGGTCTCTTTTCTAGCAAGCTGCCTGTTGTAGCGTGTAGTTTAAAATAATAATTCAAGGCTATATTTATGTCTAAATGCGCAGCGAAGACATCTGCTGTCTCGAAACAGTGACACTGTTGGATTACAATTAACTATTTTGTGCATAGTTTGTTGGGTTGTGATACTGTTGGGTTAAACACTTAAGTGTGTGGCCTTTATGTCAATGTTGCTGCATTTAGTAACCCCTTTGCTGGTTGTATTCTTGTGAATTCATTTTTGTTTCGCTTTTAAGTATTTTCAATCCAGTTTATCCACGTTTATTTTCAATTAAAACAAGCTTTCACGTTGTAAGAAAAACCACCTTATTTCATCCTGACTGACAGCATCATAATCTGCTTGTTTGATCCAGCTCCTTGTTAGAGCTCTATCGGGTTTACAGATGTAAATTTAACGACAACAAACAATTTAAAGTACATTTATCTTGGTTTGAGAATTGTTGGACTGCATTGAATGCATTTGTATTTGACCAACCAGGTCAGAGGGGGATTTAAGTGTCATATATCTTGCAATGTGTTCATGGTTTTTGTTTTCCCTACCAGAGTATTTGGTGATCAGCAGAAAAATGGCTTCATTTAAACCTACCAAAATCCAAGTCTATCCTAAACTTGGAGAGAAAGTCACACAGGACACACTCTACTGGAAAAACTACAAGGTAAGTCTCCTCTAGTCTAGTGTATATTGTTTTGATATTACAGAGACAACCTTATCATTTTTTCTAGATCTCAGCAATGCATCTTTCTTTCTTCTCTTGCAGGCTCCGCTCCACATAAAAGAATTTGGAGCAATCACAAATATAGACTTCTCCCCCGTGGCCCCACACAACTTTGCTGTGACAGCATTCACAAGGGTATGTTGTCTACTTTTTCTGAATTTTGTAAATCTTTAAGGGATGTCCACCTATCTTTTTATACATGTATAAAAATAATTGATTAGATTTTGCCATTTCTTTTCAATTACCACCACAGCCAACAATATAAGGCGGCAGTAGGAGATGGTGTCTACTAGTTATTGTCTATTGAATCAATTGTTGAATGATGATCTCTTGAGTGATCCATCGTCTGAATTTCCTGATGATCTCAAGTATTCTGACAACTAATAAACTGTTTTAAACTTATTTTTTTGCATTTAGTCAAGTGTTCACTCTTTTTAAAGCAATTTTTGTTACGGTAAATCCTCTGAATAAGCAATGTGTATGCATTTTCTCATTATAACTCTGGTTACTCTTCAGATCCACATTTACGGGCCATTCTCCCAGGAGCCTTTGAAGTCATTTACACGTTTTAAGGACACTGCATACTGTGGCAGGTTCAGGTCAGACGGTCAGCTGCTCGTGGCAGGATGTGAGGACTCTGTGGTCCGGCTGTTCGATGTCAGCGGCAAGGTGGCTCTCAGGATGTTCAAAGGGCACACAAAGTAGGTATCCCATGTGTAACATGTCCGGGTGGTCTTGCCTAAAGACTGCTTGTTATAAATTTGAACATTGTAAATGTTGAATGATGATTTCTTGAGTGATCCATCGACTGATTTCCATGATGATCTCAATAATTCTGACAACCTTTTTAAAACGGTTTTACTGACCCTATAGCATGTTGTAATTAAAGAGAACTGATGTATATGCTTTGTCTTATTTTATTCCTGCTCAGGGCTGTACATGTTACAGACTTTATCTCAGACCGTTACCAGATCCTCACAGGGTCAGACGACTACACGTGTCGACTTTGGGACCTCCCAAATGCCACTGAGCTCAACAACTACCAAGAACACACAGATTATATTCGCTGTGGCGTTGCCAGCAAACTCAACAGAGATCTCTTCATCACTGGTGAGATAGAGGGGTGACACATTTGTTTATAAAACAATGTTTGCATGCCAGGTCAAATGTCTTTTTGTAACCAGGAGATTCTTCAATATAACCACTATTGAACAACATCTTCCATCGTGGCGTTTAGATTAAACTGATTTACAGATGTACAGCCAAAATCAACCAACATTTCGCCATTTGATTTTCCTTTTTATTTTTCTGAACAAAACTTAAATATGAAAAGAAAGAACATATGGGATAATATAAAGCAAGCTGTGAATCAAGTCCTGCTCAGTCTGCCATGGTTGATTTTGCAATAATGACCAGCTCACTGTACATTATCCCGCTTTTCACATGGCTACTTGGGAAAACAATAATTTAACTCTACATTTTTATAGAAAAAATGTAGAGTTAAAATGAGAAATGTTACTTTTGCTAAGAAATAGTATGTTTTATTATACTGATTAGCAATAGTTGGTGGTGAGGGCTAGCTATGATATTTATTCATGTTGTCAAACTTTAAGAAATATGATCTATCCTTGTCCTTATGTAAAATGGAATTGGGTAAGTTTTGCCATTCAAACGGTTCCATTAAATGACTTTAGATTTTCCTTTTCAATTACCAGCACAGCCAACAATGTAAGGCAGCAGTAGGTGATGGTGTCTACTGAAGTTCTTGCCTATTGAATCAATTGTTGAATGATGATCTCTTGAGTGATCCATCGACTGAATTTCCTGATGATCTCAAGTATTCTGACAACCTATAAACAATTTTACTCTTGTTTTTCGCCACAGCTGATATTACATTTACCATCATTAGCATGTAGTGTATATACCTCAAATAATTTATTTGCATTGTCAGTGGAACCTGCAAATAAAAAAACGTATCAAGCTACAACTTTTGAGGCAGACTGCCCCTGCAGATGGAAGAATTAAGGAGTTTGATAGGTTTTCATGTGACTAACAGTTTATGTTTTGATCCTAGGATCTTATGACCACACACTAAAACTGTTTGATGCCAGAGTGGATAAGAGTGTGATGACCATGGACCACGGCCAACCAGTGGAGAGTCTGCTTCTCTATCCTTCTGAGGGACTCCTCGTCTCTGCAGGTAGTCATCCATTAATACTTTTCTTGCTCCATCAGTGCATCAGCAAAATGTGCAAATTATATTACCAGTGTTTAATTATTTGAAGGGTCCTCCACCTTGTTAAGGTTGACAATGGTTGCTGATAAAGACATAACATATGTAGTAGTAAGCCAGGCAGCATTAAGGTCAATTTCATGCTTGCTTGTGACTTGAATCAGGACAAAAACGACATGAAATAGTTTTCCTACACTTGCCGCCTCCCTAAAGGACTCTGGATTTACCACCACAGCCAACAATAAAGGCAGCAGTAGGAGATGGTGTCTACTAGTTCTTGTCTATTGAATCAATTGTTGAATGATGATCTCTTGAGTGATCCATCGTCTGAATTTCCTGATGATCTCAAGTATTCTGACAACTAATAAACAGTTTTAAACTTATTTTTTTGCATTTAGTCAAGTGTTCACTCTTTTTAAAGCAATTGTTGTTACGGTAAATCCTCTTGTTGGATTCAAGCAAACTATATTACCAGTGTTTAATTATTTGAACAGTCCTCCACCTTGTTAAGGTTGACAATGGTTGCTGATAAAGACATAACATATGTAGTAGTAAGCCAGGCAGCATTAAGGTCAATTTCATGCTTGCTTGTGACTTGAATCAGGACAAAAACGACCTGAAATCGTTTTCCTACACCTCCCTGAACTTGACCAACTCTTGCACACATGCTTCCTTATATTTACTAATGTACGGGACATTTTAAAATGTATTTTTTCTACTCTCTTTAGGTGGCCGCTATGTGAAAGTATGGGATCTGCTGAAGGGAGGCCAGCCTCTGGTGTCCTTGAAGAACCATCACAAAACTGTCACGTCTTTGTGTCTCAGCAGCAGCGGCCAGAGACTGCTGTCAGCTTCTCTGGACAGGTATGGGCAAACCTCACTGTAAAATGGCGTACAAAGAAAACATATTCTAATCTCTGGAAATCAGAGCCCACTCTAATCTGTCATCCAATTATTACAAAAGTTATTTTTATATAAGCCTGATCTAATGCAGAGCATTTGTTTGTCTTTCAGGCATGTAAAGGTGTACAACACAACCAACTACAAAGTGGTCCACAACTTTGACTACGCTGCCTCCATCCTCAGTCTGGCTCTGGCTGTAAGAAATTACATTAAATCCTTCATCATGTTCTATTATATGTTTTAATTGTATTTATGATAATTACACAATGGTTGATGAGTAGCCACATAAGAAAATCCTTATTGAGTGCTTGTGGCCTATACACATGCAAATAAACAACATCAGAGATCAAAATTCCCTTTTTATCTGAGGTGCACCATCAGAGCAAGCTATGATTTGACCAACGAACTGAGACTGCAAGGTGATAGACCTAGTGTCTGCTGCAGCCAACACAAATATCTATGCTTGCCAGGGATTTAAACCCATGAAACAGTACATCCTATCCTCAGTCTTGGCTTTAGGGCATTGGGTTTCCAGAACACAATGTCCAACCTAACAGTGATCTGACAGCTTTGTTTTTTTCACTTTGGGTTTGCAGTGCTTTTAGATTTTCATTTTTCAATTACCACTGCAATCTCTGATTTGCTTGAGACTCTCACTCCTGAAAAGAAATTCTTCCCAGCTATAGCCAACAATATTATCCAATGGAACAGGAGGTGACTGTGTCTTCTGAAGTTCCTGTGTAGTGAAATGTTGAATGATGATCCCTTGAGTGATCCATCGTCTGAATTTCATGATGATCTCAAGAATTCTGACAACTTTTAAGCTATTTTACAGACTTATTAATGGCTTCTTGTGTTTAATTTGATTTCTTCCCTGGATTTCTAGTAAAACTATGAATGTGTCTTTTTTTCCTCAGCCGGATGATGAATCAATTGTTGTGGGTATGACCAATAGTATCCTGAGTATCAAACACAGGAAAAGCCTTGAAGATTCAAAGGAAATCTCTGGCCAACAGAGGCGGCGGCCGTCGTATCGTGTTTTTGTGAAGGGGAAGAACCCTGTCCCTAAACAGGTATGTTTATATGTGGTTTACGTACAGCAGCTGAAGTCAACAGTACATGATGTGATCTATTGATTGATGATTACACATGTGTGAACTGAATCATATCATAACATGGCTAATGGCTATGTTTCTGCTCACTGAGTTATAATATAAGCCCATTCCAATAACTTGTATATAGACACGTACTGCACTATTCCACATCATCACTTTATTTTATAACTATTTTTCTTTTTGTATTGCTCTTGCTATCTGTATTGTTATTATGTTGCATTGTTGGAGAAGCCTGTGACATAAGATTTTCAACTACATAATTACTCTGTAGCTATGTCAGATTGACAATAAAGAACCTTGAACCTTTTCTTTCTCACCATTGTTAATTATTCTTGTTTTTCTATCTTTTTTTCCAGGATGATTATCTCGTCAGCAAGCCAGTGAAACAGCATCTGGCCAAATACGACAAGCTGCTCAAGATATTTAATGTCACAAAGGCTTTGGATACAGCTCTGGCGGTATGCATTTATAAAAAGGCAAAATAGTATGTTTTATTATACTGATTAGCAATAGTTGGTGGTGAGGGCTAGCTATGATATTTATTCATGTTGTCAAACTTTAAGAAATATGATCTATCCTTGTCCTTATGTAAAATGGAATTGGGTAAGTTTTGCCATTCAAACGGTTCCATTAAATGACTTTAGATTTTCCTTTTCAATTACCAGCACAGCCAACAATGTAAGGCAGCAGTAGGTGATGGTGTCTACTGAAGTTCTTGCCTATTGAATCAATTGTTGAATGATGATCTCTTGAGTGATCCATCGACTGAATTTCCTGATGATCTCAAGTATTCTGACAACCTATAAACAATTTTACACTTGTTTTTCGCCACAGCTGATATTATATTTACCATCATTAGCATGTAGTGTATACACCTCAAATAATTAATTTGTATAGTCAGTGGAACCTGCAAATAAAAAAACGTATGGATTTGGATAAAGCTCTGGAGGTATGCATTTATAAAATGGCAACAAGGCAACATCCTTTTCTTGTAAAGTTTTGCTTTTTTTTTCAATTTGCAATACAACTCAGTCAGCTACTTTTACTTTTGAGTGTTATGAATTCATCTCACTATCCTCGATATTGGAAGCTGAAACCCAACCCTCCTGCACAAGCAAGCATGGCAAAATGTTTTTAGTATGATTTGACTTGTCATTAATGAATGTAATTGCATTTATAGACATGGACCAGACACCGAAAGCCAGAGATCACAGTGTCTGTTATGAAGGAGCTGGATCGAAGGGGGACGTTGAAGAACGCTCTGGCAGGAAGGGATGAACAAGCCCTCACTCGGTTGCTAAACTTTCTCATAGGGTAAGACAAAGATGAAACTTCATTACTCAAGTAGACTTCAACAATGTTTAACTTATTGAGCCTATGTGTTATCAGATGCATTGAATTAGTTTATTGTACATCAAACCATGTACAAATATTTCGCAACCTGATAACTTTCTTCTGTTTGTTCTCCAGGAACATGGTTGACCCCAGGTTTGCTCCTGTCCTGGTCACAGCGGCAGAGATGATCCTGGACATCTATCGGTCGGTTATCGGACAGTCTCCACTCGTGGACCGACAGCTGCTGCGTCTGCAGGAGCTGCTGGAGAAAGAGATCGACTACCAGCAGGACCTCCTGGAGGTGATGGGCATGTTGGACACGATGTTCGCCTCCTCCTTTCCCAGGATGGAGGTTCCGTGCCCTGGCATCAGCAGGGCTAATGGCCTGGCCGGGGGGGACGGGATTACCTTGAGACCACAGATTCAGGCTACCTGAGACTAGGAGGGCAGGGGGGCTGCTTAAGACTGGGTTAGAGTGCCTTCACAACTCTAAAAATCTCTTTGAAACATCTGACACACATTTCCAGACATGACAGACCACATGTCAGCAAACTGGAATTGATATAGGTTTTTAAGAGACTGACAAACCCATGAGCTCCCTGGCGTTTTAACTCGGCGTGACTGAAAACGCAGCAGGCAACAGAGAGAACATGCATTTACTGCATGAAGTATCTTTCTATGTGTGAATGGGAAGGGACTTGATTTTTTTTGTTTGAAAGTCTGGAAATAACACTTTCAAATGTAAATGTGTCTGGATGCTTGTGTGTTTTGAATGATTGAACTGTTAATGTCTGCTTTCTGTTTTCATAATATTTGGCAGTGGCAAATGTTTTATAAGCAGATGTGAATAAATCTTTGTAATATTGGAACTGACTTTTCATAATTGTGTTCAAATGGTAAGAAAACTCGACTCAAGTCTGATAATGGTACCGATTTTAACGTGTGTATTTACCCTTTTCTCTGCACACGTCACTCTTTTATGGCCTTCCACCAGAGGTCACTGTAAGCTCAAAGAAACATATTAAGAGGAGGAATTTGCACCAGGCGGAAGACACGGAGCACCAACACTGGCAGAGAGGAGGATGCTCTCTCAGTGGAGGCTGTAGCTCACACTGAAACAGCCGCAGCACCGACTGAACGCCATTTCTCAACTTGAAGCTTAACGGCGCCACTTGAATTAGCAGTGAGCAACAGGAGGATGTGTCCGGGTTAGCTGCTCTGTTTTTGCTGAAATTAAGCCCATTGTCAGGTTTCTTCTTGCGGAGTTTGAGCTGTGAAGGTACGTCAATAATGTGAACATTTTCTTCCAGCTGTTGAATTGTTTTCCAACGTGAGTCCTACTTATATTGACAGTTTGCTAACATGTCAACGCTGGTCGAATATAGCGCTGTAAAACGAGCCTTACATTTATTATGCAGCTAAATAGGTCAACATTAAACCACGAGTCAAACAATAATAAAAGAAAAAACACTTTTCTTAAAGTAGACAATCAAGTTTGTGCTATTTAATAATAAATCATCAATATAGTCCCATCATTATCCCAACTGTCATGTGATGAGCAGTTTTTATTTTGTAAAGCTAGCACACTGAAGTCATACTCGGTTTTTTTTTGTCATGCTTTGACCATTAAAAATATAGCGTTTTAATGCAACATGTCTGTATAAGAAACAGTTTCTTGTAAAATGATTGAAATGAGTATTTGCTATTGAGTCCAGTTTAGGAAGCGGCCACTGATAAAGAACAGATCTGAATCCTGCAGCAGTGAAACTCAATCGATTTCCTACTTTAGCTGGCGAGCGCACATGCACGAGTAGTCTGGCTACACACTGCCTGCAAATCATTTGGCGCATTTTTGGTGTTGTGGTACTGTACACACAGGTAGAAAGCATCGTCATTAAAATCATTATTCACATAGTTGAGATCAAAAGATGATCCTGTCCCATCGGAGGACCTCTGACTCCGTTTGGCCCAGATGAGGTTTGATAATCTCTTCGGGATCAGAGGAGCAGGCAGAATAACCAAAGTAATGAGGAGTCACGTGGCTTCACTGAGTGTTGGATTTCCTTTTTGTCTCTCAAATGTCTGTCCATGTTTGTCTGCAGTTGCTGTGCAGATGGAGCTGAGCAGGAGGAAAGTGCCTCTGTATGTGAGTATGTGCTCCAGTTTGCAGTCAAGTATGAGTTCTCCAATTCATCTCAAGAGTTAGTCACCCCTCGGGAAATCTCTGCAAATTGAGTTGGGAATGCATTGAGAGATCAGAAGCCTGGTTTACAAAAAAGAGTCTATGATTTCAAGATCTAAGATATGTTGTTCTTATGACCAAACCATTTTGCATTAAAATGCAATGAATATATCTGAAGAAATGCAACTGTTTTCTGTGTTTGCACCACTACAGTATGTTATTTAAGTTCACTAAAGTCACTGTATGTACGAGTCTTTTAAAATAAGATTAGGGTCAATGAAATGCCACGATGACAGCAGACGAATGTTTTAGACTTTGAACAGACGGCCACTGTATGGTCTGAATGCAAGGTCTCTGGGTTTTTCTGTTGATTTATTTAAGCACTGACTCATAGTTTCTTAAAGTTAGGCAACAATAGCAGTCTGGCATTTGTTTGTATAACTAGCAAATCAGTAACTATGTGCTTCATTCACAGCAATGATTTTATTTAGAGTAGGAAAGGTATTTGCTATCCGTTTGATTTGTTGTGTATCTGGTTAAACCTTTGGATCTATTTTCTTTAAGTTAAAACTGAAGCCAAACAGGGCAACACTGCATTCAAGTATTTTGTTATTTATATAAGTTTGGGAACTTAACCAAGTATGCAAACATTAATAAGAGCTTATGCTTCTCTAAAGATCAGAGGGTGAAGACATTGATCACACTGTGTTCAGTCAATTTAATCCTTTCTAGTTTGACATGTTTTCAAGGCTGCTTTCCTTCTTCCAACGATCTTGTCCATTTAGTGTAATGAAACCGAAATTCCTTTGATACTGTGCTTGTTTTAGAAGCCCACAAATACATAATTGAATGACATGACTTGGACTCAACTCACACATTTGATGAGTTTAGACTTGACTTGATGAAATCAAAACAACGTGCAACTCCACTTAAAACACAAATGACTTGTGACTTCACTTGGGCTTGGGCCTTATGACTTGAAACCACTCGATACCTCTATCCAAGCCCATAATAAGAAAGCATGTTATTTAAAAATAAATAATAATATTAATTCCCTTAATTTTCTCAGCTAACAATATTGCTATTCATTCCTAGAAAGCCGACACGGAGTGCACCAGATCCACTTGGTTTGAAAAAACTGGATAGCATCCAGTCATGTTTTAGGGGAGAACCCTGAAGAATTAACGTACCGTTGCTGATTTGATATGACTTGTTTAGGACTTGAAACACAAAGTTTAGGACATAGGACTTGATGACCTGTCGTTCTTGAATTTGGCCTTAATTGGAAAGACTTGAAACGTACTTGTTACTTGGAAAAAATGACTTCATCCCGTCTGGTAGCTACTAAAACAGGAAAGTTGAACAATGTTTTACAGGTCTACAGACATAATTTTCACTCTTTGAGGCTTGGAGCAGGATACTCACATTCCTGCATACCTTCATTTGCTTACTGAATTTAATGGAAATAAGATGGAGGTAATGGGTCGATAAAAAATCATTGATTTGTGGTCAATCACATGGAGGTGAGGAATCTCAACGAGAGTTCAGGAAAAGATCTGTAGACATTATAGAATGTGTGTTAAACCTGATGTTCTCTATTTCAAAGACTAGGGATCAAGACGTGTATAAATGAACCTGAAGGTAGGATTAGGTGAGAGGGATAGTCACGGAGCCAGGATTACTCACAGTGCCGCTATCATAGACAGCAAGAGGAGTAAAGAAAAAAGCCTCTCAGTTTTATGGCGTGAGAAAGTAGGTCAGCTGTTGAGGTGATTCAAGGCTAATAGATATACTCTCATGAGAAAAAGAGCCAGACTACTTAAAAAATCTCCTCACTCTCACATCATTCAACACTAATCTGAGACATTCATTGCAATTCAAGTCGAGCCTTATAATTTACATTTTTTTGGTGTGGCTTCTTTCCTTCAACCTGTCAGCTGTACTTCTTCCTATGTCAGTGGTTTGATATTTTTCCCAGAGTAACCCACACAGTGTGTCTTGTGGTTGCATTGCTGTCTGGTCTATTGAGGACATTGTAGCTGGACAAATTGATATCCTGCAGGTCGTAGATGATGGCGGAAAGTGGCAGCTCTCCAAAGGAGGCCAGTGGCCCTGGAAGATGTCTCTTTTTTTCTTCTGCGGGTCTGAAACTAACATTATGTTTATTTTAATCTGTCCACAGTAAAAGGTTCACAACCAAAAAGACCCAGAATAATTTAAAGTTGCAATATTCAAAATGTTTATATCAATAATTGGTTGAACTACATCGTGTAGTGAGAAAGGAGCTGTTCATTGACAAACTCACACATAATTAAAACCTTACACTCAAGTTCTCATCAGCCTAACAAAATGTTTCAGCCTCTAATTGTTTTGGTTTTATTTCCTGCAGCTGTACTGTTTGTGTAGGTCTCACTGCACTCATGAGTACATTGTTTTACACAGAAAAAAGTCTTATAACCCCATGGTACATTGCTTGCCCAGCAGCATACAGCAGACTGGCAACATAAGCCACTTGTTGGTGAGTTTTAAGCCGGTTGAGGTACAAATATATTTTCCTCTGGAGATGGTAGAGACCAAAATGTAGATTTGTTATAACATTTAGAGTTGCATTCCTTAGATAGACAAGTGGCTCTGTGTCTGCTGAATCTAAATAGCCTTCTGTTTAATTTTATAAGAAGAGAATTTGTCGTATTTACAACTTGTCTGCCTTTTTAATACTTTAATTGTTCTTGCCGTATTTCAAATATTGTTATTAAGCTATTGTTTCGCATTAGTAGTCAACAATTAATTTAACATGCTAGTCATTTTACATCCACTCCACAGATAGTAATACAACTAGCCAGATAGCAAGCCAGCTGGCTGAGGTAATGAAACAAAAAAGCCAGGTGAGACAATTTGACCTAAAACATCAGCCCCTGTCATTTGGATGAATTGGCTGACGTTATCTACTCAAGATCATTCATTTTAGTAACACACTTTTGAGGCTGTTGGGGAGCTATAGGCACTTAACAATGGTAGAAATATACATTATTCTATAAGCCGTTTTAGGCAACCAAGAAAGTTGTGGAAGGATTCGGTTTTGAAGTTATGTTACAATATGTATCGGCAATACAAAGCGATAAATAAATGTACATTTTGACATGTATTCACAGAGTCCAGTGAGGCTGGCACATTACATGTTGTTCAAAGGCCAGTAATCAGCCTACAAATCAGTGTAAATATTCTGCCCTATTTCACTTTTCTCTGCCTCAGGTCAGAAGTCTAAAGTGTTCTGGCCTTTTAGGATCAGGGCAGGTCTTTGCAGTAGACTTCAAGACATTCCTGGTTTTATTGAGGGGTAATGTTCTATGGTCCTCAATTGGCATGCTGTGAGGGGATTTAGTGTACTTCACAGAAATGAGCCTGTATCTTTAGGAATATAAATATATCTTGCTCTCAAGCATCTTTCGTCTTCATTTTCTCTTTCAAACTCTCTGAATTGTCTTTGTCTTAGGGCCAGGCGAAAGTATTTGCACTGCTGGATGGTTTTGACTCGCTGCCCGAGGATGCAGAGGTCTACGTTGTCTTGGAAGGATCCACACTGGTCCATGTCACCAGGGCTCTTAGTGATGTCATGCTCTGCTTTATAGTTCCTGGTATGTTACGGTGTATGCCTGTAGATCATACTATATTGATGTGTGTGTATATTAGGTCATTTGCTATGTTTTTCCTCCAAAAGGGAGAATTGATTTAGAACACCATGTTCAGACATAACCCTCCACTGCACAATCTGACAACTCCAGGTTTTTCTTATTGTCTGTGATAAACTCATGAACAGTATATCACTATTTTGATCTTCCCCCACACACACACACACATACAAATGGAAACACACTTGCACAATCACAGTCTGTGACTTGAGGTCTGGAAAGGCACAGAATCTTATCAGCTTCCTCTCAGGGGGGAAACGGCTCCATAAACAATACGTCAACATTACTGAGCCTCTGTGTAGGTTGACACAGACAACAGGCAGTCCTGCAGGCTTGAGCACTCTCTACTATAACGGCACTATTAAAAGCAAGTCGTCTTCTCCATAAAAGAAAAGCCCTTTCAGCATACAAAATGAAAATCTGATAACATTTTTAACCACAATAATGCACTAAGGCTCTGGGATGAAACATAAAAGGTATATTTTAAGGACCTTACCAGTGGATTTGTGTTTTTAGAGGGTGACCTACAAATTCAGACTGTATATAAATACTCTTTTTATTTAAAAGAAATACAAATCTGCTCTGAATAAAATCTGTGTTTTAACGGGTCGTTTCTTTTTAGGTCATAACCTGGCTGAGGTGGTGTCTGTGCAGGCCTACCTGTGTTCTGAAACTACACCCCTCACCTGGGTGGGCGGGGCTTCTCTGGAGTATGTCCAAGATGATGCTCAGGTTAGATATAATTTACACTGCCTGTAAATTTGTGCTTACCCGAGGTTAAAATAACCTGCTTGGGAATGGATTATTGTTATCATATTCTTTATGCTTCTCAACTTTTATCCGTTTTATTGTGTTGCACTGTTGGAGGAGCCTGTGACCTAAGATTTTCATTGTCATAACTACACTGTAGCTATGCACAAATGACAATAAAAGCCTTGAATCCTTGAAAAATTACAATAAGCTTATATTAAAAAAACTTGTTTTCTAAAACGGTGAAAAAAATCTATTTTCTGTAATTAATGTTAAGTGAAATAATTATTTGCTTTGAAAAAACTAAAACATTTCACCTTTGTTGTGTAGCATTGGTTTTCACATGACTGTTTCAAGGATTGATCTTATTCTTTTTTCTTCTCAGGACCTGGCAGAGCACCTGGTAGTCCACGGACATTGCCTTAGCTCCAGGGATCACAAGGATCTGAGCAGCCTCTTCAATCTGGGCCAGCAGAGCTCTCGCTGGGCTATGGATCGTCGCGTCACCCTGGCCATGGCAAATCTGGATATCCCCCAAAACTGGAATGTACTAGGGAGCCACAGCGGAGATGGTGAGAGCAGGATTTTCTCATCTTGTTTAATGGGATTTCCTGCACAGATAAGTTTATCTAAAGCACATAGTATTTGTTTTTTATTACACAACAATGTATACACAGGAAACATTAGGTGGATAAGCTTAAAGCATAAAGCTTTGAGGAAGACGGATAAGGTTGTAATGTTTAACTGTCAGAAATTGGTTTAAGGAAATATGTCGTTTTTTATAAAGAGGGATCTCTCAGCATCGCACTGAACACTCAAAGCCAGCTATATCTTAGGAAGGTGAACTCTTCAACTCCCCCTCCTCTTTCCTCTGCCATCCTTCCCATTTGCAATGCTTACTGTGTAATCGGAAGTGAACATGGTCACATGTGTGCTTCTGTTGGACTCATCAAAGCCAATTAGGCAGCATATAATGTGGTTAATAGAGCCTTTCCTTCTGGAAGTAGCCCTAGGCAGAGACTAATACATCTTAGGGCAAGTATGTGTGTGTGTTTGCGTGCGTGTGTGTGCTGACCACCATCTTGACTGTCACCATCTGTCTCTATGATCTAAGTGTTTGTGTAGGGCCACCTACATAAATAATAAACTAGATTTAGCATTAACAAAGTTAGGGCAGTCTGTTTCTTTGCAGCGTCTCCCTCTAAATGTCTGCAGTTCATTTCATAACACTGCTCACAACATCATTCTACTGCCGATGCTGTACTGACTTATCAATCCCAGCTAACCATTGGTGCTTTGTTCATAGTGCTTTCTACATTTTAAAGGAATGGAAAAATCCAATTCTTTATCAACATTTAGATATTTGATTGGATCTTGGAATCATTAGATTTTCTCTGGGCAGCTCTGAAGAAGTTGAAATGTAATACCTTTGATACAGCCTGCAAAGATGTGCGGATCTGTCTTTAAAGGTCAAGGAGGCTGGCAGATGTTTTTTCTATACACAATATTCTTGGACAGATCAGACAGAGTTTTGTTCTAGAATTAAAGCGTAGACTTATAAAGGTGATCTTGCTTTATGTTAGTCAGTTATTAGCTGTTGTTTCACTTAAAGTGACTTCACTTTGACTAGAATAGTAGAATAAGGTATTTCTGGCACCAGCTTGGCCACATTGGCTGCACAGTATGTGGGTGAAAATAACCCTTTTTTCATCAATATGATTCCTAATGCTTTCTGTAGTCCACTATTATTCAAAGGCAAAATGATATATAATCTAAAATAAAACCGCATTACCCCTTTGCAGTTAAATACCAACTGTGATGAATAATTGTTTTTTGATAAAACTGTCTAGGTGTTGATCGTGTTTCATGTTTTAGGCTATATTTTGGTTATTTAGTTATATTTTCTTCTTGCTCTGGCTGTTATTGAGTGATGCTAAATAAATTCAGACAGCATCTTCCTGGCCGCTTTGTATCTCTGTAAGTTGCCTTGAAAACTAAGTGGAGAAAAAGGTGATTGTCGGCTTATTGTTATTCAAGTTACGAAATTCTGCAGTTGCCTCAATAATTGAGATGTTTTGTCTGAATTTCTAGAACATCAAGTCTGAATTTCTAGAAAATCAATGACAAATGCTGCTGCAATGTTATGGGACGAGGTCAACAAAGTATTGTTGACATATGTCTACCAAAAACTGCATCAGCATTAAGGAACAGTGGTTGTAGTAAACCTGCACCTTACTTAATGACACCCCACTAGATATTTGATTAACAGTCAAATAAAAAAAGTACCTTTTTAAGTTGATATACCTAGGAGCTTTTAAGCTAAGTTTCCTTTATTTTGTCTGAATTGGGTTTAACAATTTTCCTTTGATCAAGCCTACTAGCTGCTTGACTGAAGCTGTTTTGATGCATGTCTGTCACCTGGAGACAGATCTGGTTGAACTGCGTTGAGTAACAGACACAGAAATAAGTAGCTGCCCCTACTTTGTTAAGAAAAGCTTTTATTTAAGTGTGTCAGTGGGGCAGAGAGACCCAGGGCTATGCAAGAGGACAAATCAATCATTGGCATTTAGGTTAATTATCACGAGTAGGTTATCAAGAGGCACTTCTTGACATGATAGGTTACTCTTTATCTCACGTTTAACCCTTCGTTCCTGTCTTACTGTTAACATCCTACCTACCTTTATCTCTGCAGTTATATTTTTTATTTAATTAGATTTCTTCCTTCATCTCCAGAGCACAGTTTCAGGGAGTCTCCCCTCCACATGGCCGTGCGATGGGGTCTGTATCGGCTTGCAGAGCTGCTGCTTTGTCAGCCGGGGGGTCTGATGGCTGTCAGTCTGCCAAACGAAGAGGGAGTGACACCGCTGCAGCTGGCACAGACAGCCGGCAACACCGAGCTCCTGGAGCTGCTCACACAGTAAGATTATACGGCAGGGATACTGGCAAATGAATCACTGTTAAGCTGTAACATTAGGTGTTGAGTGCAGTGCTTTCACACACAGTAAGGGAAAGCTCTCATTAAAACCAGGAAAAGACAACACTTTCCCCTTCTACTCAAGTAGGACTCAGATCAGGGTGTTGCACTTTTCCTTGTTCATGTGATGTTTTGGTGTTGTTTTTTTGTTTTCCCTTAACTGTCAAGTGGGAATTAAGTGTTTTTTGTAAGTTTTTGTGTTTCTCTTATTTTCCTACGATACTGCAATGATTGGCTGTGAATACGAAAATATGAAGGACAGACCATCTATTTATATTCCCTTTTTTTTTTGTTGAGAAAGGGGCAGGTTATATAAGATTATTTTCTTCTCCCTGCTCCTATTCGGGTGTGGTGTGTTTACAGAGACATGTTTTGTAAATAATTGTTATACATTGAGTTTGTGCATACCATGAACGGAACAAATACAAATGAAATGAAATATGACAAGATAGATATTTTGCCGATGACTACACACAGTGCTAAACACCTGTATGTGTACATGGCCGAAAATGACTGAATCACCATCATCTGAAATGCTGACAGTGCTTTAGAGTTTTTTTCATAAATTAAATTATAAACATAACAAAAATAATTAACTTTCTATTGAGATTTTTCATGGTGTAACAATTATTCTCTTTGAACATCAACCCTAATGTTTTGAATGGTTGTGATTAAACCGGCCCACCTGTTGTGCTACAGCCCCCCCAACCCTCTGGCCACGCCTCCAGCAGGTCTGTCCCAGGTGTGGGCCGACCGGTCCCGCCTGCTCAGGTTCTGTCATGATATGGGGAACCTGACTCTGACCGTCCGACAGAACCTGAGGTGGAGCTCAGAGGACAGTCGACACGCTGACATCCTGCTTCTCAGAGACCGGCTCAGAGATGAGGACTTTCTCAGAGAGGTGAATTGTCAACGTTAACTGGTGCTGGGTCAAGGTTTGAACCCCCCTCATCGCCCCAACCAAGGCAACCCAAACAAAATGAAGCAATTCAGCTTTAATTTATAGAGAGATGGGATTTTTTTAGTGGAGGAAATTGCGCTTTTGAGGTTTTGGTGATACACAATTATAAACTGCAAATAATGTACCTGAAAGTACCATCAAAATAAAGCTAGTTAGAAATGATGTAATTTCACATACAAAGTAAGAATAGAGTCACCACCTCCCAGCCCTATGCTTCAGTTTTACAGCATCCTCTTACTTAAACATCACCTTTCCTCCTACAGATCAAAGCTCTCAGGAGGGAACGTGTGGAGACCCTCTCGGGGAAGGAGGAGCTGGTGGATGATCCTGCCGAGACCGGTAACTTTATTTTACCCTTCTTAATCTTTGTGGGTTTTAAGAGGCCCGGTTAAACCTCAATCTGAACTCTTTGATGTTGCAATGGTCTGCCAATCTTTGTTCGAGTGGTCTATGAGGCTTCATACTGTGGCTTGACTCAGGCTTTATTAGCTGACATTGACTGCCCTCCTGTGGGGTTTTTCAGGTATTACTGTTGCAAAGATACATCAAGATAACGTGTCTTATGTGAACCTGATTAACAGTAGAGTAAAATAAGCTTAAATTAGTTGATTGACAGGAAATAAATGTCAGTCATTTATAATTATAATTACTCAAGTGATTCATCAAAACAAAATCTGCTGATTATAGCTTCTCAATGCTGTGTTTTCTATTTTTCTAAGCGTGTTTAGTATTATTATTTGCCTATTAAATATATTTTGACATCTTAACTGTTGTTTGGACAAAACAAATTGTTGGCTATTTTATTTAATTCTACCATTTTCTTTTAACATTAACCGACAAACGCTTAACCAAAAAACCATATTAAAAATAACTGTCAACTTATAATGGACGATGAAAAGTATCCTGAATTACAGCCATATACAGTACAGTACATTTTCATGGGTTTATTTTTGAGGCAAGCAATACAAATGCAAGGATGCAGTTTGGAAGGTCACAGCCTCCTTCACAAGGTGGTTTCCCTTTACTCTCTCTCTCTCTCTCTCTCTCTCTCTCTCTCTCTCTCTCTCTCTCTCTCTCTCTCTCTCTCTCTCTCTCTCTCTCTCTCTCTCTCTCTCTCTCTCTCTCACTTTAGAGCCAGCTGGCATCACTGTATCAGACTTAAGTGAATGTGTTTCACGGTATCCCACTGAGGCACAGAAAGACCTTTGTCAGATTAAGCTTGTTTTTTAAAGTCTCCTCCTATATTTGACATCTTCTCCTTTCTCACTCTTTGCTGCTTGATTCTTCTTTTGTCTCTGAGTTCCTCTCCCAACCTATATATCCTTTATGGTGTTGCTGCCACTTCCCTTTCCTGCATGTATATGCTTTTATACATTAATGTGACCCGGGGCTCCATATCAAACCACCCATACACTCATTTCTGTGCGTCACTTTTTTGTTTCTGGTAAGCAATCATACAGTGTCCTTTGATCTGAGATGCACATGGTAGTAAAATGAAAAGAAAGTAGATCAAGGCCACACAGTAAGGTCTCCCCAGGTTATGAAAAAAAATACTTTGCATGGTACATACATTGTTAAAAACTGACACACATCTGTGCCCACTCGAGCCTCTTTTGAAGTTTAATGGCTGCTGTATGTCTGTGTCTGAGTACGTTTCTCTTCTTTCAGCACTGTATTCTGATATGAAAAGAGCTGCTGTAGAAGAAAATGTGAGTATTGGATCATAATATTTCACACACATAGGTATGGACTAAATATATAATAAAACAAATATGTAATGTTAGCTCATACTGTAATTGTCCAAGTTTAAACAGCTTTATTTGATGAGACAATACAATATGTTACTTGTCCTTCAAAAACACTCCAGAGTACGTTTGTGCCTATTTTGCCACAACAGGTGTCCATAAAAAGAAGTCCCGGATATCTAATTTTTCTAATTTTAAAACTCTTAAATATCCCTTTAATCTCCATGAACATCTGCATCAGCCGGTGGCACTGACCGCTAGGGCTGTGCGATTATGGCAAAAAACATAATCACGATTATTTTGGTCAATAATTGATATCACGATTATTAAATACGATTATTCATTGACTTTGAAAACATCCATTTATTGAACTTTAAAACAAATACAAATAATAATTTGAACAGTATCTTTTTAACTGTTGATTACCCTGAACGTATAATTCAACTGAAAAACCAATACAAAAATAAATAAAATAAATGATACATTTATATTTACATTTAAATAAATAATATCAAAAATAATAAATACCAATAAACAAGATCAACAAATATTTTGGAGCGCACTTCAACAAGCTACTAAACATATGTAAATATGATCAATACAAATAAATTAGACTAAAATAAATGAAATCAAATATGTTGCAGTGCACTGTCACAACCAAGCAAAGCAAAATAATCGTTTTTTTCGATTATGTTGTTTTCGTAATTGTGGCAGGCCAAAATCGTAATTGCGATTAAAATACGATTAATTGCACAGCCCTACTGACCGCCCCTAAATGCTCCACATTGTTTCACTCTTATTGTCAAGGTGTTGAAGCTGGCACCCTGCACACGCCCCTGAATAGCCGACTTTGTGAGCGGTCAAGTGTGTAATTCATGTTTGGAGAGGTGTGGCGTGTGCACATGATTCTCATTATTGAATAGGTTTGATGTGATACAGATGGTTACCTAGTTGATATTGCTCTGTCACACACCTAGGCATTCACCAAACACTTGTGTTTGTGCACTTTAGTTCTACTTTAGTCCTTGGAAATGTGTGTGCTGTTTGCTGAACGCTTCTGTCTGTCCAGGACTACGAGGAGCTGCTGATGTTTTGCCTGCATGAAGAGGACGAGGTGGACGACCCATCACACTTTGACTCTGGTAAAGATTTTATTTTTAACATCTTTTTAAGCTTCCCCTCAGAGTAAGGTTACTTTCTCAGAAGCCTGTTTTTAGATTTGGTTTTAATTTTAGAGCTTGCGTTGCCTCAGCTGTAGATCCTGTTTTGAGCAGACTGAAACTGATCACTGTTGGTTTAGGTGGTGTTATATTCATAAGAAATGATCTAATTTGCTTCTAATCATTAAGCGAGTCCATCTGCAGGAAACATTTCCTTTCCTGAACAGAACTTGGAACTTAAAACATGACCACCGCTGTCCACCATCCCCACAGACTGTACGATCACATTTCAGCCCCCTGACTCCTTCTGGCCCCTCCTCTCTGGAGATTTTAGAGTCGTGTCACTCTGTGTTTACAGTGATGGTGGCACTAAGAAGGAATCTAGATAATCCGACATGAAGATACAATGCAGAGTCACCCTCTTCCCACCAGCAGTGACATGGGGACAGGGATGAATGCTAAATGTGGGGCTTTAGGTTGACCACTCTGATCTGCCTCTGCACGGGAAGGGAATGATTTTAAAGAGTGGGAACATCCAGCGGGTTAATAATTGGCTTGTATTGCTGCAGAGCGGACTGATGCCTCAGTGTAAGAATGTTGTGGTTATAAGCTGAGGCTTCAGGCTTTATAACACTTGGCACTGGACATCTGCAATCTGAACTTCCTGTGGCTAGCGTTGTTTTCCATGCTATATGGTTTAGCCATTTTGTTCTCTGTGTGTATTTGTGAATGTGTGTGTTTGTTGGCTAGTTTAGGATTTTCATATTTTCTGGCGTTTGTAGACTGACTGCTCGTGACCTCGATTGGTCCCTTCAAAGGCTTTTGTGGTTCAGACCAATAAGGCTGGCCCATAAATCCTGTTTTCTCCTCAGTTTCCTCTTACTGCCATATTTATAAAAAAAAAAAAAAAAATAAAAAACTTCAGGCTCAGAGTGACTCAGGTTTATACATGTAACTCTTCCAGGATTACATTGCTCATTTGACGCTTGAGGAAATACAATTCTTCATTAGACATTTCTAAGCTGTCGGGCATAACGAGTGACCAGCAGGTTTGCGATTCGCGATTCCAGACTGTTTTTATCATTGAGCTTATGCGTCATCAAATAGACAGACACAGCTTATATGGCCAGAGCTTCGGCAAGGGATGAGGAATTTTGAGCGTAGCTGTCATTTTCCCCCTGTCTTCTTGATGTCAGCTCATTCCTCTCTCCATTTCAAATGACTGTACCTTCACTCACATGAGCAAAATAAAATGCAGTTTTGCTACAGCAGGTTTGTTAAAGGTTTAAAATATAGGTGTAATTGTTAAAAACGTTTAATAGTAGAAAAGTTTCTCTCACTTGTCTTCCATGCTTCCACCTCCCTCCGCTTCTCCCCCCATCTGCCCTCCTAATGCCCCCAAAATCCAATCACCCCACCCAAAACACACACTTGCCCTTAAATACCTTCATACACACACAAACACAGACAGACTTGTGCACCCATGCCCCGGGTCCCTTCCTCCCAGGTCAGCATTTTAATGTGAGTTTAGTGAACAAACAGCAAACGCCACTCCATCCCGAGGAGCTCTGCTCTACACAGCTGAAGAGAGAGGAAGGAGGTCGATATGTGTGTGTGTTGTCAGTGTTGGTGTGCATTTAAGAGGGAGAAGGCAGTGGGGAAGAGTGCTCTGAAGGGGGCAAGGGCTATAGGGAAGTGAAAAAAAAGCTGAATGGGGGTTGCCAAGGCGGTGCTGAATGCAGTTTTCCAGCTTGTTGAGATCCCTAGGGAGAGCAGAGTAGAGGAGTGTGAGAATGGTGTGTGTGTGTGTATTATTGGAAAGAGAGAGCGCAAGAGAAAGGGATTTATGATATGGATAGTTTGGAAGGGTGACAACAGACGACGAGAGACATGCCAGCAACACTAACAAGAGTCTGCGACCCCGGCTGAGGGATCTAATTGGAGAACGGAAAAAAAAGGATTAAACCTCACACAGACCCCACAAAGGCAGCATTAATGTTCACCAGTACAGTGCCAACACCCCTCCACACACACACACACACACACACACACACACACACACACACACACACACACACACACACACACACCAGCACATACAGAAACTACTTTATAGTCGCAGTGTACCTCTGTTTCTGTCCTCTGCATATCTTCGTCCTACCAAACCCATTCTCATCCCCCTTTCTCGTTTTGTTGATCACATTCCTTCATTTATGTGCATTTATAAACCCATGTTTGGCGTCTCCCAAAGTGCCATTGTCTGATTTGTCTCTTAAACCCGCTTCATTATCCCTTTCTGTCACATTTACCACCTCTAGCTAAACATACTTTTATCCTTGCTGCTGCCAATGGAGCACTGTACTCCTGCAAGTTGGCAAGAGGGGAAAAAGGAGGAGGGGGGGGGGGGGAAACCCAAAGAAAAAACAGCAGCGGCTCTCACTGCTGTCTCCATGGTGAGGCTGCTGACCTGGCAGACTGCCCCCTCCACACACTCCGAACCCCTTTCCCCCTCATTCTAGCTTTGACATGCTATAATATAGAAAAAGAGAATGGAGTGATCGAGAAGGAATCTGTTCAGATGTGGCATCTGGCATATTCGGGGTGCACGTCTTGTACCTTGGAGTGTGGCATCTCTCCGAGGCAATCATGAACTCACAGGGTTAATGATTCCTCCCGGGTCTGAGACTCACCTCCCCTAAGCTGTCTGCCCTCGTGTTTGTCTTCGCTGTAGGTTCTGAAGTCACTCCTATGTTTGACTTTGTCTCTCTCTGTTTCTCTCCCTCCTTCAGTCACTCTTTCCGGCAGTCAATACACTCCTCCCCCCTGCTCCTGTCAGCATGTGTTGATCTCTCTCCCTCTCCCCTGTACTCTGTTTGGTAGATGAGTGACTGGGGGGGCCAGAGGAAGACTTAGAGACTCAAATGTTGTTCCAGATTTGAAGAGAGCAGTCAGGAAGATGGGACAAAGTTGTAGATAGTGAGAAAACTGTAGAAAGGATCAGAGGGAGAAGACAGAGTTGTGTCCCTGCTCTGTCAGACAGTTGGTGCAAAGTTATCGAGGGGGAAGGGGTGGACCATAGGGGGAGGGGTGACTGGGGGAGACAGAGGGGAACATGCTGGCTCACTGCTGAAGTGTCAGAGTGTCTACAGCGGGGCTCTGGAAAAAGGAGAGTGAACGCTGCAGCTAGTTCGCTGTCTCTGGGAAATGGATGTAAACTGAGGCACTGCTCATTTATTTATTGACACCTTGAGCCGTTTGGATAAAGATTACTTTGAAGATAGCAAATCATGGATTCTGACTCGGACTCTCCTTTCAACTACTCCTGGCCCTCTTTTCCTAAGATGAGGATGCGCAAGAAGACAGGCAAAAAAGGTAAGACTGAGTGGTACTGTAATCTACGGATGTGGAAATAATGTATTGATTTACAGAAGCTTTTTTCATCCTGTCACAGTGACTGTTTGCTCTTGGTTGTATGAGCCATTCAAGTTGACACTTTCACCTTTGATTCAAAATAAGTCAAAGTTCCTGCTATATAACTTGTTGCAGTGTTTGACAGACATTAGATGCATGTGTGTTGATGTCATAAATAAAGCAGCTCACTTGAGCTCACACAGACTGTGCAGTTTTCCTCATTTCAGTTGCAACTCTTTTCTTAAAGTCACATCTGGTTAGATTGGCAAATGGAAGACTTTACCACAGGCTTTTCTCTGTGGAACAATACAGTTAAAATTAGACTGTTCCCATTACACATTTGTATTCACGGGCCTCCTGTGCAGCAGCGAGACAATCGGAGTGAGATAACTGCATGTTTGCCGGTGATGTAACCTGATATCTGACAGTATGTTGGGGAATGTCAGATGTCCACTCGAAGCTGATTGAGTGGTTAGGGGCTTTCGACATCCTCACTCCACACTGTTGTGTGCGTATGGGAGCCCCCGCTGAGGAGTCGAGGCTTCATGTGACTGCTGGGGTCTATGAAGTGCAAAAAGAAGGCCCAATGCTTAATATGTATCTTCATATACCTCACTATACTCAGGCACCTGCAGTTGACGATCATTATCAGTTTTTGTTCATATGTCACTGAAGTGTCATTGGCGCTGATGTGAAGTGTTTATCACAGTTTATTGTCAATTGTTGAGAAACCAAAATCAAGTTAATCCTGGTACCTAAAGTTAGAAAACACATTTGTTGGGACAGCTGAAGTGTTTGCCTAAAGAAGTAAACCAGAATAGTTCAACAGTTCATTGCTTGTATGCAAGTGACTACAGTTTGTGTTTGTTAGAGGGAAGAGTGAGAGTGAAATCAAGTTACTCCCATTTATGTGTCATCTTGGCTCGACTCCAGTGGTCTTTTTCCTCATCTTTCACAATAAAACTCTGCCAGATTATCTATGTTATTGCTTCTTAATTGTGATTGACTTCTGCACATTTTATAAACACTGCCTGTCTGTCTGTGCAATGCGGCTGAAGAGTAGAAAAGCGGCAATATAAAAAAAACTTTTTGTAAACTGACCATATATTTTCATGTGGATTTCTAAGTGTTCAAAAGTTTAAAATCTGAAATAAACAGCTCTGGTGTAAAGAGGCACCTGCGAAGTGAAGTGTGTGTTCAGGTGTTCGGAGCCACACGTTTATTTCTCCACTCTCTCTTAAGGACTGATCGCTGTTCACTCTGAGTTTACCTCTTCCTGGATCTCTTGGGCCCAGTGACGCACTGAAATGTAAACAACATGGGGAACACACAATGTGATGCTTGGACTGGGATGTTTGACTGCAGGTGTCATAACTCACAATGGGTTTGTGGATATTGGTGAACAATTATTTTAATGATTTAAATTGCCCTCCATCAAATAATTAGCTCTCCCCTCTTATAAGGTATTACAGCTTTTTGTTTTGTTCTATTAGGCTCTGCTTGTTATTTTACTCTGCTCCTAAGTTCTCCCAGCTCTCTCCAAAGTGACAGTTGTTTAGCGTGGTGCTTATAAAGCGATTAACTTCATAAAAGAAGGAACGTCATAGACAAATGACCCTATTGTACTCGTAATAAACAAGCCTAGGTGTTTACGCAATTAACATTTATGATTCTCTGTTAGTCTTGAACATTTTTGTTTTGCACACTAGCAGCCTCCAAAGTGGGTAAACCTTGAGAAAGAGCCCTTGTGACAGCCCTGCCTCCCCCCTCTCCATCCTGCCTTCCTCGATCTCTCTCTCCCAGGGGTGTGCATGGGTTGAAGGGTCACTTTCTGTGTTTAACTGCCCTGGTCTGGAAACCTGGCACTGACTGCTGTCTTTGTCTGGGACTCAGTAAAGCTCCAGCTCTCTCTCTTTCCCTTTGCTGCTGATCCGGGCGCTGCTACTGTATAGGGTTGGCTCTCACTCGGGGACATGCTCTGAATATCACATCACTCCAAATATACCTTCCGTGAGCAAAATCCTATAGACTAAAGCCCCCATGCCCTGCTCCGCATTCCTTAGAACTCCTCTGAAATGGTAACATGCAAACAGCGAGCTCCGTCCCAGCCATAAAGACAGCTTCTCATGCAGAAAGATTGATTTTGTGCGGCTTTAACTTGTTAGAAATATGATCTCCATGGTCGTCTGTTACTCCCCCAGTGAACTTATGTTAAACACAGTTTGCAGCGCCTGACAGTAATGTTCACTGAGGCGGTGTTTATGGGTCAGAGGTGTGTGAATGATCGGGCCTGTGGCAGCCAGCTGTGGCTTTGGACCTGGCCCAGAACCTTTAATATTAAGCATGTCCGTCAAGTTCCTTAAGTGGGTTTATATGAAACTGTATCTGCTTTCAAACAGTGGTTTGACCCACATCCAGAATCTGACCTAGTCTCTTGATTTGATGTTGCAGTAAAACTAATCCTACAATACACAGTAGACGGTGTAACGTGACTTTGTGTCTGTATTCGGGTTAAAATACAGTAAAATGTTTCCATGCGAAACTAAGAGGATCCAGAAGTAACAGAATAACAGGATGTTATGTTCATGTTTTCCAATGTTTTCAGGCTGTTGTAAGTAACTTACATTACACTAATGATGCTGTTCTAGAGATACTTCATAACTCTTCGATTGATGTGGAGTGTGTTCTGTATCCTGCAGGGGTTCATGTTAAGTCTATATCTTCTCCATATCGTTTGTTGTGGATGGAACCGGACTCATCTGGTGTCCTCATCAATGTCTGCTTGAGTCCCTGTTGAGTCTCAGATTTATTGGACTCCCTGCCTACAGGAAGCACAGCCAATTGTTGGTCTGATTTACTTTTTTGCTCCCACTGTGGTGCTGGCAGCTTGGAAACTATGGATAAACTATGGATTATTTTTTTAACGAGAGATGTTGAGTCTGGGTTTAATATCTGCTTGATGAGTTTAGGTGGAAACAGCGGTGCCAAAGACGTGATTTATCACCGCTGGCATTGTTTCAGGCATGGCTTGGCCAGGGTAAGAAGAGACTGTCATTAGGAACTTAATAATATAACTGAGCTAATGAGGATGCCTCCTCAGATTATTGTGAGGAATGCTGCACGATTTCTACCGGTTGCTTATGAAGTTCATTTTTTCCAGTGGATGCTTTGCACATTGTTAAATCTCATTTTCTTTGCTGCTTTTTTCTCATGCATAATGCTGTCAAACCCTTAAAACACTGAAATGTATTGCAATCCATATCTTAGTATTTCTTTTTAAGACAATGATCAAAACTACAAAAATAATTACACAAAACTAACATGAGTTAAAATAAACTAAATACAATCCCTTCAGTAATTCAAATGATTACGTTAACGGTACTGATACATTAATAAACTGTTATAAATGGTACAATAAGTTAGTGCCTTGAATTTTGTGATGTAGGTTTCTTAGTCTTCTTCATTAGGGCCAGGTGTGCTAATTATAATTATTGCAGATGGAGCCTCCCAATTGGGATACAAATGTTCAAACTGTTAAAAACTAACTAACTTCATCTTAGCATTTAAACAACTCTTAGTCGATGTTGGCTTTACATTTTTCTTTCAGAGTTCACGTTTGATCTTTAAACAGCAGTTGATACAGCGTCACACCTGAAGCTCCAAATAGTTGCTGTTATGGAGCTGCTGTTCTAAAACCTTAATTTTCAGTAGTTTATTGCTGGTTTAAATCTTATATTCAATTCCACATTTAGTTTTATTTAGGACAGAGTTAATGTAATGTATTATGTACCTATACTTTATACTATATACTGTATAGTGCCAATCATATGTATGTACTTTACATTTACTTTAACATTTAATTGATATATGAGTTTAATTTATTTATTAACCATCTCTACAAATTGATTCACTGTAAGAATGATTGTTTGTGAATAATTTCATTGTCCAATTAGGCTAAAACAATAGTTAGCTGTGTTGAATGAAAGCCATCAAAGGTTTGTTGTAATGAGTGCTGTGGCAAGTGACCTTCAGCCTACCTGTAGGTTGTTTTGGAACCTGAAACACTTTCCAAGAAGTTGTGTTGTGGAGAAGCTGTGTTTGGTTCAGAGCAGCGTCCCAGAGGGGGCCGTGTGTGTTTTGAGAGCAGGACTGTTTCCCCCTGTTTCAAAAGCACAAGCAGGCTGCTGCTCACAGTGCCTCTACTGTGTTGAAAGGGTTCCTCTCAATGCTACTGTGTGCTCACCGGGAGTTATTTCCACTCTCCGGCTGTATCGAAGGCAGGGTGGGGAAGAAACATGCCAACAGATGACCGCTCACAACTCCATGCACACCCATTCACGTGTGAGTGCAAAGAGAGAAGCACACTCTTAAGGGACAATGTCATGCAACTGCCCAGGATGTCTATTTACTTCCTGTGTTTGTGAGAAAGTTCCTTGGTGTTGCTATGGAAACCAAATATAATATTGAAAAATCCCCTCTCCCTCTCTCCCTCTCTCTCTGTCTCTCTCTCTGTAGAGAAAAGCCAGTCCATAGGGGAGAGCCCGGCCCGCTCCCCCACTCTGGCTGCTGCCGCCAGACTGTCAGCGATGATACATGGCAAAGACAGGGTGTACGCTAACGCCATGCTGGTGGACCAGGTGAGTGGCCTGTTTCCTTCTAAGTAGTGTTTATACAGATATGTACATCAGTTATATAGTTTATGACGTTATGTCATGAACTGGTTTATGATGTCAAATGTTGCATTACAGGAGCTACAAATCAGCCTTCACTTACTCACTTTTCTGTTTTAGGTGGATGAAGCTGACATTAAATACCGCTCTCCCGGGGAGGAGGAAGGGAGCCCTGCGCCACATCTTGGCAGCCCGTGCTGGGACCCCTTCTCCATGACCCCCCCTGACTCAGGGAACTGTTCCCAAAACCGGCACCCGTCCTCACCCCATAATGAGGAGAGGGGAATTCAAGGCCCTGGCCTAGAGAATCACAGGGAGCCATCCCCTCGCATGTCTCCCCCATGTCCCTTTGCTTCCTCCCCGTCTTTTCCTTCCTCCCCCCTGGCTTCCGCCTTCCATATGTTCGAGGGAGCACAGAGGCGTCAGACGCAGCCCGGTCTGCCAGTTTCTCCTGCTTTGAACCGCAGAGGATGCAGCTTGACCGAGACGAGCCGGGGCCTGAGGTAGGACGCTACTTAAAGTGTGAGCTATTATATTTAATTGCATAACTTTAAGATGTGACTGCCCTTTCAACTGGATGAGTTGCGTTGAAATTAGAGAACAAACAAGCTTTATAAGGGGATTCCTTGATATATGAAACAATACAATCATGTTGTTATTTTCCTGTAACTAACCCATTCTTACAAAGTATCTATCATCATTTCAGCAAAATACTTTCATGAGCTTTTTAGCAGTAATTGTAGTCTGTGAAGGTGCGGAAAGTGACAGGAAGCTTGGACACAATTGAGCTGTTTGTGTGTTGAAGTTGCTAAACATTCCTTCCAGTTTCCTCAGTGCTGCAGGATCTTCTCTGTGAGCACTGAAACTGGAAAACAGTTCAAAACCTGATTAAAGATTGTACCATGATCAAGATCATATCTGTGCAAAATTGTGACATCATCATAGATCTGAACAAAGTGTTATATCTTAAACTGTACCATAGGAAGCCTAGACTGCTGCCTAATCCTGTTGAAAGATGTAGCAAAAATCTTTCACTGAATGTTGTGTGTGTGTGTGTGTGCTTATATGTATTAAAACAGTCCCAGTTTGGAGTGTGACAGTGGAGAAGAAGACATACTGGGATATTCCTACCCCTGCTCGTCTGTAAAGAAGCAGTCCATCCTGCGTTCCAGCTCAGGAGAGGAGAGGGACTCTTTCGAGACATCGCCAGACTTTAACCGCACGCTCTCTGACAGCACAGACACGTCCGCTAAGGTACACCATCACTAAACATGTAGTATTACTCACCCAACAACAGTGTTTCTCTCCATGCATGGCAAATCACGGGTGGGCAGAGACAGGCCAACTGCAAAACTAACCCTCCTACTAAAACACTGCCTTTATGACTTAATTACCATCTAAACAATACACTTTAAAGTTTTTGTTTATTCTTACTGATAGACTACTTCTATAAACACACTCAATTGCTCAAGAGGCATGATACAGTTTGACTTTCTTTCATTTAATTATCATTATTATTATTACACAATTTTTAGCAGCAGGTTTTATTCTCTTCAATACAGTATATATAAGAAGCACACTAAAACACTAAAAACTAAGTTAAAGGTGGGGTAGGTAAGTTTGAGAAACCGGCTCGAGATACACTTTTTGTTATATTCCATGGAATGCTCTTAACATCCCGATAGCAATGAATATCTTAAGTGCTTTGACAAAAAATCCATAAAAAAATGTCATCTGTGGAAGCCGTAATACTGTAAAAAGCATGACCAATCATTTGAGCCGGCCCGGCTAAAATAACTGGATGGCCTACCTTCCTGTCAGCCTTCCATCTGTGCACAAACTGATCTCGTGCCCTCATTGGTCATGTGCGTATTCGTGTGTGTTGGAGGAGGGGCTCTGTAAGGAAGTGGCAGATTTTTTCCGGCTGTGTATTTTCAAATTCTAGCGCACTCGAGCTGGTTTCTCCAAAATTACCTACCCCACCTTTAATGCAATGTATCAGACACGACCTGCCCTACAATCATAAGTAGATAATTTCTGTCTGTCAACAGCTCAATAATGTGAACAAAAAGGTCAGACATATTGAGTTGATCTGTTCCCGTTCACAGAATTGAACCTGCAAACGTTTGCTTACTCATCTATCTGATCCTCTTCCTCTTCCTCTTCCTCGCCCAGAACCCAGAGAAAGCCGAAGTTCGCCTGCGCTCCTACTCCTACTCCTCCCCCAAAGCGAAGCCGTCACGGCCTCTGCTAAACCGAGACGCAACCATCACTGACCTGGCAGAAGGTGAGTGACCTTTGACCCCTCTGCCCTGTGACCTCTCTGTTCCCTGGAGCCAGCTGAACGGACACATGTGCCACATGTCTAACAGGGAGGGGGGGACCAGACAGGTGTCATAAATCAACTGAACCTCTATAAAGTACATGTGTGTTTAATGTCAGCTCCAGTACTCGTGTGCAGCATTAAGGCCATGCTTTGTCCTGTGTAGATGGTGCATTCAGCAGCAGTGGTCGTTCTCTACTTCAAGCTTTATCTCTCTCTAAATCCTTCTCTCGTCTCAACCAAGTTAGTAAGTACAAGGACCGCTTCAAACGGCCCACGCTGCTGGGTGGCTGCTGAAAACATTACAGTGTGTCTTTCTGCTCTTTCTGGTTAACCGTGGGATTAACTTTGTGATCATCAAAAGCTACAGGATTAAAAGGCATATCTTGTATATTTAAACTTCTCATGACCCAGTGTAGTTAAAAGTGTATTTATGCAAGATTGAGCAAAATGATTGAATTACACTTGTTTGTTTGGTGGAACCAAATACTTTTCTGAACATTTTTCTAAGTTTTGATTTCACACAATTTTCAAAACAATGATGTTTCTCATTGTGGCCCAAATTGTGCAGCCCCTTATCTGTGGTGAGATTTAGTTTCTATTGGCAAGTTCAGCAAGTCACACTGTTGAATCCACAAACCACTGTCTCAGAGAAAACATTCAATTATTCATATTTTCAATATTTTTCGCTATAGCAGACTTTTCACTCAGCTTAATGTCAAGACTCTTTTATATGATGACTGAGAGGCGGAGGTCTAAATATTTAAGACACTTTTAATATCCTGGGGCTTTGGAAAGATAATTCTCCATGTAACTCTTATTAATCATTCTAAGGATTTGTTATCTACTCAATCAATCAACAACTTTATTAATCCTGCAAGGGGCAATTGGTTATGAAGTGAGTGATCCGCTCTGCTTCCACGTTGGTACATATTGTGTTTCTATCTTTGTTTGGATTTTCCATCTTTGGTGTATTCTGGGTTTGGACTAAGAATAACCTCTTTGGTCTTTCTCTGTAGGCGTTTGCTGGATCCAGACTGTTTCAGGGATTCTTGTATTTGCTTCTAACATCATTCTAATTGGATGATGTTTTATAACACCCTGGGCTAATTCACTTAAAATCTACACTGGTGTCTTCTTATTCAGAGGCATTTTTGGATACTCATTTGTCTGTCCTTGTTTCTCTACCTTACAGAGCAGAGAGCATTCACCCTGACTGAGACTACCAGAGAAAAGAGGTAAAACCACAGTGTGTTATTTCAGGAGTGAAGGGGCAAGCCAACCATTGCTTTGTTCTCCCTCCCTCTTTAGTGTCGACCAGCAGTTAGAGATTGGCCAAAATGTGCCTACACATGTTTATGTGTGCGTTTTGATGTGTATGTGTATCTCCGGTATTAAACCTGTGGTCAGGGTCTGAGTGTGCAGGATGTGACATACTTCCTGTTTCAAGGCAGAGGCCAGAATACACTCTGATTGCAACCTCAAAATAACCCTGAGTAAACAGCAAAACTCGCCTGCACTCCAGGCCTCAGAAACATTTCCAAAACACCTCAGTGATCCTGAATGTGGAGTATGTTCATATTGTAGTATGTGTTTGGGATCTAACAGGAATACTACATTTGCTTTACAATCCTACCATTTGACCCATTTGCTTATTTTGTTTTCATTTCATAAAAAACACAATCCATATTCATTTTTGTTTCATCTCACTGCCTCATAAATGTATCATGCGCTAATACATTTTGTTTGATAATTGCCATGCTTTGCTAACAGAGGAAACATTTTCGAAGATCACATTAGGCAATTTGATTATCATATTACATCACAGCATTATTGTATTAGAAAAGATAATACAACAATATCCACAACACCAGCCTTATCAGACACTAACCATGTATTTCCTTCATAAAATGACAATACATTCAATGTTAACAAAATGTGGATGTTTCCTAAGCATTGGATAAAACATTCTGATGTTTACTAAATCCGTATGTTTCACAAACATCCATACGACTCTCACGTGTAGTCATTTGACTTTTCCATACAGCTTTATTTGGCCCAGAAATGCTTTGTAGACTCATCATAGAAGCCACACATATGTTAACATTGTGAGTCTCCTGACGAGCCGAGCACATCGACCCGCTCTGAGGTGTGTTATATCCATACAGGATTTTGGGTTTCCGTAAGCGGGCCCTGTCAGCCGAGGAGGAGAGCAGCGCTTCGCTCCAACACCTCACCCTCACAGAGTTCCTCAAAGAGTACGTTTTCACCAGAACGCCCTCACAGCCATGCATGTGTGGCTCAACTCATTCTAACCCCGCCGTTAAACTATTCCCCGACGCAACCTATTAACCACATGGATTCTTTGATATCTGATCTGATATGTGAATCCTCAGAAGTAGATGATATTAACTTCTTGTATGTCATGTTTCAGTTTATGTTTGATGTGACATTGCATGTTTCTCTTCTTTACGTTGTGTCACCTTTCAGACAAAATGTGTAATGTTACTGGTACACTAGTAATGTTTAAATAGTTGACACATTATTATTTGCATCTTGCCAAGGTCATACTATAAATAGCATCCACTAGAGTCCATAGAGATTTGCAAGCATGCCAAGCATGTTGTTAAGAGTAATAGTATGTCGACCCGTGGTCCTGGAAGACTGTCTGGACAGTCTTTTGTTCCAGCATGACACCAATGTACCGGATTATTTACCTCTACCTAGTATATTAAAACTACAAAAATAATGAATTGTTTTATAAAGAGTGTGCATGTTGGGCATGAATGCCGCAGTCTTTTATAGGCAAAATGATGGTAGAGGTTGTGATGCGTGCTGACTGAAATGTTCACACTGACACAGGATTGAAGATGAGGAGTGGGATAAATACATAATCCCATCAAAGGTCGAGTCAGAGAAGTACAAAGTCAGCCGGACCTTCAGCTTCCTCAAGAGCAGGATGTCCAGCACTCGGAACAAAACCAAGGTGAGGCGACACAGTGGAAGATGGGATTCCTGCTGGCTAAGATTTAAAAATGCCATCAGTTAAACTTTCCTTGAAAAAAGTAAAAGTAGGAAGGCCTCCCAGAGTACTGCAGTAAAAGGTTTAGCACCTCTCAGACAGGCCAGGTCAGAATTCCTCTGCTGGGGAGCTATTGTCTGTGTGCGGTGCCTTTATTTGGCCATGGAGAAAATTCCCTCTCCTCAGGTCTTAGCAACGGGACACAGTGAAAATATCCTCTTACATAATGCGTATACCCCCCTCCAGCCAGTACTAGGAGCCAAAACACATTCCATAGTACGCTTTCAATCTTATTAACACGTGTGTATGTATCCAAGAATATTTTTCCATGTATGTACGAAGACATGTGATCCACACAAAAAGTAAACAAACAAACATACACTTTCAGACTTCCTCGTCAAGTTGATAAGAAAATAAACAGCACTATCACACACATGCACAGAGGAATTCCCCTAATGCCCCCCTAAGGATAGAGCACCACAAAAGCAGACGTCCCCATGGACTTTAATAAACTAAACATAAAAGCCCACTCGGGGGCCTCTTTATCTCAGCTAACTCCACTTTAACAGGTGCTTTTCAGCCAGAAGATGACCGCTGTATGTCTCTGTTTGTGCCTGCTGCTCAAGTCTTGTTATTTCTACTCTGGTTGTTTGCATGGTATTGTTGGATTATCTGCAGTTAATGTCAGCTGTATGATGTTTAAAGTATGTATGACTTTTGTTTTAGGTGAAGGGGAAAGAGGTGAAGGAGGGAAAGGAGAAGCCAGGAGCGGCTAACGGACACCAGTTTGTTCCTGCGTCTCCCTCCGGTCCCGCTCTCTGTGTGGCCTGTGAAAAGTCTGTTTCTGGGAAGGAGCTGCTGCAGTGCTCCAGTAAGTATTGTACTGTCAGTACTGTTGTTGTTTTACGTCCTGTGGTGGCTGAACTGTTTAGAGTTTGAGTAAATCTCTTCGCACATGCCTTGATGTTCTGTTTAGCAGAAGTAAGTCTTCTTCCTCTCACAACGTAAGCATTGATCATGAGGAGCAACCCGATTCGACAGCCATCTGGACTCTGAGTCCAGAGATGTGGTAATTTTGTTTATTATCAGTTAACTGATGAAATTAACTGGGATTTCATTTGTTTTTGCCTGCAGGCTGTTTCCTGAATGTCCATAAAAGCTGTCGAGAGTCTGTTGCCGCCTGCGGAAAGGTAACCACGAACAAAACACATTTCATCTCAAAACCCAAAAGCAAAAATAATGAATTATTAAAAATAGTTGAATTGAAAACACATCCTCTTAAACAACAACAGTTTTGTCATTTTAAGGTTTTCTTTTTTTTTTATTATTCTTTTTTTTTATACGTCTAATTATTTAATTGTAGTGTGCAATAATCGATGCCATTTCATTTACATTGCAGTATCACAGTACACTCATCACTCAATTGTAAGGTATTTGCAAGAATGACAAGAGTTGTAACTAAGCTTATTTGTAGATGTTGCATGATTTTAATTCCCAATTTATCAAATCGAAATCTGGAAGTGCAAAACTAAGTGCAGTACCCATTTTAAATGTTTAAAATCAGGTTTTGTTTACATATGGCTACTAGCTTGCAGACTGAATCAAATGATATCACATACTGTATCTGTCAAAATTGTTATGACCAATTTTACAAATCTGAAACTGTGTACCGGCCATGTCCAATAATCTGAGACGCGTGCTGTGTGGCAGCAACCTCCGAGGGTCAATGAAAGCTTTTGTTGCAGGTCATTCCCTCTGTCTCCCTGTGTTTCCTGTCACACTCTGCTGTGTGTCTTTAAAGGCAAAATGCCAAGAAAATAAGAATATACTGAAGTAGAGGCAGACTTAGAGGAAGCGTGTACAACAGGACAAATAAATTCCAACACCTAGTGACAAAGGAACTCCTGGAATGTGTCTCAAACTGAAGATGTAAAACAACACTATGTCGGGTTTAATGGTTTTGTTTGGGTATGAATTGAGTGCATTTGTTGTGTTACTACAACTTAGTAATATTCCAAGCACACTATGATTTACAACTTTCAATATGATCATGTGTTTCCTCAGAAGCCACAGGAGAGGAATGCAATGCTGATGAAAAGCAAGACCATGTCTCTCCCAAACAGTGAGTCAGTGACAGCATGCCCCCCCCCCCCCCCCCCCCCCCCCTCCCTTCCATAGCGTCCTCCTTTGGTCTTTGATTATGTTTTTACCTGTCCTCCCTTGTTTCTTCTGTAGTAGATTAAGAAAGCCATTGCCCCCACTCTCCCCTCTTCTCTGTTGTTCTTTCCCTGGTTAGAAGAAAAAAAGTTACATTTTAATCTAGCTCAGTGGGGGATCTGGCTTTTGAGTGTTTCTCTTGCATTGTCAGGATCATGTTATTCCTGAAAGTAGCTGTGTCTTACCTGTCTGACAAAAGTGTCAAGGACAAACACAAACAGCTTCCATTCCATTACAACAATATTGTCTCAGCTGTAGCCCGTACGCCAAGTTAAACATTGAAAGATGAGGACCTCTCCACAGCTTTATTATTTTGTAACGGTTATATTCAGTGATACATCCAAACAAAGCATGATGAAATTAAGTATTGTCTTTTTTGTATGGTATTTGTGTAATGGGAAACATCTGAGGTGTGATTGATTCCTCTTCCTGCTTTTTGTCCTGGTCTCTCTTTCAGACTCTGTGAAAGAAAACTCTCAAGCTTTCTCCTCTTCCTCTACACTTCCCACCACAACCAGAGAGAGGCGAGAAACAGTCGCCCCTCTCTCCAAAAGCCTCTCCATCTCTATAGACACCAGGTAGGATTGTTAACACTATAAATTCAAAATATCCAACATCCAAAATTCATTCATTAAATATACATTTCAGTGGGCTTTTGTTGCATGGAAATGTATAATAATAATAATAAACTTCATTTATATAGCAACTTTCATGCTTGACGCAGCCCAAAGTGCCTTACGGCCCGTCCACACAGCGGCGTGCGTTGAAAGCTTCACCATTCACTTTGAATGGGGTGACGTCACTTTTCGCCGAACTGCATTGTGGGAAGCGAAGCAGAGCTTTGCTGGCGTGGCTCGCTGCAAATGTTGAGCAATGTTCAACTTTTGAAGCCTCGGCAGAAGCGTCAGCCAATCGAATCATATGCCAGTACAAGCTCTAGCCAATCAAACCGCTGCTTGTGTGTCAGGGGCGGGAGATTCATGTGATTGGTTGTTGGTCGAGTTTCAGACACGCCCGCCGGCAAGCTTCAACGCACGCCGCCGTGTGGACGGGCCGTTACAGAGTGACAGCAAATGAGGGAAATAATTAAAAACAAGGTATAAAACCAAGGTGAGGCGACACAGTGGAAGATGGGACTCTGTATTTTAGCCAAACAGACAGAGTTATATCACTGAACTATGAAACAATAAAACATGAACAGTTATACTACTCAAAAATGACAATTCCCCCAAATTATAAGCCAAATTAAAAACATAGGTTTTTAATTTACTTAAAAAAATTCCAATTGAGGTTGCTGTTCTCCACCTCAATTGGAATTTAGGGAAACACTGAATACTTCCACAGCTTTCCACAAAATGTCAGCGAGGTTCGTCTTCAGTCCCCAAATACTGAAGAACTCATTGGTGGAATACAGTAGCAAATCAAACTAAGCTTGCAATCATGCCCCCCATTGGAAACCTTATGAAACTTATTTTGCTCTGTACAGGAGGCTGAGTGATGCAGCAGGGGCGGACGCTGAGTGCAGTGTGACAGCTTGCACCAACAACTCATTGTCTAATGAAGGAACACCTGTCACTGCGAATCCCCCGCCAACCGAGCCGCCAATCACCACGCAGGGTGAGAAAGACAAGCCTACATCATTACTTGTCACACATAACATCGAGAATAACTCTGTGTATTGTGATGTTTTTTAAATGACATTGCTCCTGATTTGTGTCCCTGCAGATGTTGATGCTCCTCCTCTAATGAGCGACCTGTCAGCTGAGCTGCTGGGGCTGGATGTGGAGTCCTGGAGTCTGGCCGTCAGTAAGGAGTTCTGCAGGCCGCTCGACAGGCGCACCACGAAGCGACAGGATGTTATTTATGGTGTGACATTTCTTCCTAATACAGAATTTCATATACGCGTTATCCTCAGTGCATACTGTATATGTATTTTTAAAGATGATATTTTTACTGTTAGTCAAACCTAACAGGGTGGAGCTCTAGAATCACAACAGAGAGGACTTAATTGGAATTGATATAACATTGCATTAATACATAAGTACAAATGATGTACACTGTGGTTTAAGTTGGAAGCCCACAAAACGTTAGATTCATATTTATATATGTTTTTCCAGGATAATTGTTTGGAAATGATTTACTTAAAGTGGACCTATCATGCTATATTATAATAATATAGTGTAGGACCATACCTATATAAGGCATATTTATACTTTTTTTTTTTTCAAAATACCAAACAGATCATGCATTTTAGCCATGCCTCATTTCGCTCAATTTGCACTTTTTTAGATCTGTTTTAGCAAGGGCTGATTCAGTGAGAACAGCACCATCTACAGGCCTGGCATATGTACTACAGCGTCTCCAGCGCTTTCGAACTGCAATGGCCGTGGCTGTCTCCTCCTGATTGGTGGAGTTGGCCCAATAGCCGTAGCGCCACTTTCCTGACGTCAGGACAGTGTTCAAATCTGGATCAGTTTTTATCAGATCTGTTGCAGCCCCTTTTTTAGAGATTTGGGTATGGAGGAAAATAGAGAGGGTTGTGTTTTCTGACACTTGGTGAGTTCCCTGGAACACCGGGGACACATATTCATGTATAAAAGACGTACAAAAGTGCATTTTGCATGATAGGTCCCCTTTTACTTAAGCAATTATACTCAAATCATTAGTTTACATAAGTTATCCCATCATCACTCCGATACAGAGCTGATGCAGACCGAGCTGCACCACATCCAGACGCTGACGGTCATGTCCGAGGTGTTCAGGAGAGGCATGCTGGAGGAGCTGCAGCTGGACCTGGACTGTGTGGCCCGGATCTTTCCCTGCCTGGACCCCCTGCTGCTTTTTCACAAAAACCTCTTCGGAGCCCTGCAGGAACGCAGACAAGCTGCAACGCAACCTGAGAACCCCCGAAATTACCTCATCCATCACATTGGAGATATTCTGCTTCAGCAGGTTGGTCAAGATGGATTCATGTACTTTAACACATGCAGATTAGTTTCTAAAGTGAACCTCTTATGAACTCTCTCTCAGTTCTCAGATGAAAACGCTGAGAAGATGAAGCAGGTGTACGGAGAGTTCTGCAGCCATCACACCGATGCCGTCAATGTTTTCAAAGAGCTGCAGCAGCAAAGCAAAAAACTGCAAAACTTTGTCAAAGTAAGCTCCTGCGTTCAGGCCTCTTGTGCTTTAAAAAAGGAGAGGAAAGTGAAATGTCTTGATTGCGAATGTACTCATTTTGTGTTAACCTCTCTGCTCACAGCAACAGAGCAATAACACTCTGGTCCGGCGGAGAGAGGTGCCAGAATTTATCCTGCTGGTCACTCAGCGCATCACCAAGTACCCTGTCCTGCTGGAGAGGATATTACATTACACTCAGGGTACGTCAGCTCTACTTTGTCCTTCACAAAACCAACACATGTGCAACTCTTACATTGTTTTTCTCTTGCAGAGGAAAGTGTCTCAAAATCCAAGTATTTGCTGTAACAATGCATATTTCAGGCCAGTCCAGAAGTAGTTTTGCTTGACAATGACCACTGTCAAAGTATCATTCTGCAAAAAGGGAGGGTTTTCTGCATATCAGATTGTGCTGGATGATGTCGCTGTTTTTAAAAGCCTGCTTGAGAGATATTTTCTTTCCATGACAAAATGAATATATGAAACAATCCTATCTGTATAATATTTGATATATAATCAGAGAGCTTACCTCTACCGAACCAACACAGTCTCACGGCATTTCGTGTTATAGTCATGAAATTAATCTATTGATTCGTGTTCACCAAAACGATTTCGCCATTTTTTTCGTGTCACACAGAACGATTTTAAAAGCAATAATAATAACAAATTAGAAGGAAAAAGACATTTAAAAAAAATACAGATTTAAGTATTCTGACACAGAACGATTTTAGAAGCAATGTATTTATATTGGTAGTATGTTTCGTGCCTGCACCAAATAATAACAAATTAGAAGGAAAAAAAGATGACATAAAATACAGATTTCAGTATTCTGAGGCTCTGAGCCATTTCTTTTCCTCACTGACGGCAAAAAAACTCAGACATTATACAATTTAAAATAAAAGGGATAGGGTTAGGCTTAGGGTAAGCTATTGAGTAAGAACATGTTTTTATGAACCACACAGCTTCTGGTTTTCCAAGACCCGACCGGACAAAAAGACGTGTTGCAGGCACGAAACATACTACCAATAGAAATACATTGCATTTAAAATCGTTCTGTGTGACACGAAAAAAAGGTGAAAATCGTGTTGGTGAACACGAATCAATAGATTAAATTAATTTCGTGACTAATAACACGAAATGCCGTGAGACTGGGTTGACCGAACACTTCTCTATATATACCTATGCTTTGTGAGAACTATATAAAGAGCCTCAATGACCTATTTGACCTTCTGCCTCTTTGAACAACTGTATTTTGTACAGGGTAACATATGATTTTAATGTGACCCTTCCATTAACTCTTTCTCAGAGGGAGGTCAGGAGCACTCTGACCTGTCAAGGGCCCTGGCTCAGATCCGCGACATCATCGCTGCGGTGGACCTCACAGTGAATAAGTATGAAAGGTGTCAGGAGATGCAGGAAGTGCTGGCCCGGCTGGAGAACAAGAGCTTCGCCAAGCTAAAGAACGACAAGGTGTTTCGCAAACAGGATCTGCATAGCAAACACAGGGAGCTGCATTATAAAGGGCTGGTCTTCTGGAAGACTGCCACCGGGCGTCTGAAAGGTGTGTATGAGATCATCTGTGCCACAAAATCGTCTTAGTTTAACAGACAACCATCCTTCATTTATTTCTACTTTTCTGTTTTCAGATACTTTGGCTCTGCTGCTCACAGACGTTCTGGTTTTCCTTCAAGAGAAAGATCAACGTTTGGTATTTGCTGCCGTGGTAAGCCGTGACTTGTTGAACTATTTGAAATGAAAAACATTATCCTGCTGCCTATAGAGTTCTGTTCCTCCATTTACCGTCTTCATGGTTTTATCTGCTCTTTCAGGACCAGAAGCCTCCTGTAATCCCTTTGCAGAAGCTCATTGTTAGAGAAGTAGCCAATGAGGAGAGAGGAATGTTCCTCATCTCCGCCTCCTCAGTGGGACCAGAGATGTATGAAGTTCACACCACCACTAGAGACGAGAGGAATGCATGGATGAGACACATACGAAAAGCTGTAGAGAGGTGTGTGTGCGTGTGTGTACGTCAAGTCAAGTTTACAGTGTGTCTTTGTTCAGGTATGCACATTTTACTTAGAATGTCTGTGAGTGTGTGTCTGTGTGTGTTACTCATTATCTAACCTACTGGTTTATCTTGCAGTTGTCCTGAGGAAGAGGAGGAGGAAGAGCACAGTGCTGAGACAGAGGAGGCCCGGCGAGTGGCAGAAGTGAGAGTTCAAAAGATCACAAAGTTCCAAGGTGAAACTAAAGGACAAGGTGTCCTAATGCACATTTCATCTGTAACCTGTCTTCAAATATGAAACATGACATTGTTCTCTGATAGAACTATAGTGAAGTCCTAATCTCTGAGTTTGTTTTGTTTAGAAACCCTGTTGAGTCAGGACCAGCAGATCTGCAGCAGCCTGGAGGAGAAGTTGCAGCTTTATGCCGAGCTGACAGAGTTAACCCTGTGTTCACCAGAGCCTGTACTGCAGCGCCATCTTCTGGTTCAACCTGACGCTAACACTGAGCCGCAGGCCTCCTCACTGCTCACTGCTGCACTCAGGGAAGGTGAGAAAGCTGCTGTGGTGGTGCTAAATGAAGAGATCTGTCTAATGGTGCTGCTTAACGTGATTGCACCATTCACATAATGTATTTACAGTTAGGATAAATCTATTATGGTGAGCAGTAAAGTCCATATGAGGAAAACCTGCGTCAAACATCCAACACATCTAACATTGTTGAGTTTTTCTCCCCGCGTATTTCAGCCTAATTTGAGCTTTAATCCACTGAGTTAGAGAAAACTCCTGTGTTTACATGAGTTTATTTTAATCAAATGAGATGCAGAATTTCAAAGTATGTCAGTACTGCCTTTTAACAAACAGATAATTAACTTTTCTTTAATAAGAATTGTCTAATAGACCTCTTAACTTACAAATAATGATTCTGCATCATTATAACATTTGAGAAAACAACATAAAAGTGCTGAAAATTAATAAAAGTTTACTATAACACTATATTGTACACTGCAGGTTTATTTTATTGTCATTGTTGGTTAGCATTTGTTCACATTGAATAATCACACGTTTTTCTTCTGCTGCAGCGGAGAACCTGATCACTATGCTGCAGGCTCGTGACGGCCTTTCTGTAAAAAGTCAGAGCTCTCCGCTCCGAGGACCAGAGTGCTTCAGCTACAACAGCCATGGCAGCAGCATCCAGGAGTCTCCCTCTGAGCGTGAGTCTCACACTCACACCGTCATTCTGAAAGTCTTTTGAGACCACAAAGTTCTGACATTTATATGGATTTGTTATTGGATCATTTCTGCAGTTAATTTCTACTACTTCTTGTTCCATTGCTACAGCGGATTATCTGAGCACACTCAGTTTGAGCTCCACCTCTCTGGGATCAGACAGTGAGATGACGGGTCTGGACAACGCAGTGTGGAGCTCTGCTGTCGAGCTGAAAAAAGGAGACTCCAAAGGGACACTCTCAAAGGTTCAAATACCAAATAATAACCATGATAATACAATATATATGCATTATTGTGGCCCGGTAATAATACCGTTTTCTTTAGGTGTCAGAGAGCGTTCATGGTCTGACTCAGCTTCTCTACAGTCTGCAGGTGAGAAGACACACAGTTGTCAGTGACTGTAGCCGAATGCAAAAGTAAATATTTGGCCTTTTAAAGGACAGGATTATTAACTGGAGTGTGATCAGGTGTCTCCTCTTTGTGTTGGCAGGCTGCTGTTACCCTGCAGGACAGCTGCTGTGAAGTCCAGAAACTCCTTCTCCAGGAAGGAGAAAGACCTCAGCTTCGAACCCTCTCATCCCTCCAAAACAGTCTGGTATGAGTCACATTATATCCAGGTTAAAATAAATATCTTTACTACATGCACACTAGTGTATCAGTGTTTTTAAGAAGACCAGAATTGAGTTGTCTCTTTAACCCGTTTCTGATCTTTTCCAGGAGCAGAGAAGCATCGATAAAAAGAAAGAGGATGTAGAAAAGAAGGGTTTAGAGAGGAAGAAAGAAGAGGTGGATGAGGTAAAGAAACTGCATGTGAAGCTGAAACAGGAGCAGCAACGCTGGGACAAAGAGTGTCTGGTTCGAGAGAAACAACAAGTAAGCAATTAGCTCATGTTCTGAACTAGTACTAATCATTTGCAACACATATACTTGAATTTCTTTCATAAAATAAAACATGTTGGGTCATCAGAAATATTGCCAAGCCATGATAATCCCAATACATGTATGTGTGAGCCAATTTGTACTTTTCTTCCATCGAGCTGTCATTGGTTTTGTGTTTAGCTAGGTGCATTATTGAGAAGAATACAGACAAATAAGATCCTAGTAAGCTTCTAAAATGTTATAAGTTGACCCTTTAACCGTGCATAGCTAATAGTAGTAATGGTATGGCTGCTGTAATGGTACTGTATGAACTGAGAAAAGGACATAGCAGAACTCTGCACTGTTGTGAATGTGAATGTGTTCCCAGTGTGAGCAGGAGAGTGTGCTGGAGCAGCGGGAGCAGCAGTGCCTCCTGGAGGCCGAGCGGCTGCGCTGCGAGCGAGAGGAGCTGGAAACTCAGCTGCAGGAGTACCAGCAGAACCTGGACCGCCTGAGGGAGGGCCAGAGGAGCGTGGAGCGGGAGAAGGAGCAGATTGAAGCCCAGCAGAGGCAGCTGCAGAGGTGGAGACACACCCGCCAGAGCAGCCTGCCTGTCAGCATACCGCTGGACATATACAAGGTAAGAAAGGAACCTGGCCAATAGTGACAAAATAAAAAAAAACATCTTACTGCTGTATGTGGCACTTACTTTTAAAAGCTAATGAACCTCCATGATTCTTGCTATTTTGAGTTTGAATCTTCATTGCACTTGAAAGTCGCTTTGTATAAAAGGTAAATGATATGTAATGTAATGAAGTTGGGGGGGGTGGAAGAGGAGGATAAGTTGAATGGAAAGGAAAATTGTTTATGTAGATCCGAGCATTAATACCGCAACAAAGAAAATCCCTGTTAAGCAAAACATGCCACCTCAGAACGTCCATAACATTCATCTGTTTGCAACTTATATATATCAATATTCCAATTACTTGTATATAGACTATTCTGCACTATTTCTATTATATTCTATCTTCTTATTTTATTTACTTGCATTATTTTATCTGTTTTATTGTGTTGCACTGTGGGAGGAGCCTGTGACCTAAGATTTGAATTGTCATAACTACACTGTAGCTATGTCCAAATGACAATAAAAGCCTTGAAACTTGAATCTCATATTTCGTGTTGTTTTAAAGTCCCAGATGCCCAGCCACAGCCGCTCAGGCAGCCTGGATGGAAACAGCTCGGCGTTCCAGAACGAGGCGGTTTTACTGGCGTCCCTCCAGCAGAACCGCCTCCACCAGCCCCCCAACAACAACAACCAGCGCCTGCTCTCTGCGCCCAGAAGGAGCCAGGACATCCCTCTGCGCAGCTCCAGCTACACCGCCAACCTGGGCCTCAGTGCCAGCCTCTACAACAGCCTCAACACCCTGCTGAGCCAGGCCCACAGCAAACAGCCCGCGGAGGGTCTCGAATACCCCAACTACAGCAACCCACACGCGGTCCCCCGGCCCCTGAATGCCTCCATCCACCCCTTCAGCAGCAGGGTCACTGCACAGCCACAAACGACCAACAACAGTGAGTGTTTTCATATTCCTGCAGGTATATAGTAGACGGCAAAACAAAGACGTGCAGCTGTTTGTCACCGCCCCCCAGCAACATAGTATGTGTCCATCATAATGCTGTATCTCATCTCAGTTCCATAACCTCCCTCTTTCAGCAGACTTCAGCCAGTCGTTTGACAGACCATCCCCGGGTCCCTGGAGGTCAGAGGTCACAGGTCACAGACTTTATGAGGACGGCTACTCCTCGTCTCCCTCTCTTACCCCCCTCCTTCCCCCACAGGCCTACCTCTCTCTTGAAGGACAGAACGGAGAGGAGGGAGTCGAGGAGAACATTGTTTATCTCTGAGAAAGAGCAATGCAAGCTGCCTGAGCTAACTGGACCGGAAATAATATATCTGTTGCTTATATGTGTTTGTGTATACGTGTGCATTTGTTTTCAAAACCTGAATAATCAAACAAGGGAATAGTTGCGGGGAGGGAGTTTACACGGATACAGTATTTGTGCCTTGATCAGTGTATGGGGGTGGATATTAATTATTCTCTTCCTGTGTCATGAAACCATTGTGCCTTTTTGCAAACAAATTCTCCAGCTCTGATACTTGCACCCCACGTTTTTACTTCCACTATGATTCCTTTTAGTATCCGTTGAACTTCGTTGATGGAAGAGGTACATTTAGTGCCAACACTGGGACTTAAAGTACGAGGATATCAGGACAAAAGTATTGATGTTGTTTTCACATGAGCACTTAAAAAAAAGGAAATATTTGAAAAGCCAATCGAGCCCTTCCCCAAACTATAACAGAGTGCTATTATTTCTCAATATTTATAAGGGATTGTGAGCATCTTAAAGACATACAAGTAAACTGACATTATTGTATAAATAGTAAATATATGTATATTTTTATTGAAAAGCTACCTATGCACACTTTGTTTGAAGAATCATTTAAATTCTTCTTTTTTTTCTCACTTAAGTGCCAAAAATCTTGCTATCTAATACTGAAAGTGATGTATGTAAAAAATGGCTGTATGTTTTTTGTTCACCACCTTTTCTGATAATTTATTGTGTGTAAATTGCTTCATGCACTGTCAACGTTAATAATATTTTGGTTATGATACGTGTTCTCTTGTAATCGCTGTAATCAGAATTGTGTTGTGCCATATGGATATGCTATAAAACTGTGTCAAACATCTTTGTGTGTGTGTGTGCGTGCATTTTGCCTTGCCTAATACACTCCACGGCAACATCAGTGTAGCACACCTCTCATTGGTTCATTATTGCTTCATACTAAAAACCTGGTTGTATTGGAGGCTGGCTGCTGTTGACCATTGACCTGTGGGACTTCCAGTCAGTGTGTGTGCTGAACGGCAAGCATGGCACACTGTTTTTTCTTTAAACATTTCTGTATTGAAAGGTGTTTAAGTTTTATAATATATTTTATTGACCTGCTTGGATTGTATTTCATATTTTCTGAGGATCATAGTGGCTGCTGCTTCAACTCTGGTGAGTTTGATGTAAATCTCACATTGAAACTCCTCAAAATGTGATGTAATTTACATTTATTGTGTGTCAGTTGGGCAGACGCCAAGCCCGAGAATCACTCATCTGCAGGCTCTGGATGACCAGCAGCAGAGCCTCTTGGTAAACTGGATGGTGAACAACAGCAGCTTAGTGGGAGATATTTATGAGATCCAGATCGGCCGCACCGAGAACCACGATGTTATTTATAATGTGAGTACTAGTAGTCTGGGTTTTGTGTTATTAAAAAGCTCTATACTGTAGTTGCTTGGGACTATGATACTTATAACAGCATTTAGTGTGGGAATTTTTATAAATAATCAAATGCTCCTGTGAAATCCATGTACAATTCTTCCCTATTTTTGCTATTCTAGAAAAATCTGAGTATATTTTCTGTGGATCCAGTGGAATATGCATGGACATGGACCTCAGACGTGCCTCTGGGTTGTGTCGATCACTCAGTCAGGATACGACGATTCTATAATCAGTCTGTCCCGAGTCCCTGGAGCAACTGGAAAACAAACAATAGTAAGATGATGCTTTTGTCAGTTGTCAGTGTAAATGAGTTAAACAAAGTTTATAAATGGATTTAAATCTGGTTTCTTATGTGCACTTTCATCATCACATCGTATAAGTGAGTGTTCACTCAGTAAGAGTGTGGCTTTTTTTACTTCCCTTTTCACCAATCTTTATATCCGTGTTTCTCAACCGCAAATATCTGTCGCAATGCACAGTGGCAACATTATGTTCTGTTTTTTCTACACTGACACCCTCAGTGGCCCCAGAACATACCAGGGATTAAAGATCAAACTCCCCTGCTCATCTCTCTGTTCTGTGACCTGTAGGAACCCAGGCGAAGGATACTCCATGGATCTTCCCCAAGGATCGGGTGCTGAGAGAGAACTCCAGCGCCATGTTCTGCTGTGTTCCCCCCAGAGGAGTCAATATTACCAGCATGTCCTTCAATAAAAGCAAATACTCTCTTAGCGGCATTGGAGCGGGGGTCAAGGCAATCACTGTACACAACCTGAAGATCCCAACAGTGCGCTTCAAATACCTTTTAATCTCATGCAATTACACAATAGGCAGGCAGACGGATGTCTTGAACTTTATCAGTTGTAAGTCTGAAATGTTTTTATGTACTTTCTTCAAATATTTTTGTAATGTTTTGTCCAGATCACTTTTACATCAGTATGTGTCTCTTCACACATTGTAGTTCCTCCCCAGAAGCCCAGTAACATCAGCTGTGTGACCTCAGACATGACAAATGTCTCTTGCACCTGGGATTCAGGCAGAAAACGAGACGAGAACGACCACAACACGCAAACACGCACTCTTCACATAGAGTGAGTGTATCACAAATGTATTACTTTTTGCATTTTCTTCTTATCACTGCCATCTGACAAACCTGCATGTTGGAGTTCAGCTTGAGCAACACATTTCTATTTTACTCTGAGAAAAAGTAAATAAATCATAAAATGGCTCCTACTGCATACAGATGAAAAAGCAACCCTAAATATCAAAGAGCTTCAAAAGCCTCTTGTTGGATCCATTGTGCAGACAGGCTGAACACTCTAAACAAGATAATAAAGGCAGGAAAGGCTGTTTGTTCTCAAACAAGTCCTACAAAGAGTTCTGAAGGATGTCTTATTAGTCTCTTCCCATGCTCTTTTTTGTTGTTGAAAACACAGCAACTCAGACCAGCCTCCCATCAACTGTGAACAGTCGTCTTGTACTTTCCCCGCCATCCCTAACTTGAAGGAATACAACATCCGTGTGGTGGTGAAGGACCTGCTGGGAGAGGAGACGGAGAGCTACAGCTTCAACATCTCTGACAGAGGTCAGAGGCCACACAGGCATCTAAACAAAATACATACACACATTATGTTGTTGCTATTATCACTTGAAGATTAACCTCATCACACATGTTAATTCATGTGTGGTTTTTGTTGCCGTTAGTGTCACCTGTGGTGGAGTTGGAGAAAGTGAGCCTCGGGGCGACACACACCAACGTGTCCTGGATCGTACATGGGAACTTGACCCGACTGAACCTCCTCTGTCAGGTCACTGCAGACCCAGGAAGTGCCACCAAAGTGTGTTTAATGCTTAATCGTTTATATTGCAGGAATTCAATTGTTTTTTTTGCATTTTTTGTTTATCATTCTTTCTGTGTGTTTGTGACAGCTGAGGTGCAATAGTGTGAGTGGTCGATGCAAAGTCACACTGGAATATCTGTTACCTAACACCCCCTACTCTACTAGAGTGCGCTGCTCTGTGGACGGCCGGCTCTGGGGGGAATGGACCAAGCCCAGATCCTTCAAAACCTGTGAGTACTAAACATGTGTATAAGCAGGGTAGTGTGATGGTGTATACAAGGGTGTGGTTATGTCAAAGTGTTATTCAGTTAAGACAATGGTCAGCTGAGCAAATGATACAAGTCCCGCACATCAACAAGTTGGTTTAAGGCCGGGCAATAAACCCTTAGTTGTACAGTTTTAGCACTTACAATGACTGAACAAGTACTGGTTTGGAACGATTGTTCTTATAATAATAAAATATGCGGAAATAATTAAAAAAATACCCTTCCTAGTCACAGGTGGTGTTTAAATGCTTTGTTTTGCCTGTCCGAAAGCAAAAGATATTCAGTTGAATATAATAAAAAAAAGAGAAAAGCAGGAAATCTCCATATTTAAGAGATATTTTCAAACATTTTTGCATGCCAAATACTAACCATTCATTATTAAAATAGTTGGCATTTATTTTAATGCCGTAAACAAATAATCTTCATGTCTTCTCCTCAGATCCGTTGGTGACCTTGGATGTATGGAGGAGAATGAAGCAGCTGTCCGACCCAAACAGTCGTCAAGTTACTCTTCTGTGGACTCATGTGAGACGCTATGCTTGTCTATTATTCTCCAAACTTCTATTTTGGCATAACAGCACAGAATGTCTGGTTAAATCATAGGAAATAAATGTCACCACATGATGCATTTTTCAACTTTCACAGCCACTTTTGTTCTCAGGATGTTCCTAACTCAGCAGCCACGATCAAAGGTTTCATGGTTCAGTGGTCGCAGGGAAGTCTAAACTGGACTGAGCGGAAGGACAGTGGACAAACCCAGGCGCAGGTCTCCATTAATCTGGGACAGTATGACTTCACGGTCCGGGCTCTTCTCTACAGCGGCTCCGCCATCCCAGCTCACATCATCATCCCCCAGAGGGACATCGATGGTAAGCAGCGAGGACTCAGCTGAGATTTTCTTGGTTCATTGTTGGTGGAGTTTTCAACTTAACATTGTATGTAAATGTTTTTTTCTTAATCTTTTATCCTACCAACTTGAATCCCCACATGTATTGGGGTCCATGGGGAAGCAAATGTGCTGTTTATATGCAGTTCAATAGATAAAATAGAATACATAAATAACATATTTGCAACAGACACAGATTTCAGCATGACTTTTTTCACTTTTACACAATATGCAACTGTCACCATATATATTTTTTTTAGATTAGATAAAATGTTTTCTAATTCTGACTAATTTAATAAATAATAATGTTTTTAGAATCATTAAGTCAACACTTTACTTTTTTTGGACTCCCCAGTAGTCCTTTTATGTTAAATATGTCTGTAGGATGAAACCTATATTCCTTTTTGAATTTACCATCTCTTAAACTCTTCTTGCTTTAACACCACAGTCTGCCACAGTCTAAAAATGCATGTCTCTATCCAGAAATCCTCCCGGTAAAGAGGCGTTTGAGCAGCAGCCCTGCTGGTTTTAATCTGACCTGGGATGAGCTTGATGCAGTCACCTGTGGCTACACTGTGGAGTGGTGCATTCTGGGAAACGCTGTGCAATGGCTGAATGTGAAACAAGGAAACAAAACATTGTTCCTACCTGCCAGTAAGTCTCTGTGTTGGTATTTTCCTGCACATGCATCCTTCACGTGTTTTTCTAATTTTGTCATTGACGGTCACTTCTTTATTTTGCAGGCAATTTCAAAGCAGGTTGTAGGTATACATTTAATATCTATGCATGCACAGAAAATGGACACAGACTACTGGAAGTACAGAAGGGATACTCACAAGAGCTTAGTGAGTGTTATTACTGATTCATAAGTTGTTCTGGAAATCTGTCTCGTCTTGTGTTTATGTTGCTCTGAGGGTTTCTTTAGGAGGTTAATCAGGTGTTCTGTCATCTAGTACAAAAGTCTGAGGTCTGCTTTTAGAGCTGAGGTCTCAACAGACAAGTTTTGAGTGCATGCTTTCAAAATAAATAATTTAATAAAGCATGACAGCTAAATTTAACACGGATGTCCTTATCAGAAGACCTTCTCCAGATGTAATCTAAACACAAGATATCATGTTTCCTGTTCCTTTTCATTTCATAAACTAAAAAAGATATCAAATTGAAACTTTTGCAGCAGATTCTGACATCTTCACAACAATGCAGTTGTAACATGAAATGTCCTTCTAGATTCATGTATCATTTAGGAAGGTTAGTTATTGCTTCAAGTCAGCCGTTTTCATTCTAATGAACTTTATCTGTCTTCCTTCCTCAAAAAACTACTTTCATCAGAATCTGTACAGTCCCCGATTCTGGTTGAACCTGTTCAGAGTACTTCCTCATCTGTGACTCTGGAATGGAGTTACAATGAGGACGATCCGGCTCACACGGCATTCATCACTGGTTACCTGGTAACAGGACAAGAAGCAGGGACTGATACACCGCCAGGTCATGTTGCAAGTAAGTGTGGAGGAAAGCTTCAACTGTTCATAATTATTCATCCTGATCTGTTTCTGTGCTCAAAAAGAAAGCATGTAAAGTATGACTGATACATGAAACAAGGCATTTATGATGTGTGTACATCTAGATTTGTTCAACGTGTCTGTGGCAGACCCTCGGAGGAAGTCTGTGACCATAGAGGGTCTTCAGCAAGACCACAAATACCTTTTCTCTGTGAGCGCTCTCACTAAGGGGGGGCCTGGACAATCCACCAGTATTACAATCAGGACCAAAACCAACTGTGAGCTCCATAAGATCCGGTGCAATCCTGGATATACAACAATTCATTGATTTAACTATTGTCATTTCTCATTCAATCTTAAAAAGTTCTCAGATTCCATTACAAAGACTTGAATAAAACTTGAACTTGAACTGCTCATCCTTTCTCTCTCTTTGAAGACTCTGCTCACCTGGCCAAGATACTGACTCCCATGTTGTTACTGTTGGGCTGCATCATTGCACTGTGGCCTCAAAGAAAAATGTGAGTAGTTTGATCTTTTAACCTTCACCTAAATGTTAATCTCTAAATGGTAATACTGAATCTCTCCCTCTCTCTTCAATCTTCTAATGTTCTGTTTCTCTTCCAGTCTGAAGAGCGGGCTGAGAGAAATGTTTGCTTACCCGGCTGGTATGAACATAAAAACTCCTGAGTTAGACAGTTTCCTGCACGAGGTAAAGACACACCACTGAAATAGTCAAATCATGAGTATACAGAACTATTATTTATTCCCATGCATTGTTAATTTCATCAATACAGTTCCCAAATGGTCTATGAACAATTTATAATAGCTGACATTAACACATTTGAGTTGTAACACACACTCTAGTTTTGGATAAGGGCGAGTTTCTCATGTTAATTAATATGTTTGGACTGTCTTCGACCACTTTATGGGCGTAGTTATCTGACAATGGCAATTCAAATGTTACCCAGGGCAATTCAAGGCGTGAAAAGACTTCTGATTAACAGAAGCCATTTTAAACTTGGAGTCTGAATAGAAGTGAACACAGAAAGTTCCTTCGAAATTCTAATTGGAGCAAAATGCACAACAAAGCCACTACTTTACAGGCCGTAGTTAACCCATGTGTAACCCTTTTCAGAATCAGAATCTGAAATAGAAACAGGTTTAATACCAGGTAGGTTAACACATACGAGGAATTTGACTTGGTGTTGTGGTGCATACATAAAAATAGAAAGATAATTAAAAACACAGATAGAAAACTATTTGAAGAAAACCATAATAAACCATATAAAAATATAGTAAAATATAGCAGTATTTACATTGAATATGATTGAAATTGTAGAAATAGAATTGGAAAAAAATATGTGCAGTAATGAAAAACGAAATAATTATAAACATTGTGTACATTAAAGGGGACCTATCATGCAAAATGCACTTTTTAATGTCTTTTATACCTAAATATGTCCCCGGTGTGTCAGGGAACTCACAAAGTGTCAGAAAACAAAACTCTCTCTTTTCCTCCGTACCCAAATCTCTAAAAACGGGGGTACAATGCAGCTGATCCAGATTTGCGTCCGATATAACGTAATATCGGAAATGTGGACCTACAGTACAGCACTATCAGAAACGTTGCTATCAGAAACGTTGCTATCAGAAACGTTGCTATCAGAAACAATGCCCCACAGTTTTGGACGTAATATGGTCTTTGTTTACATTAGCAAGCATCGCTAACACTCAGAGCTAACCTGTACTGGAGAGAGCATGTGTAAAAAAGCAGGAAATAAAAAAAGGAACTCACCTTGTGGTAAACCCGCAAGAGAAAAGCATTTGAGCTCCATGCTGTTTCAGAAATAATCCTTGACAAGCTGCTCCTCTTTTCTTTTCTTTTGTTCAAGCTAAGGACCCCAAACCTGCAATTCTCTAACAGGGCTGAAATAGAAGGATATGAGGGATGTCTAAAATGCATGATCTGTTTGGTATTTTGAGCAAAACACATCATAGACATGTCTTTTATATATTTGTATATATCTGAGACCCATAATATATGCCTACAAATAGCATGATAGGTCACCTTTAATGTAATGCACACATTTTGCCTTACATCATAAAAATCCCCTCTGTTTGCACAGACTGGGGAGAGGCTGCAGGCTCTGAAGGTGGAGGAGTGCAGCAGCTGTGACATAGAGATCCTGAACAGCAGACCTCTTCTGAAGGAAACAGCTGCACTGAGAGACCCTGCACCCCTGAACGCACCGCCCTCTCCTGCTCCCATGAACGCACCGCCCTCTCCTGCTCCCCTGAACCCACCGCCCTCTCCTGCTCCCCTGAACGCACCGCCCTCTCCTGCTCCCCTGAACACACCGCCCTCTCCTGCTCCCCTGAACACACCGCCCTCTCCTGCTCCCCTGAACGCACCGCCCTCTCCTGCTCCCCTGAACCCACCGCCCTCTCCTGCTCCCCTGAACGCACCGCCCTCTCCTGCTCCCCTGAACACACCGCCCTCTCCTGCTCCCCTGAACACACCGCCCTCTCCTGCTCCCCTGAACGCACCGTCACCTCCTGCTCCCCTGAACGCACCGCCCTCTCCTGCTCCCCTGAACGCACCGCCCTCTCCTGCTCCCCTGAACGCACCGCCCTCTCCTGCTCCCCTGAACGCACCGCCCTCTCCTGCTCCCCTGAACACACCGCCCTCTCCTGCTTCCCAGTCCTCTGCTCCAATCACATCTCTCTCCAGTGTCCTGCTGGAAACAGGCTACTGTCCACAGTCAGTCACAGTGCTCAGAGACAGACCAGACGTCCAACAGATGACATGCATCAACAACAACACTTTTTATCACACCGTGGAGGAAGATTCATCTGAGGCACAACAACTCCTGTTCTCTGAAATCAAATCAAGCTTTGAGCCTTCTGGCAGTGTGCATGATTCGTGTAGTGTTATCTATGGTTATATTTCCAATAACACTTTATAAGTATGAAGTCAAAGACCAGGCCGTAAATGTCTGTCATATTTTTTCGAGGGTGTAAATACTATAACACGTTTATGTAAATATGAGGCTTTCTAATGACAATATTAATGCATATGTGCTTGTAAAGATGTATCTTGTCTTATGTAGAGCAGGAAACTCAGGAGGTTATATTTAAACAACTTGTGTTTTCTGCCGAAACTAAATGTAGAAGTCAAAGTAATACAGCAGCTAGAGATGTAATCTACAGGATGCAATGCACTGATAAGGCAGCATGTGCATCTTTCTTTAATTTGTATGGTATTATCAAAAGCAATGTTTTTTCATCTGCAATTTTAAAAACAGGTTTAGATCATCATCTATGAATGACCTTTTAAATATATGTTATGTATGATTGCCAGAGCTGATATAAATGTCAAAGTTGTGGCTAATATTTAAGTTTAGGTATAAATACTATAAGGTGTATTCGAGTAAATGAAATCCCAAATGATGCACCATAATTATAATTGGCTCATGCAGCTCCCATCCACCTGTGCAGCTAAATCTGAATTATTTGCCAATCTGTCCTAATGTTTTTTTTTAATTGATGCATTTGATATGATATTATCAGTTTCTTTTTATTTGTTAGTTACGGTATCTCTGCTTTGACTTTCCACGAAACACTCCTCCCAATTTCACCAAATCACATTCACATTCAATGACTTCATTTAGCTCCGCTCTGTAGTTTCTTTTTTAAGTAGCAGGACTGGTTCTGAACACCAGCGCCAGTCCTCTGCTCGGAGGCAGGCAGGTACTCAAGCAGCTGAAACACAAAGCACGTTAAGCTCGGTGGCTGCTGTATGAGCTGATGAAATAATCTGAGAAAAACTTTTCAAAAGGCTGAGTTTTCTGCAAAAATCTATTGCAACATTTGTTTCTCATACCAAAGCTTAAACTCAATTAAAAATATGCCATGAAACAATGGAAGAAAAATGATATTCATTGAAGTTTCATTACATGTTTGACTTAGTCACATTTAAGCATTTACAGATATTCACATTGCAATGATGTAAAAAAGTCACAGTTTATTAGAGAGACTCAAAAGTCATACATTAGTTACAACATCCTGATTTTAGTGTGGATTTCAAAGAAGACAATAGAGGATAATATAAAACAAAATCATAGCCAGTTTTCTAATTCCAAAGTGAATGCTGTCTAAATACCCAGGGAGAGGTGCTTGGCTGATAGTCCTTATATATAACACTCTGGCAGCATTAGTAGTGTACCTAAGAAATCTTAAAGAAATGAGAACAGATCAAAATAGAACCCATAAAAGAGGACATATTTAAATGCAACTGTACAAAACATGCATAAAAATCCACATAAACTAAATTGACCACAACCTCTCTATCAGACACAGCTTGTTGGTCCCTCAGTAGTGCAGAGTCACAGACAAATCAGCACAATCTGACCTGCCAAACAAGTGTTAGACATCAACATGGAGCTCTGAGTCAACAGGAGCCCCCAGCAGACCGCTGAGGGAACACATCCACTCAGTTTTTTGTGATTTGACCTTTCATCTATAAGAAGGATCTTCTTCAGCGACATGTTGTCACTCTGGTGCTTTTCTCTGGGCTGTGTTTGCTCTCAGATTTTAGTCCGCACCATTAAGATCCAAACTGGCAGCCAGTCTTCACACAGACGTCCTCTGTTTTACTCTCACCCTCAACTTGCTGTGCTTTCTGAAAGACAATAACAAACAAGTGGTTGTTAGATCGCCTACAAACATATCCCGGATGTTGTCAAGCACCTGCGGCCGACATACTGCACCTCAGACAGCATTCCCTCTCGCCTTCTCAGAGATGTTTTCGAATCAGTTGGAGCAAGTATTTTATTACTAATGAACACCTCTCTTAGCTCAGGATGTGTCCCAGCTGCCTTCAAACATGCCGTGGTGCAGCCATTACTTAAAAAGAAAAATCTCGACCCCTCCATTCTCGCAAATTTTAGGCCCATCTCCCAGCTACCTTTTGTATCTAAAGTCCTAGAGCGAGTAGTCTATGTCAAGCTGCAGTCGTTCTTAACCAAGCATGGCATTCACGAAAAGTTTCAGTCTGGCTTCAAACCTATACACAGTACTGAAACAGCCCTTTTAAGAGTTTTTAATGATCTGCTCCTAGCCGCCGACTCAGGTAGCCCAGCTGTCCTGGTGCTGTTAGACCTGACAGCTGCCTTCGACACTGTGGACCATAGCATCCTGTTGTCGCGGCTTGAACAGTCCGCAGGCCTCACAGGCTCTGCCCTTGCATGGTTCAGGTCTTACCTGACAGACCGTAGCTTCTCAGTGCAGCTAGGTGCCTTCTCCTCTGCTAAAGCCCCTCTTACCTGTGGGGTTCCCCAAGGCTCTATCCTGGGCCCCATCCTTTTTCTACTGTACATACTGCCCCTAGGCTCAATTCTCACTAAACACAACATTCCCTTCCACTGATACGCCAACGATGTACAGATCTATCTGCCTCTCAAAGCAAATGTCAATAACTCATTACAGCTATTGATGGACTGCTTGACAGAGATCAAATCCTGGCTGAGCAAAAATGTCCTTAACCTCAACGAGAGCAAGACAGAGGTAATCTTTTTTGGACCCCAACCTCCAGCCTCTCCGGTTGATATTCTGGGCTCTCTCAATAAAAACATCCTCCCCTCTGTCATGAACCTTGGAGTGACCTTCAATAGCGCTTTTAAATTCGATAAGCAGGTCAGCTCCATAGTCAAAACCTGCTTTTTTTTAAAAACAAGACTATTGGCTAAGACCAAGTCGTTTTTATCTTTTAAAGACCTAGAAAGGGTTATTAACGCCTTTGTTACCTCGAGACTGGATTACTGAAACGCTCTGTACGTGGGTATGGACCAGGCCTCAATTAAACGCCTGCAGCTAGTGCAGAACGCAGCTGCGCGTCTTCTGACTGGACACAAAACACGTGACCACATCACCCCAATTCTGGCCTCATTGCACTGGCTTCCAATTTGGTTCTGAATTGATTTTAAACTCTTTTTATTTGTTTTCAAAGCCCTAAATGGGCTGGCTCCGGCCTATATAGCCGAACTCCTCCATCGCCACACCCCAGCCAGAGCTTTAAGGTCTGCTGACCAGCTGCTGCTGATAGTGCCCAAGACCAGGCTCAAAACCCGAGGGGATCGAGCCTTCGCAGCAGCTGGCCCATAGGCTCTGGAACAGTCTGCCCCTCCATGGGAGGTCGGCCCAGACCCTAGGGGTTTTATCCTCACTAAAGACACACTTCTTCTCTCTGGCCTTCTAGTCTGAGCGGAGTACGACTCCTGACATTTCCCTGTGTTTTGTTTTTATATTTATGTTGTAAATGATTGTCTTTTTTTGTTATTGTAGTAAAGTGTTTTTATTACATGTACAGCACTTTGGCTCGACCAATAATCGTTTTTAAATGTGCTCTATAAATAAAACTTGATTTGATTTGATATCCCAATTTAATATGAAGTGGAAAAAGTGCCGATCGTGCAAGGTTATTGGTCTTTCTTTGATGAGCTTGGATACAAAGTCCAGACATGTGACGCTAACAGGCAGGTGACCAAATGACAGTTTCAAGAACGCTGTGTCAACAAAATGTAATTGTTACCTTTGTGGTGGCGACACCATGCACTTCCAGAGGACAGCGTAGAGAGCAAGTAGAAAGGCAATGAACACTGTGGCTGCAATGGCACCTAAAGCCACAAAAACAGACTTGTTATTACACAACAATAATCATGCCAATACATGAGGACACATGCACGATATGCAGGGTTGCATGATTCATTGTATCTTCTGCAGAAATAATTTGTTTACCTGCTTTTCATCCTGGTGATATAAGTGAACCGGTTCCCTCACAGAAAACGCTACATTTTATGCTTTTAATTGACCTATCAACCTCCCCTGCACTGTCATACATCAAATAAACAACTGGGGTATCTTTTTGGTGCTTTGGGGATTTCTCCTCTTCTGTAAATGTCATGTTTCAGAGCTCTGCAGCCTGCCTTCATAATGTTACTGGACACTGTGGGGGCCTGAGGAATTTCACTGCCCTTTACCAATATCTGGTTTAGTGACCTGACGCTAATGGAAGCGTTATATATGTCTGATGAAAACGCTGCTCTCAAAAGGGAGTATATTTAAAAATATATTGTGTTGGCAAACAAAAATAACCCCCAGCAATTTGGTCATACTCCAATAAAAGATCTGGCAAATAAAATGTTTTGGAATTGTGTAAAGCTTGCTTTGCTGCATGGTTCAACTCAGTTCTCCTCTGTTTGTGGGCTGACCCCTGAGGGAAATACACTTTGTTTGCTGTTGACCCAAGTCAGGTGTTTCTCTCCGAAACAGGTCGTACAGGGTCTGTAAAGACATCAGATGTTGTCACCTGGGATGATTCCACTGCGGCTAGTTAAAGAGTCCTCTGTGTGTGAAGGACGAGTAGCAGCTGCAGTTGAACCTTTTAAGGGGGAAAAACATATTGACAAATAACTGTCAACAGCGTTAATATAAAACACTGTGAGAGATACATAATTTATAATTAGTGGTACTACTTTACAACTCAGTGACTCTATTGACGGAGAAAATAATTTAATATGTTTAATTATAGGCATTCTTGGTGTTTATAACATATAATGTTCATATAACAACCATTTCTAAATGAACAGTTAAAGGTTTTGTCTGTGAACATAGAGCAGCAAATACAGTATGTTTCCTTTGTCATATTAAATATTTTAGCCACTTTGAAACTGGGCCATTTGCCATGCATGGCTCTAAATAAAAAATAGTATCGATTGCCAGTCATCTAAAGCTGACAAGCTGCTAGATAGAATTTACCTGAGGAGGAATTCACCTTTTGTCTGCCACTTCAATCTGATTTAGGTAATGTGGACAAACATGTAGTTAATCTTTTTACAAGAATAAAAAACATGACAACTTGTGACTTTGACAAAACCAACATAAAAAGATAGGAAAAAATAAAACTCTAAAAATCTCACCATTTCTGTGTTGAACATTCTGTAAAAGCTGTTGTGTCAGATCTGAGTCAACCATCTGCAAACGCCCAAAACATACATGTTTGAACAAAAAGGGAAGTGGAGCACAGGATCGGACACACTGATCGGATACTTGATTGTGCAATTTAAAAAGACAGGCATTAACCACAGTAACAATAGTTGAACACACAGAAAAAGATAAAGGTGGAAGTAAAGTGCTGAATCAGCTGAGGTGGACACCGTGCTGCAGGAAGTCCAACAAAGAGGAAAATCAGAGCGCTTAGGGCAACGACAGGCAGCAAAGATAAGAAAACGTGCCAGATAAGAACTGATAAGAAACACACATATTTCCAAAATAATCATGTCGAGACACTTGTTCCTGCAGCTGGACGGTCAAACAGTCTGGTGTAATAATGCTCACTGAAGACTAGTAAACAAGTGAAACATATGGGTCAGGTTGTAACCGTCGTAAAGAAGCACTGTATCCCGAGAGAGAGGCTCGTTCCCGGATCAACAGGCTTGTTTTGGTTCGTTGTTGCTCTTCCGTAGCAGCCAAATAAACGTCTGTTTTTCTCTTTTAGCTTCTTACCATCGAGCTGTTCCCGCCGCTGGTGACAGTCCTGCTCCTGTTTTTCACCTCCGTCCACATTGTTGAGTCTGTGCGGTCAGACTTCATCCGTCCATCATGTTTTCCTCTCACCTTAAGGAGCGCCTCTCGTGCTGCATTCAAGTACTTCCTTTCAACTCGTACTTTATATCTGGCACAGAAAAGAACCTCGGGCCGTGTTGTGCAAGGCTGTTCTGTTCGATTGAAGTAAGGGTTGTAAAAATTGTCTAAAGTTAACGATCGAATTATTTGTGTTTTTAATATCAATCAGGCGTTTCCTCTACGTTTGGGGTGGAAAGTAGTTTGTGCATTTACTAAAGTATATTCCTTCAGTGCCCCTTTATACTTCTAATTATCTAAAATTCAAAGGAACATTTTGTATTTGTACTTTATTACATTTATGTTACAGCTTGACACAACACTCATAAATAACTTATTCGCAGCAGAAAGTTTTTCTCCTTTTGATTTATAATTTAGAGCAAGTCTGCAATGAGTAGCCTAATTGTACTCCTAATAAGAAGTACCATTCTTAATGCAGTATTTTTACTTGTAATGGAGTAATTTTACAAGGATCTGAATACTTCATCCACCATTGCTCTATGCGGTATCTTGAGAGCAAAACGGATTTTTGAGAATTCATCTAATTTGTTACAATGTGAAAAATGGTAGGCCAGATAACGTTTAGCCTTCATTCGGTTCCTTAATGGATTCTGTTCATATTAAAGTTTGATATTTCCTACAACACGTCGTGAAGGGTGCATCAGCTTCTGACCTTCCTGTGGAAAGGTGCAGGTTCCAGTTTGCCGAGTTAAGATATGGATGTTGAAAAAGATACTACTGTTGACACTCAAAGAACAAGTTTACCTTTACATTGTGTTATAGGATTTCCTGCAACACCTCAATGCTAGCTTCCAGTAGGATGCTATCATGTGTGTTTATCTAGCCAAGATTGCATGTTCTGTAAACAATCAGAGTTCCAAAAACAAAAAGTGAATACAGACAGAAAATAACAGTTTATCTGAAGTCTTGGTTTTAATTTTGCAGACCACATCAGAATCAAAACATTTAATGTGGACTGTTACACACAGATGTTCAAATTTAGCACATGAATTGAGGACATTTTGAAAAAAAAAGCAGTTAATCAAATCTTAGGAACATCCCTCGACACGCTTCACATGGGAGTTAGTGATAAGGACAAAGCATATTCAAAGGTTAATTCACCTTCCTCTATGAGAAATTATTTAAATGTATCCTTTCCACTTTAAGAGAAATATACCATCAGTCTGCAGATATTGCACAAACGTTTACACTGTAAAAGCAGAAAGAGCAATTCAGATCACACACACAAATACACACCAGTCCTCACACAGGCACTCAACACCAATACAGCCTGCATATGTTGTATATCAACAAATCATACACACACAGCTGAAAGAGAGCAGTGAAACATATACAAATACAAAACCCAAGGCATCTCTATCTCTAAACTGATCAGCAGTTCCTGAAGAGACATTTCTGCATACAAAGTAAGCAGTGCTGTCAGTAAAAATAAGAAAATTAGGAAGTAAATTGTGGAGTGTGTTAAAATATGAGTTGGATGTGAAATCCTCCAATTTGTCTGACCATTTTTCAGACATTCAACAATAAGAAGTCAGAGAGTGCATCAGCAGTCGAGGTTTCTCAGAATCACAATAAGTGATGGTAAATAGATCCAGGGTTTGAGAGGAACAGACGGCCCCCCCCTGCAGAGGTCTGAGTGTGCTCTTGAACTCTAAAAAAAGTGTTGCATTTGGCGGTTAACTTAGTGAAAAGCATGGCTACAGTATGTTAAGTAGAACAGCTTGTTGTGCTGTCCTTTTCGTGAGAACACATCATTTTTACAACAGCACACAGGGTTGCATGTTAGCCGCAAGCTGCATTTATGAAGAAAGCATCTTTCCTCCCTTCCTAACAGCTTTAAGATGCACCATCATTCATTACGCACTCACCCAAAGTGGGAATGTTTAAAGTTTCATTTAACACTATGAGACAGAGAAAAATCAAAGAAATCATGTAACTTAATCCAGTAGAATACATTTTCAAAATCATTGTAAAATTCTGTGAGATTCTGATATCACACATCCAAGCAGCCACCCGTTGTCCTGGCTCACTTTAGAGTTTTTAAATTGACCTCGATACTGAGGCTCATTGGAGGAATACAAGTAAATAAACAGGGCCACCTAGTGGGCAACAAAGGTTATGCCTGCAAGAAAAAACGGTTTAACGGTGACGCATCTTTAGAAATCACTACATAAGACTTTGTGATTGTCAGAGTTGTTTTGAAGCAGAAGCACAATTGTGGTTAAGAATTTTAATAATTGAATTCAAACTATGAGGATTCGTTTCAATCTGATAACATTAAATGGTTTGAGGACGTTTATACAATACATCACCGATACACAACGTCACACTATTATGTCTGCAGCTGGTATTGAAACACCACAAGATGTTTACCCTTTGAGGGGTAAAAAAAAAAAATCAAATGTTACTTCTTCCCCAGACCAAACCCCAACACTTCAGCCCCCATCAGTCTCAGTCTGGACAGGTCATATTTCCACCTTTTCATGCTGTTATCCTAACCTCCTGACCCGGATGAAAGCGTCCTTTCTGTCCTTTGTGTTGAGAGCTGGTGGCTGGTGGCTGGTGGGAGTTGTAGGAAAATCAGAAAGGCAGAGAGAGGCGTGTCCTCGAGGACGAGGCAGCGGCATCACATGATTTCACAGCAGGAGTTCTGTTTCCGTGCCTGCAGGGTTAACATGCAAACAGTCAGGCATCTAAACAGTTAATGACCGTGTCAGTCCAGATAATAAGCCATCACTTACAGTCTTGTAGAAGGCTTTGGATTGGTTTCCAAGGTGCTCCGACTTTGCCACAAGATCATCCAATTTCTCTCCTCTCTCCAAAAGACTTTCCATGGTGTTGTGCTACAGATACAGAACGATTTGTTAATCACATAGAGTGCAACCGGAATGCTACGTTATGGCTCTGGCATGTAGAGATTGCCCAGGACCTGTAGCTTGCTTGGTTCAGTTTTTTACTTTAGTATTGTGTGCTTTCCATATCCTACATGTGTATTCTGTTATGAAGACAAAAAACTAAAATCTTCTGATGTTTCTATATAAAAAGGAATATCTATCATCCTCTTAGTTTAAGTATGCGGCCCGTGCTTAGGGAGGTTTTTACCAAAATGATCTTTGTCTCATCCAGCTCTGCCTGCACTTTGGTCATTGCATCTGCTTCTTTGGGGTTCTGGGGGAAATAAACAACAACAAGCGGTCAGGTACAGTATAATTAAACAAGATATTTAAACAGCAACAAACTGATTCATTAATATCTCTCATCTTTAACTCGAACCACATTTCAGTTAACAGTGTAAAATGACAAAAGACATGTTAAGGAAATTCAATATATTTCTTCGTACTCCTAGGCAATAAGGGTTTCCTTTGACATATTTTCTAATAAACAGATTGCACACCGACCTGGTATTTAGAAAGGTGAATATCCAAGGCTTTGTAGTTTATGGTGTCAGGATTACCAGAGGGCCATTCTATACTGTCCACTTGCCTGGAGAACTCTTCTAATACCTGGAAAAAAGCCAAACAACAATATGAAAACTGAAGCTGACAGCAAAGTGCAATAAGTGTGTGTCTTTATTTACATGTTTCTATACCCACCTTGTCTAGCAATGTGAAACAGACTCTCTGTGGGTATTCAGTATCTGCGATGACCACAGCACTCAGGTTGTCATTTCTTACATACACATGGCACAGGTACTCTGCAAATAGGAGTTGGTGGTTAGTATGATGAAAACAGAAGTGTGATAAAAGCGGTTCCTGGTTTTAGGGTACGGTTTACACCAGAACAAGTTGGCTGGCTTTGTTAAGAAAAGCAGAAGTAAAAGTGATATATTTTAAATAAATGTTAGTCATTGTAATGTATGGAAATCATTTTGATAATAGCCAGACCAGTCTCTTCAAGAATAGCTAACATCGACAGAGGGAGAACAAGCCTGACTTATTTATTGTTTACCTGACTGACCTTCCATTTAAACTGTTTAAACAGATGCATGTTTGATATGTTAAGACACACAGGAAACATTTGGAGGGAGAGGGGTACAACACCCAACGAAGGTTCCTGGTCAGAATCAGGGACTTCACATGTTGTATGATGCACATCTTTACCACTCCCCCACCAGGATGCTGATTAAATTGTAAATATTAACTTTTGCTTCACACACAACAAAGTTCTTACTGTTATATAAACTGGGTGGTACCAAACAGAGAAAGAACAGGATAAGTGCTGAACAACACTAAAGCAAGATATGATAAAACTTTAGAAAAATTGAACCTGAGCTGAAGCTGCTAATGTTTACCTTGCTCTTTGATAGAGGCACGACTTCCTTGTGATGACCGTTCAACAATCAAGGCACTGGTGAAGGTCATGAACTCCTGAACACTAAGCAAGCCAAAACAATAAGGTCACCAATGGAAAAGTCTCCACGTATGATTAGGCAACACATTAGACTGTACAATGTATTTTCGTATGTAATTGCTTTAAACCCAAACAAAACTGACATGTAAAAGACCACAGTGTTACTATTATAATTCTCTCTCCATCTCCACACAGAACATGAGAACAAAAGAGTCCAACACTCTATAAAAATAGGTCAGATGATATATACAGGGGACCGACCTGGAGCGCTGAAAGAAGCTGAAGGAGGAGAGGTCGTAGGCCGATTTGAGGAGGTTGGCTTTGGTCCCTCCTTTGTGGTGGATGCTGATGCTGTAGAGCTTCATGCTGCCGCCGTGAGAGTCCTGGTCAGTCAGTCACAGCAGATACGATCACCCTGATGATCTAATTTGGAAGACGAGACAAAGTCACATGAGAGCATTATCCCTCATCCAGCTTAGCCAGCTAGCCTATCTGCTAACAATATGAGAGCTAAAGAAACTTGAGAGGTAGCCTACAGTTGACAAGAGCTAGCTAGTTAGAAGTGAAAGTAGCCGCCTTATTATTAGCTACCCAACACTCGCTTAAGTACATCTGTTTCTCAAGGAAACGACACATGTGATAAGTGACAGTAAGTGGTACAATATTACCACAGGCTAGGTGCCATGTAAATGAAGTTTAAAAACGTGCAAAGCTAACTTATACTTCTGAAATCAACTTTAGCATGCTGCTAGCTACAAATTATATCAGGTCTCCGTTAGGCCTTAACGAACTTACCAGACAAATCAGCAGCAAACCGTTGGGTTACCGTCCAAACAACCGAATAAACTGTTTATTCCACATCAACTGAAACTTGTTGACATATAAAGCAGCCGTAATGTGGCTTTATCACACTGTTGTTGACACTAACCAAGTAGTCTTCAATATGACCAATCACCACGTCACGATCCTGAAACGGTGCGAGGTTATAATTCCTCCGGTGGAGCACTTCATAGTCTGATAGGAAAGGTTCCTAGGAGAAGGTATCACATTTTTGAATAATATTGAAGTTTTTCAACAAATGCACAATAAAAATATGTGTTTCAAAAAGAAGAAGAAGAAGAAGAAGAAAACTAAGCCCTCATGTCAGTTGAGCAATGCAATGAATGTTGATTAGGAAATGTCTGATTAAATTCATTCATAAAATAAGAAGGATACTCTTTTTTTCTATTGGACAATTTTAGATCTTTGTCGATAATGAAGATACTGGGTCAAAATATTTAATTCTGGTTTTCCTTTTTTTTTTTTTTTCTTCTTCCTTTGTCATTTTACTTAACAAATTACTTTATTAGGCTAGTTATAGTTTTTTTTAAACATATCTATTGATTAATTTTTTATTGTTGTTTTTACCAAAAGTATTTTATGGCAGAGGAATTTAAGTGTGTTGTTGTCGCTAAAGTAGCCTATTCAAGTGAGATTTTCTCGAGTGGACAGTTAAAAAATAGCCTATATTCAGTGTTGTTCTATTGTAAAGAGCTTGGTTACCCTCTGGGTCTAACTTTTTGTCTATCAAAAACATGGCACTCTCAATTGATGTTTTCTCTGGTAATCTTGCTCCATTAAACAATTTGCTCCTGGCTACTTAACTCAGTGGTAAGTGTTTTCCATGGCAGAGGTGTGCCTGTAATTCATTTCCAAAGCAACACAATGAAATCGTTTTGGCATGGAAACCGCTAAGCCTTTATCTGTTGACAGGACTGCTGCTCCAGAGAAAGAAATGCCTTCCTTCCTCGAGTAAATGTTGGCTGCGTTAAAATATTCAGGTCATTAACAAGGCCAGCTAATTGGAGGCTTGCTCAATATTTGTGATGCTCTAAACGTGGTGTACAACCCTCGAAGGAAGACTTGGATGCAATGTTTTATTTAATTGTTCTTGTTTAACTGAGTGTTGGAGCTGATGGCACGCCAGTGCGTCGATGTGGCTGTTAACCGGGCCAGATAACTACAAGAAAGAAGATACAATCCACAGGTTAAAATAAATGCATGGGTTTTTGTAGGAAGTAAGGTGAATACTTAAAAATGTAAGCTTGAATTTACTGCAGATATTTAATCGTGTTTTGGATTGCTGGTAAACATTATGTAGATGAGACGTGAAGGATTACATTTTCCCTGCACCTCATGCACGGACGCCGAAAACTGGGAATCTCCAAAACGATCGGGGGAAAAAAAGGAAATTTCTACAGCAGGGCACAGATGGTCTGCGGGACATTAAGGATTTAATCCTCGTTGTGATACGATGGATAAGGTAAATAAAATATCTATCTACCCATCTATATATCTATATCTATCTGTCTATCTATCTATCTATCTTACAGTAACATAACAGTAAGTGTCATGAGCTTTACAAGGAGATACTTGTGGTCTATGATGTAAAACAAATATCTTTTTAACTTAAAGCTACATTTACAGAGAAATATATTTTTTGAAAAAAGTTATCTGTTTCATTCTGAAAAGGCAGTTTTAAAAAAACAAAACAATTTAGATTACATTATTTTTAAATAAATGTATGTGTCAGTGTGACATCTCTCCTACTGACAGGGCACTAGGGGAGAGGGTCACTGTCACAGACAGGGGTCAGAGCTAAAAACAGTAACAACGTTTTGGTTAGGTAAATTACTGGAGCTGATAAGCACTCATGGCCTTCACTTTGTTAGTTTTAGAGGTCATTCATCCCTTGCTGTTACTAATTTTAGATATGTTTGCGTAACTCTTACGTTTATTTAAGCAACCTTGCAACATTGGATATTGCTCAAAGTAAAAATAATGATAAGTTCAGATCACAGGGTTCATCTTTAAATGTATGTGATTATCCTTGTTGGTTGAGCTCTGGGTCACAGGTTATATCTTGCAAATTCTTCACACTGAGGAATTATAGTGATTAGTTTGAGATGATGTTTTCTTTTCATTTGTTTAACCTAATGAACAAGGAAACATCTGTGACTTAAAGGTCTAATTTTCAAGAGTTGGCCTGCATTAATAGCAGGATTAAGCTACAATTTCAGACAAGCAACATAACGCAGAGTACTCAACACATTTTTTTTTTTGCATAATTATAAACATTTGTAAAACTTTAAAAAATGTCATGATGACAAAGTATTCATAATTAATGAAGTTCGTAATAAAATAAGATAAGATAAGATACTTTATTAATCCCAATTTGGTATTAATAAAGTACACTGTATTTTTGTATTTTATTATGTCTAAGGGCAGTAAGGGCATGCATTGAACAAGTCTGAGTGTCCCTTAATTATTAGGATTTGTCAGTTATGATGGAGCTTCATATAAAAACAAGTCATAGATGAAATATAAGAATACATATGTTAAATAACCTCATCCAAATGCCTACATTGAAACTGAACAATCTATAAAACTTGATTCTTACTTTAAAGAAAGTAGGTCATGTAGACTTTTGGCTTTTTGGGGGGGTGGTATACTCTGTTTGTACAGAATGTGTGTGTGTGTGTGTGTGTGTGTGTGTGTGTGTGTGTGTGTGTGTGTGTGTGTGTGTGTGTGTGTGTGTGTGTGTGTGTGTGTGTGTGTGTGTGTGTGTGTGTGTGTGTGTGTGTGTGTGTGCGTGCGTGTGTGTGTGTGTGTGTGTGTGTGCGTGTGCGTGGGTCGTGTTGATTCCGGGTGGCCAGATGGGGTGATTTTGGGTAGGGGTTGGTATTTGGTGTTGCCAGCCCACTTCACCTGAGCATAAAATCAGCTGAGGTTTTCATTCAGTGCAACTCACACTTCACTGACTCTGCACACACACAGGGTGGACACACACTCACCGCACACCTAGAAACACTTGCAGAGACTAATTTAGTTAAAGCTGGGAAGATGCCGTGTGTCAGCTCTAACCCCGACCAGATGGTGAAGATGCCTTGTAGCTACAGCTCTGTGGTTGATAAAATCCTCTTGGTAAGATTCACTTTTCTGTTCGACGAGACTTTGTAAGGCTTTAAATCATTTGTAACGTTAGTATTGTTAGAGATTTGTACTTTTATCCCATGTGACTGTTATGTGAATTAACAATAATCTTTACACACAGACTGCACCATGTTGTTTCAGAAGCAACTCTGGGTGAGAAGCTTGATTGTATTAGTTGTTCAGATGCTACTTTGTCCTGTATTTACTGAAAACATGGTTGTATGTGGCAATTCTGAAGCAGAAATTGGAGTCCTCAGCAATTCCTTCCTTTGTGTTGTATTGTAAAGTAGTGTTTTTCTCTCTTTTCATCTAATTTGTTTGTGCTCTGATTCCTTCTCTGCTGTTGCCGCTTATGATTTTCCTTTCTTGTTTTGAAACCTCATTTTGAAAAAGCTGTTTCTCAGTTTGGATTAGAAGCGTGTTTCCAGTGCATATATGTATATATACCAATAATGTCGAATGGCCTTTTTGAAAAAATCTTCTCTGCTCTTGTTGCAGGTAGAGGAGATCCTGTCAGAGTTCAGTTTGAAGAAGGAAGAGCTAAAAGAAGTCATGAAGAGGATGCAGCGCGAGATGGACCGAGGATTGTGTTTAGAGACACACGAAGAGGCTAGTCTCAAAATGCTTCCAACATATGTCTGCTCCACCCCTGAAGGATCAGGTAGAAACTCATTCTTTCACCATTAGAGGATCGCTTAGTTGTTTTTTTGTTATCTCATGATTATCACCTGTGCAGGTAAAGCCATTACGTGCACGTTCAGATGTAGTGTGTGTTTTAGCAGAAGTGGGAAATTTCCTGGCGCTCGACCTGGGGGGGACCAACTTTCGCGTGATGCTTGTGAAGGTGGGTGAAGATGAAGAGAGGATCTGGAAGGTGGAGACCAAGAACCAGATGTACTCCATTCCTGAAGATGCCATGACGGGCACTGCTGAAATGGTTAGCATGGCAATTATGTTTCAGTGTTATTCATGTTCATGTTTCCTCAGGTTATTGTGTTTGACAATTTTGTATGTTCAAAATCAAAGATTGCCAAAAAGAAATGTATTAAGGTCGTTTTTTTGTAAATACAGAATGATATTAGAATGCTAATTTTTCTACATCTCATATCCTCTCTTTCTGCAGCTTTTTGACTACATAGCAGAGTGTATGTCAGACTTTTTGGACAAACATCATTTAAAGCACAAGAAGCTTCCTCTGGGTTTCACCTTCTCCTTTCCAGTAAGGCATGAGGACATTGACAAGGTAGGATGTTATACACTACATTGGACATACTTTTAAACAATCCCAAGATCGGTCAACAGTGCTAGACCTATACAAGTTATGTATCTTATATTTCCTTAATTTATATTTATATTTTTTCTTTCCACAGGGTATCCTGCTTAACTGGACCAAAGGCTTCAAGGCTTCTGGAGCAGAAGGGAACAACATTGTTGGTTTACTCAGAGATGCTATCAAGAGACGAGGGGTGAGTTACTGCTTATTAGAAGTGTCTTTTTCTTAATAAACAAGACCATTTTGTGACACCCGTATACAGCTGGATGACTCTAAATTTGATGTCGTCATTTAGGACTTTGAGATGGATGTGGTTGCCATGGTGAATGACACAGTGGCCACCATGATTTCCTGCTACTATGAGGATCGCAGCTGCGAAGTTGGGATGATTGTTGGTAAATAGTAACACGTGATATTGATATGCACTCGTGAACATGTATCTATGCACAGACATGTAGACTCAAACATATTTAAAGTGTGTTTTTTTGCTTTTCTTGACACCAGGCACTGGTTGTAACGCATGTTACATGGAGGAGATGAGGACTGTGGAGCTGGTGGAAGGGGAGGAGGGCCGGATGTGTGTGAACACAGAGTGGGGGGCGTTCGGAAACAACGGGGAGCTGGAGGAGTTCAGACTGGAGTACGACAGAGTGGTGGACGAGAACTCCATTAACCCCGGACGGCAGCTGTGAGTGCATTCAGTTCAAAGATTCAGTCACATACATTAAACCTCGTCATTCGTTTGACCCAACCCCACATGTCTACCAACTTCATCTACCTTATTAACTCAAGTGTTTGTGCTCATAGTAATTAAAGGTTCTCAGATTGAGAGATTGACATTGTATTTTAAAGTCTGACAAACACTTCCTCCCTCATTGGCTTATTGTTTTTCTAAATTAATCATCCTTCTGCGGCAATACTCACCTGACTCTCACTTGAGCTCTCTGTGTGGTTGCTAAGCTACCAGTTGTTTTTCCTGAGGATGACTGTGAATGGCCAGAGCCCTCATACGTCAGTGGTCAGTCAGTGTGCGGGGGTGTCAGATTAATGACCCCTCTCCTCTGCTTGCCATATTGCCTGTAAGCCTAATGGCTGTTTACCTTTTGCACTGGCAGTCCCTTAACACAGACAACTGCTGAGCCCAGCCTCGATCCTTTTTAGCACTGACGTTGTCATCTTCATCCGTTCCCCTTTTTTTAAATTACGTTTTGTGACCTGCACTTGCTTCCTGTTTCTTCCCCAATTTCAACATCCTCTCCTTGAGTTCCCAGCCTTACTATCAATATGTATTTATAGTTACCTGTCTCTTCTCTTGTTTTTCGCCTCTGGTAGATATGAGAAGCTGATCAGTGGGAAGTATATGGGAGAGCTGGTCAGGCTTGTTCTGATGAAGCTGGTGAATGAAGACCTGCTGTTTAACGGTGAGGCCTCCGAGCAGCTGAAGACACGTGGGAGCTTTGAGACGTGCTTTGTCTCACAGATGGAGAGGTGAGCATCAATAAATACTGCCATGGCTGCTGTTGTCCTCCCAATAAGACAACTTAAAAACATAGATGAATGTTTCCTATTAGACATTTGACAAAAGAGGACTTAAAATGAAGATGATTACAGACAAACATTCATATCATAATCAGAGAGGGAAAGAAACACATGAATATAATAACAAATAATAATAATGTAAAGCCTGTTGTGTTATGTATCCTAATGACATAATCTCACATGACAGTGTTGATGGGAAATAGTAGGAAGCAATACAAAAAGCTACAATTCAGTTGTGAGCTACTACAATATTTGTAGACAACTAATTAGACATTTTAATTAATGCAAAATATAATTGGTGTTTTTTTTACAATGTAAATACACACATTTGTGATATCAGCATTTATGTATTGTCAACTTTTGCCTTTTTTTTCAGTGACACTGGGGACAGAAAGCAAATTTACAACATCCTGTCCTCGCTGGGTGTTCTGCCGTCAGAGCTGGACTGTGACATTGTGCGTCTGGTGTGTGAGAGCGTCTCCACTCGCTCTTCACATATGTGCGGTGCCGGGCTTGCAGCTGTGATCAACCGGATGAGAGAGCGACGCAGCCAAGAAGCCCTGAAGATCACAGTGGGGGTTGATGGATCCGTCTACAAGCTGCACCCATGGTGAGGAATCCATGTTTGAGACTGTCTAATATCCCAATTTTTAATATACCGGAAAATACTTAGTGATTGATTAGATGTACCCAAAATGCAGTGCTTGTGAACTTATATTTAACTCCCCAAATCTTTATTGGAGTAAATAAATCTTGATTGGATGACTAAAGAATAGAGAGAATGTGGAAAAGAAGTTGGAGATTTGACAGTTTTTCCTTTATCTCAGGTTCCGTGTAAGATTCCACCAAATTGTCAGGGACCTCACGCCTCACTGTGACATCACCTTCATCCAGTCGGAGGAGGGGAGTGGTCGTGGAGCCGCCCTTATCTCAGCAGTGGCCTGTAAGATGGCTGCCTGCATGCTGACCCAGTAAACTGAACTGTGATCTGAGAACATTGATGACAAGTCATTCACAGACGGCAGCTCCGGCCTTTTTCAGGCTCTGAGGGATGTGTGTCGGTCAAGACACCCACAGCTGGACGATGTACAGACAAGAAAGCAAGCTGTATTTGACTGTATTTGGTAGCATTAGACCAGATTGTAGTAAACATGTAATGTTTCTGAATTTGTGTATCACTGCCTATTGATAATATTTGGGTATGAACTGGCCCATTTCAACAATGGTTAATGTTTGATTGGGGATATGGTATAACACCCATGCGAACCTGTTCCTTACATTACTTGTACATGACATGTATAACCCAGGGAACCATTTGTAAATGCTGCTACGATCTATGACTAAACCAAATATATTGCTTTGTTATGTAGTGATTTCTGTTTGTGAGAAATGAAATATTCCTTTGTCATGTATATTTAAATTATACAGATCTATATGCATATGTAGCCAGTGCGTTGTAGTTTCCAAATGTGCATGATGAAAAATGATGCTTTCGATTTGAATAAGCCCAACTTTAAATAAAAATGCTTTAATAAACTCAACTATTATATTTAAATGTATGTAAATATCAGTTTGATTATCAAATATTATATATAATACCACAGCTGAAATGGAAAAGCAGATGTTTTTTATGTATCTAGATCTTGTAACTTATTATCACTTCTATTTCTACTGGAATAGCAAATGCTGTCTAAAGTTAGTTAAGACACATCTTCAGTAGTATCCCTACTTATTTCACTTGGTGATACACCCGCTGCTTAAACAGTTTTCAAAATCACAGAAGTATGAAATAATAGTAGAATAGTTCATATACTGCCCCCTGTCTCTGCCATGGAGACCTCTCAGTTTACCATGCGTTGGAATAATAGGAAATCATTATATGTTGTGTGAAAAAAAAACAACAACACATAAAACATATTTTAAAGTTAATACACGGCTTGCTTTGACCTCAGAGGAGTAACTTCATTGGTTGAGTGACGTCAGAGGTCACTTACGCCCCTCCATATCTCTATTTTCAAGCTCAGAGGAATCCTGCAGCTTCACCTCTTATCAGGTACCTTCAGAAGCACACGGACAGCAGTGATGGCCATGTAAGGGACTGTGCTGCCCACCACAGGCTATTATAGGACAGTAAAAGATAAGATGGGCGCTACATAAAACCCACCCCAGCATCACACTCTGCTGGGAGCATTCGATCATTCAGACATGGTAAGTCAGTGAGCGTTTTCAGTCTAGCAATACTTGCAGTCTGTGATCAGTTGTTATTCTATATTATAAATGTTTGTATACTTTTAAGTGAGTACACTGAATGTGTTTGTGTGCATCTTTTCAGGCAAGTAAGAAGGCCTCCAATAAGAGACAGAGGGGAGCACAGAAGTCCTGCTCCAATGTCTTCTCCATGTTTGAGCAGTCCCAGATTCAGGAGTTCAAAGAGGTACTGCAATGTCCCTGCCTTCAGCAGCTCCCTTTAAAAAAAGAAAAACGATGTAGGAACCTGTGATTTTTTATTTTCAAACCTATGCATGAGAAGGGAAATAGAGAAAGGTTATCCAAGGAAGTATCTAAGCTACTGGACTTCAGTGAACTTAATCCATATAAGAATGATTGAAGTGGCCAAATTGTCAGAAAATATATGACAATGGCAAGCGAAGTAAATGTATCAATATTGGTAAAAAGCATCAGGGTACTGTACACCATGGCTATTTTTATATAACAGCTCCCTTTACAACTCCAAAGAAAATATATATTTGTCATTATATTGAATACAAATTGTAAAATGAACTGTTGCATTGGAGTTGAATTTGAAACAGTAAAGGTTTATATGCAATTCAACATATATTCGTCATCTGAAGGTCTCAACATATTTTGTATTCAATTTCAATATTTCTCATTGTTTATCCTGTAGGCTTTTGGGTGCATTGACCAAGACAGAGATGGTGTTATCAAAAAACAGGACCTAAAGGAGACCTATGGACAGCTGGGTATTTTCTTTATCTTGAACTCTTTATCTGGTCAAAAAAAAAGTATCTACTGATGCAACCTGCTGTTCTTAATGCATTTGATATGTGTAAATGTATTTACTGTACGTGCTCATATTCTCTGTGGGCTCCTGTGTATCAGGGAAGCTTAATGTTGATGATGAAGAGCTGGATGGGATGTTGAATGAGGGGAAGGGTCCCATCAACTTCACCGTGTTCCTGTCTCTTTTTGGAGAGAAACTCAACGGTAAGAGCTTCTACAGAAGTTCAAACTAATCTCTTGATTTACTTTGATGAAGATGCTTGACGAAGCTTTGTTGTCCTCCAGGCACCGATCCTGAAGACACCATACTGGGAGCCTTCAAGCTTTTTGACCCGAATGGGACGGGCTTCGTTAATAAGGATGAGTAAGATACATATGAAATAGCTTTCCCATTATTTATATTTTACATATCATCAGTAACATTTCATTATCTCATTTATCGTCTCCTTTTGCATTTTCTTTCCTGCAGGTTTAAACGATTACTGATGAACCAGGCGGATAAATTCACAGCAGAGGAGGTTTGTGTTCTCTTTTGTCTTTATAGTGATCGACACACTATGCTGTAAGTTAATATTTTTCACCTGGTAAATTGTCATTGATGAACCTCTAGGTTGATCAGGCCTTTGCTCTCGCTCCTATTGACCCAACTGGCAACATCGACTACAAGTCCCTCTGCTACATCATCACACATGGAGACGAGAAGGAAGAATCTTAAGAAAGTCATACAGGTTACCTTAACGTGCTAATGACACGTAAAGGTTATCAATCAGAAACTTCAATGATTGATGGATTAATGTTGGGACATCTGATTCATTTAACCTCAACTGTTAAATGCTACAGTTCTGTCGGTTATGCCATTTGTTTCTCATTTCTTTGTATGCTCAAGAGAATAAAGTGTTCCTAAAATCTTTCTTGATGATTACAGCTGTTCGTATTGTAAGGGAAAGGGAAGTAACACAAACGGCTTACCATTGCTGTGATCATGAAATAAAAAAGCGAAACATCACACTCAAATGTCATATTCTTGATTATAAAAAGAATGTAATTGATTTTTTCTAGACTCATTAACAAATATGAAACTTGAGTTTAATAATCTAAGGGTTTGATACTTAATTTCAGTGAGTTCAATATGTCTTTTATTCGATGGCTTTTATTAGTAATCTGAGTTCCTCGGTATGAACAAATAGTTAGGACAAAGAAAATGAAACCTTTTCAAGACCAAGGAGATCTATATATATTCAAGCATGCTCACCATGACAAAGGCTGTTTTTCTTGATTGGTAAAAGATCAAGTAATTAAGTAAAGTATATAGAATAAAGTAAAGTAAGGTTAAGTCAAGTGAAGTAAAGAAGGGAAAATAAAGTACGGTAAAGTAAAGTAATTTGAAGTAAAGTAAAGTAAAAGTGGGTAGAATAAAAGTAAGGTAATTCGAAGTAAAGTGGGTAGTATAAAGTAAGGTAAAGTCGAGACAAGTAAAGTAGGTAGAATAAATGTGAAGTAATTTGAAGTAAAGTCAAGTAAAGTAAGGTAAAGTAATCTGAAGTAAAATACGGTAAAGTGCTTCCATTCATTCAGAGTCCTCACTGCTGTTCCCTTCTTTGAATACACTGTTGCCATGGATACAACAACAAACACCTCCATAAACTCCACCACCACATTTTCCTGCTCACACAGCAAACAGCCAGTCAACAACAAGAGGAATAGGCGTGTGTGAAATCCTGCAAGGCAAGATTTACTTTCAGCACACTTGCAACATCAGGGCTGCTTTCAAATGATTGTGGGTTTATTTTGGGATTTCCTAAACCTGTAGTTTTTACTGGCAGAGATGCCCATTGCCTCTGGAGCTGCAGGCAGGGTGAATGTGGGGGTAGGTGCTAGCACGACATGGACAGAAGATGGACAGAAGAGGACAAATAAACCTTCCACCAGGGACTGCAACTCCTATCTGGAACGGTGGGTGGAATAATGTTATCAGGTTATACTTACATATTGACACATAAGTCATGGAAAATAACATAACTGACCAGTTATCTAAATGTAAAATCATTGCCTACAATAAACACAAGATCGTGTAAGAACAGATTGTGAAAGCGGGGGTTGTTCTGATTGTAGAAACCATTTTAATAATTGAGATAAAACCAGAAGAGATTTGCCACGTAGCATCTTTATTGGCTTTTTATTGCTAAGAGATAAAAGCATCTTACTTTAAAAACTGCTGGTCTGAATCAACAGCAACCTGTTCGTCATTTGAACTGCACAGAGGAAGACAGATGTGAGCACTAATCAGACTCATAAATATTTCACAGTACCATTTGTTTCTATTGGCTGTTTGACTAAAGAAAGAGTCAGGAAGTGAAATGTAAAAAAAGGCACTGTTCTCCAAAACACACTATTGTAAATACATTTGTATCAGCTTAGTTTCTTGGCAATCACATGTAAACTTATTTTCATCCTTGATAATTCCAGATATTACCAACTCAAAGAGAGAAAGAAAATCGAAAGACAAATGTTTGATGTGAGTATTGTTATCAAGTAGAGTTTGGGGGGCAGTGAGACACAATTAACTGTGACATGTGATTAACTCATATTTGTTTTTACACAGGAAAACCCTGAGCCCAGTGATAATGAAAATGATGGTGAGGAAACTGATAGGGAGAAAGATGATAGTGAGAAAAATAATGGTGAGAACGCTGACAAAATAAAAACAATAGAAATATCAGAAAAGTTACTGTGAGTAAACCTTTTTCAAACACTTTTTTTCAGGAGCCAAAGAAGAGAACTCCCAGAAAAATAGCAGCAGAGAGGAGGAGACCACTTCAGGAACATTACCCAGTGAAGAGAGATCCAAAAAGTCTCAGCTGTGTGTTCTCCTTTAAGGCCATCCCATCTCATGTGGACTTTTAATGAACTATCTTTCACCCTCACGCATGTATTATTTATGTGCCAAACCCATGTGTCTTGTGTCCCTACTTTGCCTTTACTGCACTGTGAAAAAAGGGTGAGGGGTCAAAGGTTACCAAAACCACAGAATAAGTTTTCTTTTTGCATAACTAAAACATATCAGTGTATCATGTATCAGTGTTGAATTGAATGAACAATATCTATGGTAAAAGTGTGTATCAGTGTTAATTATGTTACAGTAAGACCTAAATACATAAAAGCATTATCTCTTGTATTTAGCTCTCCACATCTGCTGTATTACATATTATGACATGTCATGCTATACAACAGTAAAACCACACAGTGCCTACAGGTTCTTTTGTGATTTTATAAATCACACAAACTTGTAAACTAAAAGTTATCTTTAAAAATAATAATTGAACAGCTCATGAATAAGTCTACTGATGGAGACATCCATGAACCCAGTTGTTCGCACCATCGTCTTGTTTATAATCACCCATTTCATTCAGAGCATTTCCTCAGCATTCAATCACAAGAGAAGCGAAAGTTTTTTCAGCAGCAGTAAAAAATAAAGAGCTTTTCACTTTATCAGAGCCACAGTCTGTGCCTCATAAAAGCTCCATATTGC